AGAGAGATTGGGGTCGAGCTGAAGTTGATAGACTATAAAAAACGAATTGTTGATTGTAGAAAGAGTCCTTATGTAAGCCTTCATATACACGTAAAACCATCATGAGTCTTTTTGAGGTAAATTGCACTCTTACACTCTGTTATGTATGATGATACTCAACGTGCCAAGATATTCATAGAGAACGATGATATCGTTGAAGTAATAAAAGTTTGTAAAGGAAGAATGGATGAAACGTGCTCTCTAAAGAGCCAAAGAGCACCTTGCTCTCCAAGACAAACCCACCCTCAAGTTGTCTTTTAGTTGAGTTCTTCCAAGGCCATATGCGTATTGGTGAAAGATGCCTGTATATTTATTCTTAGAAGACTTGTTGTGATAATAAAAATTTCTTTTATGGCTTTCGTGATAACGGTACTGTGGAAAGGAGCCGCATCTAGTTGTATGATAGTTCTATATTAAAAGCTTTTGAAAGATATTATCAATAGTTGTAAAATTACGCCAAAGAGAGAACCTCATTGATCAGCAACTTACATCCAGTATCTCTCAAAACAATGGTTTGATAAGCCCTTCTTTCCACAACACGTATCAAAAACAAAGTTCATTCTATCATTCGTGTCATTCTCAACTTGTAAGTCAGCAATCAAAGTCTTCTGAAAAGTCTTGTTTGAGGAAAAGTCTGTTTTATATCTCTACCAACTAACGTCTTGTCTTAACTTTTCATCTCTGCTGTTCTCCTAAATATGGCTTAAAGTCTTCTGGAATATCTTCCAATGTTATAAAATCAATGAACGATGGAGCATTAGATGTGCTGGCTTCATTCTTTCTTATTGGAGTGACATACAAAATACATATTCGGTCTCTATAGCATTGGCCATTACTGTCTGTTACTTCAAAATCTATTATAGTATCCGACTCATCTCGAATAGTCGATACTTGATAGTCGGACTGACCAAAAAGTGCTTTTAGTAAAGAAGCGAGATGTGAACTTTCAGGTGATCCAAACAAGTGCTCCATTCGAGCAAAGTCTCTGCTGTGTTCTGGAATAGATGAAATAGAAGCTTGAAAAAGGTACAATGTCCAATATCTAACCTTCCATTCGACATAAGCAAAATCGAACAGAGAATAATTCGTCATAAACCGGACCCAACAGGTATTCGTTATTTTCGATGCAAAAAAAAATAAAACTGCTTTCCATCAAATCTTATCCACTTCCTACTTTCCAGGTTTATCGTTTGCAAACAGGCTCTTGAACTAAGTTCAAGTTTTGGACATTTGCAAGGCACCACAGGAAAAAGAGCTGCTCAAAATGGTCACCCTTTTCTATTCCTTCCGACGTTCGGAAACTGTTTGATAGTTCAATAAGATGATCTTAACTGAAAAAACAGTTGAAAAAGTGTCAAAAAGAATGTTACGTGCCATGCTGTTGTAAAAACGTAAGAGTCCGTTCTTCATAGTAATGAACAGACCACGCTCACGATAGGCACCATCACATACATACAGTTCCATAGGATATCCTTCAAGAAACAACTGACGACGCAATCGATAAAACTCAGCTTTGTCTTTCAACAAGTCGACGTAATCTTTATATTTCTGTTTGATTTCTGGGTAGTCATAATTTCTAAAAACTCCAGTCAATTGCTCAAAATTGGCATCTGGTTGTCGTGATGCTATTATTCGCGCTATTATTCTAGGAACCAATTCTGTAAGTTGAACAAAATCTGGCAAATATTGACAAAGAAGAGTTGGATAATTATTTAAATTTTTGCCGCAGTTCAAACTCTTCCGAATCTAATGGCCCCATATAATACTTGACGGTTGTAAACTACCGGTAAACTTATCTTCAAATTCACGATATTGCGAGCAAGCGATAAGAATTCTGCAAGAAAACTACCAAAGTTAACAGAGAGATTGATATAAAAAGAGAACAGTTTCTTATTGTACTCATCACTTCCATTTTCGTGTAAAACCAAAAAAAGTCGAGCCAAATGTTTTTTGTATTTCCTCGTTTTCAGGTCAAAATATATAATATTTTTGAAGAGGCGCGCCATTCAAAGAATCATAGCTTGATGCATGCATTAAAACTGGGCATCTCATCTAGAATATATCTACATTCATAAAAAGTAACATTTTCAAGTAAAGTGAAGTTACTTGCGAGGTACTCTTAACATCATTTAACCATAGAGCAATGTTTTCAATATACTGAAGGGGAACCCTACAATACTTGAAAACATCGGGGTGAGGTACAGATCTATGCTCTTCTCTAGACCACCTGCGGCTGAGAGAACAATCTGCTTGGGTCGAAAGTTGAAACTATTTTCACCAAAACCTTCAATGAGACTATGCCACTTCTTAATAAACTCTCGTCACAACAAAATTCTGGAGATTTTGCCTGCAAGTCGTTCTACTGAAAAATCATAGGTGAACTTTTTAGGAATAACCAGCTGTGTAATATCTGCGCAACGTTAAAGACTTCTCCCCATTTCTACTTTTTCTCCAACAATCGAGGCTACGGTTTTGAGTCTACAATTTTCTGAGAAGTCAGATAAACCCATTCGCCAAAAGTTACTATGCTTTTTTGGTCAATCTTAAACCTGCCAGGTAGAAATATCTCAAAGTCAACAAAGCTTCCAACGACACTATCACAACTCTATGTGATTCCAGAAAGCAAGAAGCCTCCATATATACAGTTGCACGCAAACCAATATCTACTCTTTATTTCAAAAGAACTGAAAAAATAATCTATCTATCTGTGGTTGTGCAGCATATTTCAATAAAAGGCGAATCATGATCTTATCAAGACTTGTTCTAAGCTTCAAAAGACTTCCGTTGCTATTAGGAGTTCGAGCAGACTGTCATTTTTTTTATGTACGTTGGCAGCATGGGATAGGACTCTAGAGTTTGCTGTTCTATGTTGAAAACTATTGTTTGACCAACCTCGATGAATTATTGCAGCTGTGTAAAAACAGAATCTTCCAACTTATCGATTTGTCCACTGGCGTTTTCCTTTTCAGGATGGGTATATATTTGGTTTTAAAGTTTCTGTCTTATAACTTCATACTTGATATCCTGTTTATGTGCAAGGAATCACCAGTTGATTATCATAAAGGATGCTTTCTCTACGACTCAAACCTGTTGCTTGAATCAATGTAGTTCCTCGTCCAGGAAAAAGCGTAGAGTTGTCCTTTTCCTTCTATTCTTTTTGAGAAGACTGATTGAGTGCACAGAACAGAAAGGGACCTTCAGATGGCTACCAGCAACTGGTTAGCTGCAGTCTTTTAAAAAATAACTTGAATAAAGTGGGAGACTTTCGAAAAACACCCAAATAGGAATCCCAATTTCGTCCTAGTCTTCATTTAGTAACCAAAGTCAGACAACTATGTATGCGCACAATTCGTTTCAAGGGACATATTATGTGCTTTGGAAAAGCATATGACAAAATGATTTGAGAGAAAACAGCTCAGATAGGATGAATATAGCTCGTTTGCAGCTTTCAGTCATGGAATAGGTACTTTGTCGTGCATAATACTCAACTTGAACAACATTTGCTAGAATATTGTGAATTAAAGATTGTTCATTTGGAAAATGCTTATGTGCTGACTATGTTACATTCATATACACATCAAAGGATACTTTATTTTCAGGGACAAGCCATTTCTAAATGAGACTGCAGTTCTGGTTGAATTCCATTAGTGCCAATAATGTCGTCCTGAGTGTTGCTCAAGAAAGTTACTAAAGAATTTTGTTTCTAGTTTCAAATAAATAAATATGGTGATTGGATATATAAATGTACACCAGAAAGAACTGCATACCGAACAGCTTTTTTAGACTTGGTTATTTCGGATTCTATTGTGATACATTCAAATCTCATTTGTTCATATGTTGCGGAAAATCATGGAGCACCTTATATTGGGAGATATTAATCTATTCGAAACTATCAGTAACTACTGTTACTTTTCTTCAACGGCACAACTGGAAAACTAAACAATTTGTTTCAAACTTCAAATAACTAAACTATAAAAAGATGAACCATTTAGTCAATATGAAAGTCAAGTCGACAAATGGAAAAATCATTCGACTAGTCAAGCCCAGAATGAGCTCTTCAAGAGTATAAAGTTGATAAGGAATTCTTGATATCAATACTCCACAAAAGCAAAAACTGAACACGTCATTTCAAGTTGCCTAAGACAAATACTTTGCTTCTCTTTTCTGATAATTTGTCGTCATTTGACAAACTGCCACAAAACGCGATGGCAACCCATCTCTTAAAAAAGCAAGTCTACAACGTTCTTTCCCTTCTATGACACAAAATGTAAATATTCAAAGCTCCTGAGATGCATTCTTCACAATCCACAGCGGCGCCCTTATATATCTTTCTGTGAAGACTTGATACTGATTTGTCCTCATCTCGTTCACTTATATAAAAACAATCCTGATGTGGCTGTACAACTTGATAAATAAAATGTTTAGTTGCTTGTATATTTATTATGTATATGACAACTATTTCTAAACAAACTTATACAAGGTATACAATCAAACAAGGCTCATTCACAATTTTTAAACCATTAGATGGTTGTTGATTCCCTGTAAAGAAGAGAGACTTGCAAAAATAAATTACAAATATCCCAAAAAGTTTATAATTCTCGTCCTTTTGTACAATCGGGTCACAATATTATATTCGAGAACCCTCATTACTATATCCACTAGGGATACCGCAGTGACCTTCTTTGGAGGTATGAGGCTTATTCTCTTCATTTGGTTCTTCTTCAACTCCTTTCCAAGAACGATGTCTCAAAAATGCTGCAGTACTAGTAGAAGAAATATCATACGCTATCAAATCACGATTCATACTAAACTCGCTTAAAGCATTCGCAGTAGTTTCTTCATAAAACTTATCGATATCTTCATTCTCATCATCTGGCATTTGCTTCCTGGCAACAAAAGGCCTAGACAAAGTATCTTGAAAGTCATGAATTGAACCAATATCCGTGAAATAAAGACGAGAATCCAAAGCTAGTTCCAACTCCGCCATAGTAAGGATCGGCTTCATGTAACTCTTTGAATCTAGAAAGGCACTTTCTGGACAACCAACTAAAACGAATACTTCAATTTCCGGAAAGTTACCAAGTTTCGTGGGAGTAGGCTTCCCAACATTTAAAAGATACCATTCCATTTCAAACTGGTTCAACAACTATAGAAAAAAATTGAGTTAGCAAAAATATTTCAAAACATAACTTGTGTCCGTCGATCTTAGTGAAGATAAGTCAATCAAACTGAGAATCTTCGTGGTTTCGACAACTTCATGTTGGCAACGGGAACGGGAGAAACAAAGATTGAAGAACTTGGTCTCTCTAGCTGAATGTTGCCTGTTGTCGAATAGAAAACAAAACTTACCACTTCACAGCGCTCTATTGCATCTAATACACCCTTTGTAGCAATAGCACTGACAACAATTCCAAAAACATGAGACTTTTGAGCCTTTGAAATAAGAGCTAGTCTTCTTTTCAACGTTGTTGTAGCATTTAAGTTTGCAGGAAACCAGTTATTCGTACTGTCATCATAGCAATCCAAAACAAACGGGTACAGGGATAGAGAGGCTCGCAAAAAAGAAGAAGACGAAGTACTTCCTAACCGCACAAACTGAAGCTGCTCTGTTGGGATAGATAGATCCAATTCAAACTCCAGATGACCAATTGAATACTTTCTACAATGAGTTTCAGTTTTGGAGTCGGTTTCCACTGTGTTCAAGTCACTTGTTGTAGGTGAAGACTTGCGCAGATAAACCGGAATGATAGTCTTTTCATTTATGTGAGTCTTCAGGAAACTGAATAATATACACCTTAAATGCGCGTAGTACGACTCAAATAAAACAATTAAATGGGATGCAGGATTCTGCTTTACAAAACCAACCAATTTTTGTAAATGAAATAAGCTTCTCTTCTCAAATACATAACTTCAAAGTACAATAGCTTAGCTGTTGTTTTAAAACAAACGCATAAACTTACTAGACTGGCAAATCTCTTGTTGGGCTCAAACAGGAGTGCCCATAGTGAACCACCGCATCGGCAGCAACATGTTGAGCAGCAACGACATCAACACAGCAAGGTGCATAAGCTGTGTCTCCTAAAACATAAAAATCTGCTTTGGTTTGTCTTTCCAATTCGTCAACCACTTTGGGTGCCTCGCTTAGAAGGTGATCTGGAAACTGCAGGCAAACTTTCTGAAAGTGGTTGTCTCTTATGAACCTAACAGTTGCTTCCAAGTCATATTGTTCCATCAGCTGGTCCTTCAACTCTTCGTGTGTTGCCATGACTCTGAAAAGACATTGTGCATAGCTGAAGAATCGCCGCTCAAACAGAACGACGGCCCATTTCACAACAAATATTTTTTGTTATAGAACGATAAAGAGTTTCATTTTGCATTTGAGAGAATCTTAAACAAGCTTACAAAGACAGATGAAAACACTCTACAATATTATTATACATTCAGAAAATTTTAGAAATAATAGCGAGAGCTATGCCGTGACTATCAGAGTGTTTTCATGATACAAAGACTCCTTGCCCAAAAGTTGTTGGTTTTATATCAACTTTATACAAAAAATAATATCGTCCGTAGACCAAAATTTCTACAAATACTGTGTTGATATATCGGTAAGTTGTGATAGTTATAAGTGAAAAATTCGAATGAATCAGTCTTTGAAAGTTACCTATATCATACAGAAGGAAAAGTTCATCTCTCTAAAAGCAACGATATGGGAAGATTCTACACAGCAGTTTCTATCTCTGGTTACACCTCTCGTACTCCACAAACGTGACAACAAATATTTGGCAATATTCGTCTACCAGAATGGGAAACCAAAGCAAATAGTCTCACTCCAAATAGCATACAAGACAGTTGACAATATGATCCTTTACAGATTATAACTTAACAGGAAAGCTAGAGAAAGGAACTTTCCAGAGACACTTTAGAACAATTTTAGTGAAACTATGCAAGACCAATCCTATATCAAGAAATCACTACATATATATTTTCCGGCAATGATGAACTTCTTTCCAGCTTTTCTGCAAAACGAAGTAAGATTATGCCAAAATAAAGTTGTCAGTTCCAACGAAAGTGCGATGAGAGACCATTCATCTCAATTTATCATTGTTGTGTTACACTTTCGAGATAACTTTTTTGGCGTCCAACTGGATGGAGACGTTACTAAAGACAGCTAAGAATTTTCTGGTCAATGTTACTGCCAGGCAAAGTTATGAAGAAGCCTGTTTCCATTTGAAATATTGTGTAGAGAGACTCAATCCAGAGGAGCTTTGTATTTTAGAGAAGGACCCCAGCTTGGATAAGAGTTACATCAATTTTGTGAACGTTGCGGAGTGCCAAAGTTTTGCTATTTCAGTGTTTGTCATACCAACTGGTCTCAAATTGCCCCTTCATGATCATGTAGGTACGAGTTTGTTCTCCAGTCACACTGTGAATGCCTTCATGTTTGCATAGGAATGACTGTGATAACCAAGGTACTTTGGGGTGAGTTGGATGTGGATTCGTTTGACTTTATTGAAAAGGATAAATTTGTATGTCACCACAGTAAGTTCCAGTTTCTTCATAGTATGAGTGTTGAGAGTTGCGTTGATAGTGGGTGGAGAGGGTGTGCAGTATCCCTCCTTTACGATGAGAGCAGGGGACTGTCAACTATTCTATCCCTTTAAAGCCAATCTTCATGAGTTCAAAGCAAGAAGAAGATGTGCTATAGTGGACTTCATGTGGCCTCCATATAATCCTGCAGAGGATAGAGACTGTCACTATTTCATGTCACAACCACACTTAGGATTGAGGAGAAATGATACCGAAACTGAAAAATTAGTTTACTTGCAACGTATTCCTTGTCCTTCTTACTTTTATACACAAGAAGTTCTTTATCGTGGACCTCCATTGGATCTTCGTTATCTTTAAGAGATCGATCACCGAAAGCCAACAATGAATTGCTTGGATTTGGATTTTTATGGAAGTGCGAGTCGAATATTACGAAAATAAAACAAACTCCAAAGACGAATATATGGAAGGAACAAACGGTAACCCTATTCCCGAATATATAGAGGCCTTTATAACACATGAAGACCTCGACTGCGATAAAGTGTCGCCTCTACAGTTCCTGACAAGCTTACGTATGAGGGGATTGTGCCATCCTATTATACAACACCCTTACTTTGTCAACCTGGCCAAAGGTACTCTACCTAATGTCCCGCTTGCTCTTTTAGACTTTGCATTACAAAAGATGAAACTTTGTGAACACTTTCACGGAACAACGAACGACCATATTGAAAGCGGCTGTACGACAATTATTCCTTCTACAGGAGATAATGTTTCAGACCCTTTATCAAGACTCGTTCATCTGGACCAGATGCGATCAGCTCCTGCGGGAGTGGCACACGACGTTCTTTTGAAAAGATTTCTTGCAGAATTGGAAAGGGAAGTGGAGGAACCTCTGATAGAGCTTGTCACCCACAAGTTAACCAGAACTAAGAACTTGGGTCCTCGTCTATCCGAAATATGTAGATTGGGAAATATACCCTTTGTGATTGGAGTATTGTGTTGCAAAGTACCGCCTGTTATTAGTGAAATCTACAAGTTAATAATAGAAGCAATAGAAAACAACACAAACCTGCCTCTGCGAGCTTATTTCTTTTTCCGATATTGTATTGAAGTAGAGTCTGTTCTTCTTGGAGTTTTAGAGAGACTTGCTGAAGAAAATCTGACGTCTTCCCAAACTAGAATAGACGCGGCAAAGGGTTACTGGGCATCCTTGAATATTGTTTTCACATACTTCATGGAAATGTATGATCGTTCGTCACAGTTTCCACCGAAAAGGACGCTTTCTACAATGGAATACTTAACAACTCGATTGTATAGACCACTTACTCAGGAAATTGTATATGAAGAAGATGAAGCTTCGGAGGAAACTGATTCGGAATCCAACTTTGAGGCATCTCTTGCACAGAAAGGTTGTGAACAAGCACCCAGTTCGTACTGCAGTATGAGTCCATCATCGGAAAACTCTAATGAACTGGATGATGATTATGCCAATCTGTCATTGCCGAGGAATATTCTCGATGTCGAGTCGGAATATAGAAAAGCTTCTGCTGTGATGAAACTTTACTATGGAGAGGAAGCTCCATTAGAAGAAGATTTGCGTCGACTTTCTTTGAATGTGTAAATTTACCATTCCGAAGAGTTAGCAACACGTCACGCGGATATTTTGTAGATAGCTTTACTTTTAATGACTGGAGAAGAGTAAATATTTGTTATAAATATTATTCTGAGAGAAACAGACTTTATTAGACGCAAGTTAACCCAATTTCTTGTCTTCTTTCCTTCCACTCCCAGTGCTCGCTTTGGAAACCTTTGAAAAGAATCCTACCAAATAATATACAAGGAATCGCACGAACATTAAGTTTATCCATCTCTTTGCAACAGAAACAAACCAAAGGTAGTTTCTAGATCTTCTTTTGTCTTGTTCCATTCTTTTCGAGTAGGGCGCATAAATACTAGGCCAGGTCGTTTGGCTCCTTTCTTCTATAGAAATGTCACGAGAAGTTTTTGTTACTCCTTTCTGTGACGCCCATTCGATATCTTTTCGATTCTTGCCAACTTCTACTGCCTTTATGGACGACATGGGAACTGACATAGCAACTTGGGAACTTTCAGGAGGTTTTACTTCGTTAGATGGGCTTGAAGCTTCTAAACTCGATAAGGAAGAATGCGACTCTGAGATTTTGTGAACACGTTCGAACAAGTAGTCCACTGGAGTTTCATCTCCTATAAGATAAGGTGCTTTCAAAGCAGTGTCTTTTCTTGTGTTGTTCCCAGGCAGTTCCTTTATCGATTCTTCTCGGTTGTTATATTCGAAAATATTTGTTATTGCTTTGTTACTTCGTAACTTATTTTCAAACTGTGTTCTTAGTACAGCAATTTCCTGCTCGAAACGAAAGCGTCTTTTGTATGCTCCAGGAATAGAACAAGCTGCTCTTTGCGTACTAGATGGGAGTAACAAGCATCTTTTACCAATTCTCTTTTGATTCAATAATAATTTCTTATTCTGGTTCCAAATAAAGGGTCTAGTAAAGGTAAGGTTTACTGACATGGGAGCTGCAGGATGAGATGTTATTTTTCATAAGCAAAAATGGGATATCATTTTCTCATTTGGATTGTTGGTTGATGATATACTTTGCAACTTTGGTCATAGTATTATTGAAAAAGCTTACAAAGTTGGCAATACAATATGCATTCATCACTAACAGATTAAAGAGTTGAAAACTTTGGCTCATTTTTACTTACATTCATGATTGACTTAAGTCTTTCTATTGATGATTATTTGATTCATCCAAACTTTAATACGGAAAGTCACAAATAGAATTTTGAAAAATTTTTGTAGAGTTTCAAGAAGAAATATGGATCGCATATGGAAACGAGTTGTAACGATACTAAGCATAATTCTCGCCACATTCACTACTAGTAGTACTATGGTTATCTATAACAAGTGGCTTCTTAGGTAGAATAAAAGAGTTTGTAATTTATAGATAACTCACACCTGTGCTTATATAGTGACTGTCAGTTGGAACAAGCCCCGTGTAACAAGTGGTGAGTTAAACAGGCCAAAAAAGATGATACATTGAGAGTTTGTTCTTTAGGAATTTTCCGTTTCCACTCTTAGTGACAGCAAGTCATATGGGCTTCATATCACTCTCCTTAGGACTTGTGTTTCGCTTCACAAACTGGTGTGAAAAGCCTTCCGTTCCAAAAAGGTTATACTACCTATTTGTAGTCCCATATTCCATACTGGTGGCACTTGTAAGTATTCATCATATTCTAGTTGTAGTTGCTGACGATTATGTTGTATAGGACATTACACTATCCAATTCAGGGTTTCTTTATTTGGAAGCCTCTTTTGTGGAAATGATAAAGTCTTCTATGCCAGCTTCTGTTTTGTTGTTTTCGGTTGTTTTTGGACTTGAAGTTGTATCTGCCCGTCTTATTATTGTTGTTTCTTTGATTTCTGTAGGTCTTGCCTTATCAAGCTATGGAGAGGTGAACTTTCAGCTTACTGGCTTCTCTTTGGAGTTAATTGCAGTCTTAATTGGGTCATTGCGCTTAGTCTATGCTCAGTATTTACTTCATGGGAAGGACGATGATGACTTGACAACTAATCAAGAGATGACTGGTGTATCCATTTCCAGTCCGCATCGTTTGAAAACACTTCAGTTGTTATATTATCAAACCAGTATTGCATTTTCGTTTTTAATCATTCCAGCTTTGTTTTCAATTATTTCTCAATACCACAAGTTTCAAGTACCTAATGAAACTGTGTATCTTATTTCTACTTGTCTTATTATTCTATCGGGTGCTATCATAGCGCTAGCATTGAATATTTGTGACCTCTTGATGGTTTCGTATACTTCTGCATTGACCTGCACTGTCGTTGGGACTATTAAAACTGCCGTTGTTGTGGGAGCTTCTTGGTTGGTATTTCGAAATGCTGTTTCTTATCTCAACATCTTGGGTTATATGATCTGCTTACTTGGAGTTATTTTGTATAATTGGATTAAATATCAAAAGATGAAACAGAAAGAGTTGGAAAAGGAGAACAATAATAATCTTGAAGCGGACAGAGTCAATGATCCAGAAACGACCGAATTTATCGTACAATCGGAAGAACAAGCTACTTGATATATCGGAAATTATAACTGCAAACATTGGTTAATATCTTTCATAGGAAACATTCGCATCTCGATGTATCATTTTACCAGAACTTGTTACTAATCCAACAGTTTTACAGACGCACTTGTGTTGTTGTAACCACTCTTGAATACGACTGGCTGCCTGAGGCTCGACAATGAGAGCAAAACCCATTCCCATATTGAATGTACGATACATTTCGTGATTGGAAACAGTTCCTAACTGCTGCAACCATCGAAATTCAGGTAAAACAGGTAAAGGATCGATTATTTCGAATCCTATTTTGCCTGGTTGCAACCTTAAAAAGTTAGTTAGGCCACCTCCAGTTATATGAACTGCTCCATGGATACTAGAAAAATTACATGGATTCTGCGTTCGCTGGCAACTTTCAAATAATTCTACAATTGGGTCAACATAAATTTGGGTTGGATTCAACAAAACTTCTCCAACTGTTGGCTTTTCATCTTTGGTCGTTTCAAAGCGTTCAATATGAGAAAATTCATCGTTGGCCACATTCATATCAATATGTTCACCAAGAGTCACATTTTTATCTCTTATGATGGAACGAACAAGAGAATATCCTAAGAAATAGTTGAAAATATAAAAGAAAAGTCGATCATTCTAACCGTTGGAATGGAAACCTGTCGAAGGGAAACCAAGTATCCAGTCTCCGGGAGCACAATCATCACCCGTGATTTGAAGATCCTTTGGAACCCAACCCAGAGCTGTACCACTCATATCCAATTCTTTTACAAGATCAGGAAGCGTTGCTGTTTCACCTCCACAAAGACTGACTCTTCCCTAATATTCACATAACAAGTTTATCATACGAAAATATTTTTTCAAGAGCATAATAGTACCTTCATACAAGCAACTGCTAATGAATTTCCTAAAGAAGCCCAAGTTTCTGGATTAGCTTTGGGTACAGCTATATAATCTACAAACGCAATGGGTTCTGCACCAACACAAAGCAAATCGTTCACGTTCATTGCGACACAATCTATGGCAACTGTATCATAATAGTCAAGTTCTGCAGCAATGGACAATTTACTTCCAACGCCATCGGTTGTTAGTGCCAATAACTTGTCTCCAAATTCTATCAAACCAGCAAACTGACCACTTTTACTGGTTAAACGTCCGTATTTCCTATCTTGACGGGGATCCTTTCCATTCGTAGCACTTTTAAAACGACTGATCAAAGCTCCAACACTTGAAGACTCCAAATCAATATCGACACCCGACCTAGCATAAGTCCAAGAAGACGAAGGTGGTTCCGTAGAAGAAGAGACTTGTACAGGTCTTTTCACTGTATAAATACTTTTTTGTTGCTTTTTATTTCCCCACTTTTTAAAAAGTATATTATTATGCTTTTGAAGAATGATTTGGTTCTGTTTGTGCTGTGGTGTAAACGAAGCATATTGAAAACCCATCGCAACAGAAAAAAGGAATTTCTATCGATACCAACGATACAAATCATCTTTCTTTGTTGTGGGATATTCTCATATACTTTCATCAGAGCATTTTCCTAGATAGCAAGTAGGAGATAAATTCGAGCAACAACTCAGATAGTATCTCTATCTCAGAATGATATACAATGACAAATGGGCTTTATTGTAGCAAGTTACCAACATCATATACTCCGAGCTGAAGACCTGTTGGATACAGCATGAGAGTGATGAGAGATATTTTCAAGCTACATATTGATCGAACAGAGGATTATTCAATAGGCAAATAGAAAGAGACCCAAAAAGCATAAGAGAGCATTCATTCGCCATGGACACTGGAAGTGACCAAACCTCTTGTCACATCTGGAAAAGCTTGAAACAGTTTAGGAAACAAGGGCTTTATTAGACTTTATCCAATACGAAAAGACTCGAAAATAATCGTTGTTCCAAATTGCTTAGAAAATAGAAGCGACTTGTCGTTCTTCCGTAATATTATCGAATAAGGTAAAATTTATATTCCGGAGATTAGAAATAATCCCGATGAGTGATCTTAGCGCTTGTTTTTGCTCACCTATTCAGTTGCATAACAATCCCTTATTCGATAAGAGAAAAGAGTTTTTTTGGAAGGAAAGTTTATACAATAGAAGATACTTTCCTGTTCATACCATTCAAAACTCTTGTCACACCTTGTACTATTACTGGTTTCTCCCGCTGTTCAGTGAAAACAACTCGAGACAATCCCTTGTACCGTTGGTGTTTAAACTCTCCGTAAGAATGTCGGGAACCAACAAGAGAAAGAAAAAGAGTAATAACCATTCGCAGAATTCGAAAAGTTCCGAGAAAAAGAAAGAGTCGAAAAACATAGAGTTTCGTGGACCCCTGTCAGAGGCATATTACGACTCAGATAAGCTCAACAACGACCTTGTGTACTCTGATATTGCTAATACCGACAAAAAGAATGCCAACAAAGATAGAGTTGAGAGTTCTTCTTCTAAACTGGGTTCAATAACTTCCAACACAACTAAAGATTTGTCATATGGAGACGATGCAAGCCCCCATAAGCCCTCTCCAGATTTCCAAATAGCTGAAGATTCTATCAAAAGTCTTACAGAGAACTTTAAGAAGAGACGAGATCAATTTGTTCAGAACCTAGAAAAGGATCCAAACTATGGTTTGAAACGTATTGATGAAGACGACTCTTACGATTGGGCAGCAGCTTTGATTGGTAGAGGACGCGCGAATAAGAAAGGATTCTTTCTTTTACCTTATCTACAAAGTGGCCATATTGTATGTTTAGTAGTAGTGTTGCTTTGTACCTTTGTGTACTATCCTGGGTTTTACTTGACAGAGCTTCCGGAATCTACCAGAGAAGTTCTCAGAAAGTCCTTGGCAATTGTCTTTTCTGTGAATGGCATACTTGCTGGATACGCCGGTTGGGAAGCCAAGAGAAGAAATCAACCCATTGTGCTATGGATAATCAAGTGCATGTTGTTAGGAGGACTTGCACTGAACGAACTACAACAAAATGTACCACTTACTATGAAGACTCCAAAACAGGACTCTCTTTTACCAACAAGTATTAATAGAAAATAAAAAGTTAACAAGCTGAAGATTTCTCTTGCTGTTTCCATTCTGAAAGTATTGCAGACCCTACCCATTCTCTTTCAATATTATAAGATTGTACAATACGACATAAATGTCTTCCTCCTCTATATCGTCCTACTTCTATCTCAAATGTAATTCCGATTGGAAGTGACTTTGGAACAAATACAAATATATCACAAGGCAATAGAAATAAATATCTGTCCTTCTCGTATTTGCCAAGTGCTGGAAATTCATATACATCATTTCCAAACAAAAGATTATTCTGTGAATGATCATTCAAGTAAAACTTTCTTCCTACTGTTGAATCATAATGACTGCCTATCCGTGATATCTTCCACCAACTACAGTCTCCTATCAGTTGGCTTTCTCTCTTACGAACTGCCCTTCTTTCCCCTTTCAGTCCTTTTTGAATATTCAGTTTGGCACAAGGATCTACAGACTGGGCATTTTTTAGTGGCAAATTCCTTCGTACAGTAAGGTTATTGATATTAGATGGCTCCGATTTCCACTAGGACGAAAATTCAATTATGCTTTTTGACACAAGATAGATATGACTCCTACCTCACTTTCACATGTAACAGAATAACAAGGGAAACTGGAAGACTGGATTGTAACTCCTCTTCCTTTCCAAACTCCCAACAATGCTTCCATTTCTAGAGAATCCAACGAATGCAATCCATTTCTTTCATCGTTGCCAAACCATATACAAATATTGCGCAAAGTCTGTGAAAAAATAAAAAATATAACAGCGGTTCTCTAAAAACGCACTTACATCATGCTTTTCATATTCCAACTCTATTATTGTCAGTGACTCATGAACAAATCCAAAAAATAAACACAAGGTTTCATCCTGTTTAGAGTCTATCCAAGAAAAGGCATCCAAATTTGGAGATATAACAAGAGATTGCAAAAAAACTCTCTCAGTTACTTGACAGTAGCCTCTCTGCTCTGAGGTTGAGCAATGAATATCAAACGCATATTTCATGTTGTCACCAGAATGTATATCAAATGAGCATGCAAATTTGTGCAATAAGATGCCTTGTGCATTATAAATATATTTCCAACCATAAAACTTGCGAAGACTAAAGATATCCAACAGCTTGTGATAATCTGTCCATTCTATAACGTCAGGTGCCTCCTTTGTTGTCTCATTATTGTCCGCTACAAGACGAAAAGGTGACAACAAGTTTGACATATTTTCAACAACATAGGCTCCATTCTCTTGTGCTAAGTTTTGGTATCTCCGTATTGCTTCTGGATCCAGCGGTTCAAAAATATCTCCATAACTGACAAATTCTTCTTCACAAGGCTCCAACGTTGAAAGATTAGCTAAAAATTCTTCCATACTAACAGCATGGGAGTAATTATCCGAAGGACCTTTCAGACTGTGAGGCAAAGGTCCATCATTATTTGGTTGAAAGTTGTGGTCTTCCCAAGCGCGCGTCCACTCACCTAGATCCCCTTCAAAAGTGAATGCCTCGTGTGGAATAACAAACGTTTCGTCTCTAGATATATTATCGTCCTCTAGTTGTGAGACACTTTCGTGGGAACAACACTCTAGTCTTCCTCGTCTGGATGCACAGATATTCAAGTGTACGTGACCCCGCTGCAAACCACTTGTTTCACTCTTCGTATGGCATATAACAGTTTTAAACGTATTTCCAACATAAAATAAATTCACAAAAAGGATCGAAGAGGAATATAACATCATTTTAGGCAGAAAGCATTCTTTAACACTTTTTTCAACCCAAATCTCCACATTTTAGTTGAAACATTATTTTTCGTAGATGAAGTATCGTTGTAAGTAGCTTGAACATAACCAAAAGTCATAAACAATGAGGCAATATTAATGGTTATCCACTCGAAATTGTATAACCTGCAGAATTCTCGCTCTTCAGTCAAGTTGCAAATAGTTTTACGGGATAGAACTCATACTAGAGAGATTACTTTGCGAATTGTTTATTTCATGGAAGAATTCAACTAGTTATCACTTTCGTTTGTATAAAACTACAAAAGAGTTTTGCTAATTTAAGCTATTACAAGTGGACTGTCAACTAGAGTGGGGTTCCTGTCTTTCAGGCTGTCATACTTTCACTATCTAAGGAGTTTACAAACCGTTTATGGACTTTAACAAAGGACGAACTTGAGGGTACCTTGAAGCTCTATCAACTAACTGCCAGCGGAAAACAAGTCTATTGAGAAGACAAAACTGTAGAATAGGACTTTTAACCATATTGACACGTATTCTAAGTTGTGTCTATTTCGCCTCCTCAGAGATATTAAGAACGTTCTTCCAGAGTGATTGTGGAGCTGTTTTATGGTTCTCTATGAGTAATAGAATACTGTAAGACAAGAAGAGCGGTCCTCATTCTATTCTACTAGTAGTGTCTAATCAAGTGAACTTGACAAGACTGAAGCGTTTATGCAGAACAGGGTAAAAGTTTAGTGAATGACTATTCTCTTATTCAGAAACTCCGTGGTCGTTAAGTAGAAATTTGCCATTGTGAGGACTATAATACGTTTCCCTACAATTAAGACAAGTCTGTTATAATATAAGAATGAAATAATTATCGATTATGTATAGAAGAGAACAAGAGAAGAACAAGGAGGAACCGGTAAATTTTCTAGAAACATGCCGAATGGTAAGTCCAAATGTCATTACAGGAACTCCGTTTCATTTAGTCCATTAGACAAAAGCTTTAAAAGTTCTCTTATATTAGCTGTCTCATGTTTTCGAGAATTATTTTTGCAGTGTTGTTATGATGGAATTTCTGCGGAAGCTCGTGGAATACGAAAAAGTAGATTCTAACTCGGAGCCTGAGGTCCGAACACTTAGAAGAGGTCGTTTAGGTTTTTGGCATCTTTTCTTTCAGTCAGTGTCTATGATTTCGCCCGCCGGGGCTATGGCTGCAACTATGACAAGTTCCGCCAACTATGCCTGGGGCGCTTTGCCTTTCACATACTTGTTAGCAATTATTGCCGGTACTCTTCTTATGAATACAACAGTGTGGTATTCAATGAAAGTTGCATCGTCTGGAGGTTACTATGCGTATGTCTTTGCAGCAGTGGGCCCTAGGTGGGGTGTTATTTGTGGAATGATGTTTATTCTGGCATATTTCAATGTTGTTACTAACGGAATCTTGTTTGTCGGTGGAGTTTTCTTTCCTGGTTTTGTCAAGACAATGACTGAAGTAACGTATGCAGAAAAAGCTTGGATAGGTATTATGTTTGGCTTTATTCTTCTTATTTATACATTGGCCTTCCTTGGAATTCGTGTTTCTCTTGATTATGCCTTAGTGATTGGTACATTTGAGCTGGTCTTTATGTTTGCATGTACACTTGTAGTGGTTATTAAAGTTGGTTCGAAGAATACTGGAGAAGTGTTTCATCCTTCTTTAGCTCGTACACGAGCAGATATTGCTATTGCTGCGTTGCTTTCTTTTTTTTCTATCTCTGGATATTCTGCCGTGGCATTTCTTGGAGAGGAAGTGAAGAATCCTCGTCGTCAAATACCCATAGCTGTCATATTGGCCTATTCTACTGTAGCATTGTTGTTCTTCTTTATGTCTTATGGTTTGACTGTGGGTTGGGGTTATAAGGACATGTCTCATTTTGCTGCTTCGTTTGTTCCTGGTGTTATTGTGTTCAAGCGTTATTTGACTGCTGTTATTGGTTGGTTTATGGTTGTTTTTATTTTCAATGCCATGTTTCTTGGTGCTTTAGCTCCTTTGAATAGCTGTGCTAGAATTATTTTTTCTTTTGCCAGAGAAGGTTTGGTTTTTCCGAAAATTTTTGCCGTTGTTGATAGGAAGCAAAATCCAGTAGTATCGACAGCAGTGGTAGCTTTCCTTGCGACTATTGTAGCTCTTATTGCAGGACTTGCAATGGGTCCTTTTGATGGTTTTATTATGCTTGTGACAACTGCATCATTAGCTCTTTATGTCGGACATATTATTGCAAACCTTACTCTTGGTATCTTTTATTATAGACAGAAACAACTTAATTGGTTTTTCCATGTAGTTGTTCCAGTTGTTGCATCTATTCTTGTTGGCTTTAGTATATTTTTCACTATGTATCCTTATGATCCTGTTACATTAGCTTGTCCGATATGGACTGGAGTTTGGTTGATATTGTCCATTATTGGAGGTTACTTGACTCCACGTGACCGCTTAGACGCTGCTCAACGTCGCTTTGAACGAGTGCAAGATCTTATGGGTGCAACATATGTCAAAGTAGAAGGTGCTGCACAGTTTGATATGAGTGGAAGCAAGAATGAACCGGAGTTGTCAGTTGAAGCTGATGACTCTCATAGAAACAGTGAAGGAGGGGGTGGTTCTTCCAAATACGTCGACGATGAACTTGTTACAGCAACAGCAAAATAAGTTCATATCTACGATATTCTAGAATTTGTGTTTTTTTTATATTGAATGAAAGTATTTGCTTGCTGCTTTTGATGATGTCTTTCATGTTATTTTCACAACTCAATCATTTGGCATCACGAATAGGGTTTTCAAGAGAACCCCATTGAGAATCACATTCATCCATCCTTTCCGAAGTCCTACCAAGCCTATTGGATAAGAGATTATGTTGTCGTTCCTTTGTAGTAGTTCTGGTGGTGCGTTGTTTTCTTCGAAACAGTCTTCTTTTGTATACGATAAAAAGAGTAATCGAGGTCCTGGGTCCTGTTTTCATCAACGCTTCGTGAGGAGAAACAATGTTCTTGTCATCTTTCCAGAAGCCAGTGACTCCGTCTCTTCACCACTTCCTTTAAGAGATAGCAGTCAGAAACCAACTTCCGATAAGAACAGTTCAAAGATGTATCCTACCAACAGTACAACAACAGCTTCGTCCAAGGAAAATGTCAAGTCCAATCAAACGCATCGATCTTTTGGAACTACTCAAACAGGAACCAAGTTTGTATCTTCAGGGGGTGCTGTAAATCCCTGTGTTATTAAAGTTGTCGGAGTTGGTGGTGGTGGAAGTAATGCTGTGAATCGAATGTGTGGAATGGTTGAAGGAGTTGAATTTTGGTGTATCAACACTGACGCTCAGGCTCTTTCACGTGTGAAAACGAGCAACTCTGTAACAATAGGGAGCGAAATTACTAGGGGATTGGGTGCTGGTGGGAAACCTGAAGTTGGTAGACAGGCAGCAGAAGAGTCTCAGGCTGCAATAAGCTCAGCAGTTCAAGGTGGAGATCTTGTGTTTGTTACAGCGGGCATGGGAGGTGGAACAGGTTCAGGTGCAGCGCCTATTGTTGCCAAAATAGCCAAAGAACAAGGTTGTCTTACTGTTGGAGTTGTGACGAAACCTTTTAGCTTTGAGGGAAGAAGGAGAATGCAACAGGCAGAGGAGGCAATCGAGGCTTTAAGGAAAGAAGTGGATACTTTGATTGTAGTTTCCAATGACAAGCTACTTGAAATTGTCCCCGAGAATACTGCCTTAGAAAAGGCTTTTTCTGTAGCAGATGATATCTTAAGACAAGGAGTAGTTGGAATCTCAGAAATTATCGTTCGTCCAGGTCTAATTAATGTTGACTTTGCCGATGTTCGTTCTATTATGGCAGATGCAGGTTCAGCTTTGATGGGAATTGGAAGCGGTTCAGGCAAATCCCGTGCCAAAGATGCCGCAGTTGCTGCCATTTCTTCTCCATTACTTGACTTTCCAATTGAGCGTGCAAAAGGAATTGTTTTTAACATTACAGGCGGAAATGATATGACGCTACACGAAATAAACGCAGCCGCCGAAGTTATTTACGAAGCAGTGGACTTGAATGCAAACATAATATTTGGTGCTTTGGTCGATGATAGTATGGAAAATGAATTATCCATTACTGTCATTGCTACTGGTTTTCCGCAGCCCTCTGATAGTGCATCATCATCTATGACACAAAAAGCATCTGCTGTTGACGTGACATCTTTCATTCAAGGAAGTGCGAGTCCTCGTTCATCTACTTCATCTTCTTCATCAGTAGCCTCACATGTAACTAAACCCAAGCGTGACATTCCAGATTTTTTACGAAGGTTTCAACAAGAAAATAAATGATTTGAATTGGGCTGGGATGGTATAGTTAAGTTTCTCTATATCACGAAACCCAATCGATTGCAGGGCAAATAACCCACGAGAGAGATGCATGATATTCCCATACAATCATTATTTTTGTTCTTCTCATTAACCAAGATTCAAAGAACCCATTAAGCGGTTTTCCAAAAGCCATTGTTGCACTTGAGAAGCAAAACCTAAGCCTGCAAGATTTATCTCCGTCAACATGGGACAATTTTCGATTAATTTGTATATAATCTCTTCCGAAAGTTGTTTGCAGCTAAACAAATTCGCCACTTTCAGATTGGATGAAGCTACTTCAACAACTCGAAGATTTCTACAACCAGAAAGATGCAAATTTTGTAATGCATTATCATAAATATGACAATATTCAAGAGATGTGCACTGCGAGAGGTTGATAGTAGTAAATCTCAAGTTCCTATCAAGATGGAACCAATTTATGTTCTTACACTGCGTCAAAGTCAAGCAGTGTTCGTCATCTCTGGACTCATTTCCTTTAGGAACATGATTAATCACCAAAGCTCCAGATATTCTTTTGCAACGAGATGCCTTCAACCGAATAACACCATTTTCTATGGCAAATTTTATAGCCGCAGTTGTTACTCGTGTCGAGTCTGAAATATCCAATTCTTTCAGATGCGGTTTAAGTCGTTTCACACTTTGTTTCACAAACTCGTCGTCCACAGTTGAACATCCTCCTAACTTCAAGCCACAAAGATTCGGACAGTTATCCCGAAGTATCCATATGTCACCAGGTTGTACAGGTAGTCCACCAACATCGACCTTCTTCAAAGTCGCGGAACGAAGTCCTCGCATCACAACGGAAGCAACTTCAGGGAATCTTTCCACCCTAAATATAAGTATTAGCAATTGCATATTTGGTACCAAGAGGCAAGCTTTTACCAAGGCCAGTTTCGGAATGAAAGCACTTCCACGTAAGAAAAAAAACGAACAAGCGAAAGAATCTGACGACCAGTGGGGATACTGATCCGTTTCAACACTTGAATTACTTAATACAGGTACACTTACTGAAAATACTGCTTCAAAGACTTTCCAAGAAGAAGTACGTGAATTTTCTTCACTAGTTGTCTTACCACATAGCGCCAACGACGACAAACCTACCTAACGTTGAGAAATTGTTTCTAGGGTAGTCCAAAGCATACTGAAGCTATGTAGCAAAGGTGAACAGTGTCTAACTTATTGAATATGAACAACAATAAATCATCACTAAGTGAAGCAAATGGATCATCGTGTTCCATGAACGATTGGCACAAAGAAAAATGGCGCCTTTTCATTTTCTTCTTTGAGACATGAGTCATCCAGACAATGAGGTAAGACAAGGAATGAATTCTGAAGAAGTAATGAGTTATACTATTTAGAATGTGTTGATGCTGTTCAAAAAACTTGATGCTCAAGTTGCCTGTTTAAGTGAAACTTTGAAGGAGATAATAGATATCTTACAAGAGCCAAGACAGAATAAACCAACACCCTTGACTAAGAAAACTCGGCCTGGTCCGAAACCGAAGGTCCGAAGTCCTCCTTATTTCAAAGGCAACGAGTTGAAAAGCATTTGTAAGAGAGCCTAAAACAAATGGAACAACAATGGCAAAAGAAAGGTCTTCATGACAGTCATCTTTCTTTTGTTCCTTTACGGAACATAGTAAATGCAAAATAATTTGTAATATCTTTTTGTCTATGTTGATTGAGATATTCTTTTCAATTTACTATGAACATAGTATGAAGAACAGTATTCGAACTTTATCATTTTTTCACATTTCTCTCTCTGTGTCTTTCCAAATGAGTCATATGGCTAATTGAACGAGTCTTCCATTCTTCCTTTTCAGAGGGTGCAATTCAATCCTTGTCATTTTCAGTGAGCATTCTGATGGTGGATTATGAACCGAGAGTCGTTAAGTTTCACATATGTGACAGACCATGGCTAAGTCTTTATAACAGAAATTTGATATTGTATGCTTCGGAATGCAGTGATAATTGTTATTCTCACGAGTTTCTATAGGAAGACAAAGGCAACAGATGAAGGGGAAGCCACTTCAGTATTCAATGGTCCATCTGGCGACTGTCTTAGTGATGACGTTATGTATCAAATATTTGCACGTCTTTCGCCTTCTGATCTAGCAGCATGTTCAAGGTACTTTTAATTATCGAGTTGTTGACTTCTCACACTGTTCAAGAGTTTGTCGTCGTTGGAATTCGTTGTCTTTTGACCCAGCACACTGGAAGCGAATCTGTATGGAAACCTGGCCTTCAGGTGGCAACGTGGAAACTATGAAGAGTGTTGTGTCTTATGGTATCTATAGTGTTGTTTCTTATATTGTTCGTTTATTTCGAGTGACTATCACAGGAGGCTCCTGGAGACGCATGTTTTTGGAACGTCCACACCTTAGGTTTGATGGAGTTTACATTTCAAGGCATCAATACATTCGAATGGGACTAACTGAAGGAAAATATAAGCAACCAGTTTTTCTGGTAACCTATTTTCGGTTCTTACGATTTTATCCAGATGGTGGGTTTGTTGGTTGTAGATGACACACATATCTGAGTACTTTCAAGGTATATGCATAGTGTTAACAAGTGCAGAAAAGCCTACGTCAGCTGTGAAGCGTCTAAGGTTTGCGTTGTTGTATGCCCTGTTACTGAAGATTTAAAAGTTTCCATAGAAGAAATTGGTCTCCCTCAGCAAACGAACGCGATAAAGCGACACCTTGTTTAGGTAGTTATGAGTTCAACGAGAAAACGAAACAAGTTACTGTCATAAGTTCTGTGAAACAACCAAAATATCCTGAAATGCGAGATGCGACTGGTATGTTGACTTTTGAACGTGAACAAATGCTTATAGTGAATTTATAGTTGTTTATTCATTGAAACTCTCATCAACCTGTCGCGGTGCAAATGATCGGTATGTTATTTATCCTGTTGAATTCATTCACTTATATTGTTTAGTTTATATGTTGAGAGTCACTTTTCTATACATGAAGGCTCAGACTGTCCAGTATTCCACTCAAAAGACAAACAAGTGAAATACTATTCTTTCATTGCATTTCGCTGTTTCCATGAACGATGTGCACGACTTTTTCATGAGGAAGACTACATCAAGGCTAACTGAGTTGAGATGCTTTCAGAATTGAGAAATGCTCAAACACGAATGAATGAATGAATGAATGAATGATTGGAACTTTGTTGAGAAACTTGGAGATTTGTTTATTCCAATTTGTAGATTGCAATTCTATCTCGAAGGGGTCGTCCTTTTCCATATTTTTGGGTCAATTTGGCAGAAACTTAATTGGTTATTCCTCAGTATATTCCATTCTTGTAAATACGTGGTTCCTCGACTGTCTCAAGATATTAATATAACGATACTTTAGTTATTTCCTTTTTTCTTTCTATTTTGTTTTTTTCTTGATGTTGTTGTAGGCTTTCTAGATGACCGAAACCAGGTTCTCTTGGGTCTTGCATATATTTCATCGGCATGATCGATCAAATTTTGTGCCTTTTTTGCTTCCATCTCAGCCATCTCTATCTCTTTCTCATGTCGCTCTTTCTGTAACTGTTCTTTAATTTGTCCTTGCTTACTAAAAAGTATTTCTAAATACTTATCCAATACACTGTCAGTAATAGAACGAGACTTTAATGTAGTCTTGGAACGTTTTTGGATGACAGAAAGCAATCTACGAGCATGGCTCGTTTCATCCACTAGCGTTACTGCCTTTCCCTTTGCTCCTGCTCTGGCTGTACGACCAACTCGATGGACATACGTTCGAATGTCATTTGGCATCTCGTAATTGATAACCGTTCGAACATCAAATATATCCAATCCTCTGGAAGCAACATCTGTGCAAAGCAAAAACTCACACTGACCTTTGCGAAATCGATTCAATGCCTCCATTCGTTGCATTTGTGACAAGTTTCCATGAAGCTCCACAGCAGAAAGACCAAGCATACCAAAAATAATAAATATTTGATGTGCAACAGATCTCTTAGAAAAGAATAATATGACTCTTTGTGTATATGTCCTACAACATAATGCTAATAAATAAGAGATTCTTTTGTTCACATTGTTGCCGTCGGATATCAATACAAATTCTTGTTCCAATGTCTTGGAAACTTCGTATAAAGGATCGACCACAATATTCGCAGGCTCTTTTAACGACAATAAGGCCAATTGTTGGACACTTGTCGTCATAGTTGCACTGAATAGCAAGGTTTGACGTTTAGGAGAACAACTTCGAATAATCTCCTCCAACTCTTCAGAAAAACCAAGATCTAACAATCTATCCGCCTCATCCAAAACTACAATTTCAACATCATCAACACTGAAACCCTTTGTATTTCTTATATGGTCAATGATGCGACCAGGTGTTCCAATGACAATATCTGGACATCTCTGCAGGGCATCTTGTTCCGCTCTCACAGCTAAACCGCCAATAGCCAACTCAATATCAATATCCATGTTCTTGCTAAGCTCTGTAAACACTTGTTTGCACTGTAAAGCAAGCTCCCTTGTTGGAAGTATCACAATGACACGAACCAAAGAAACTTTAGAGGCGCTTCTCCATAGTTTTTCCAAAATAGGGACGGCAAAGGCTCCCGTCTTTCCAGACCCAGTAACAGCGCTGGCACAAATATCACGGCCTACTAGTGCCAAAGGAATGACTTTGTCTTGAATTGGAGTGGGAACTTCCCATCCCAACTGGCGGATGGCCACAAGGAGTGGTCGCGAAATACCAAGTTGCAAAAAAGTGGAGTCGCCCATCATCAACTGCATTCGTTCCGAAGAATACTCGTAGTCTTTTCTACGCTTTTTTATAGACTCTTTAGACTCTGGCCCAGCGCTAAGGTTCGCAATCGACTGGTCTGTTTGATGTGAGGTTTGTTCAACAAAGTTGCCAATCTCTGATATGATAGACTCTCTTTGCTTCGATGTTTCAATTTCATATCTTCCCAATTGTTCAACATTATTGTTTCCACCGAAAGTTCCGTCGTCAATAAAAATAATGTGTTCCTCGAGAGAACTGAAGCTGTCCGTCGATGAGTCCATCTAAAAGAATTTGTAAAAGATGGCGAATGTTCTCAATCTCAATAGCCGTTCATTTTCGGAATACATCGAGTTTCAAATTATAATGAGCTTATCACAATGATTATCGTCATGTGATTATAGCAAAGAGTCTGTAGACAAGTATTAGAGGCGAAGAATAAGGAACTAATGATAGTGGAATTTGCATAGCAACTTTATCAATAGACATATCAATTAAAAACAAAACACTCATTTATTCTCAAAAAGCTAACACACAACTTTCCCACTTGCTCTATTTCTACAAACCCCAACAAAACAAAAAGATAAAGCTAACATACAAAGAATCATTTGACTCTACTAAAAATCAACAAACGACCTCCTCGAGTACGACTTATACGCAAATCATCGTCCAACTTGACATACGCAACACGTCTCAGAAATAGTTCATCAAAAATAACATATACTTACATAATAAGTGTCAAGAAAAAGTTCAGAAGAAGAGCCTTGAACTCGTCGTAAGATGTCTCCAAATGGTATATCCAATTGAATACCACCCAAATCAAGTCGGTTAGCAACAGAACGTCCTTTCAAACTCGTTTTATCAATCACTATTTCTAGTCTCTCTCCACCCACAGGAGTTACTCGTGTTTGTTGTAAAATGGTACCCATCAACCCTGGAAATGCTTCAAGGTCTACTTCATTCATCAGCTCTCCATAAGACAGGGAAATATTTTGTCTCCACTGACCGATCCTCAAGAATGGAGTAACTGAAGCTAACAAAAGAGGATTTGTCTTGTAAAAAGGTACAGAACTATATATAAGTTCCCAGGAGCCATCGAGTTTGGTTCCATCCAAGGGATTGGGCGTAGGATTCAACGACTCCAATTCTGCTGCCAAATCTTCTACTTCAGAGCGTTGCTCTGGTCTGCTCATTTGACCCCTATCTGTACTAGCACATAACTGATATAGTCGTATCTTGCGATTGTATCGCCTGGCCGCCTCGCCTATGCCGAATGGGACCTCTTCCGTGGGGTCCTGCTGTGAGTTAGATTTGCTCTCACCGCCGTTGTTGCTGGTATTGTAGGCACCAGACATCGTGCTCTCTCCAAAACTATCATTTTCCTTACGACTACTGGAATACTCATTACCAGGGGAAGTAAAATTGTCGCCATTAGAAAGAGAATTTTGCGAATAAAAGACAGGAGTCGTTCTTTTTCCCTTCAAGTTCCTAGCATTTGAAGGAAACAAAGTTTTGGAACGGAAACGCCAGCTAGAGCCACTGCATGTCTTACAAAAAGAACACTTGCAAGAATAAAAAGAGCTGAAGGTAAAACTAGCTTGAGAAAGGAAAAGTAAAGATTTCTCCGAACGCATGAAAAACATAACACCACCGCCACTCAAGAAAAAATAACAAATTGCGCCAATTCTGTTTCTATTGGACAAACATGTCGACCAACTCTAAACCTTGTCAGTGGGCAAAGGTTGCCTTACAAGGTAAGTAAAAGAGTAGTTAGTCAGGGTAGCTACATTTATATCAAGGAATCGAATTGGAGGACCCTCATCCCCATATGTTTTTGAAAGAGCCAATATTTCCTGCAAAGGATAGCATTTTGGATTGCATAGGCAACACGCCTCTTGTCCGTTTGAGAAGAATTGAGCAAGCTGAGAATCTTTCCTTTGAAGTTTACGCAAAGTGCGAATTCATGAACGCTGGAGGCTCTGTGAAGGACCGTATTGGAATACGTATGGTAGAAGATGCGGAAAAGGTAAGCCGTTTGGAAAATGTGGCTTGTTTCTAAAAGTATACTTACCCTTTTTTAGAAGGGGTTGATAAAACCAGGATATACCTTGATAGAACCAACTTCAGGAAATACAGGAATAGGCATTGCTTTAGCTGCAGCAGTAAAAGGTTACAATTGTATTATTACGATGCCAGAGAAGATGTCCGAGTACGTCTTGATTCGACTACACATTTCTTGCAATTTATGGAGTTTTGTACAATAGGGAGAAAGTAAACATCTTGAAAGCTTTGGGAGCTGAAATAGTACGAACACCCACCGAAGCAGCTTACAACTCTCCCGAGTCACATATTCAAGTAGCTCAAAGGTTGAACAAAGAGATACCCAACTCGTTCATTTTGGATCAGGTATAGTTATTTTTTTTATAGGAGGTTGATTGCTGAAGAATTGATTTAGTATTCTAATCCAAGGTAGGCCTAGAAGCCAATTATCGAATATCATTGAATGATATCCAATTTGTAGCAATCCACTAGCACACTACGATAGCACAGCAGAAGAAATAATTCAGCAGGTTGATAGAGTAGATATTTTGGTAGCTGGTGCTGGAACTGGTGGAACGATTTCTGGTATTGGAAGAAAACTGAGAGAGATATACAAAAAGAACGTCCAAATTGTTGGTGTCGATCCTGTTGGCAGTATTCTTGCGCAACCAGATTCACTTAATACAGAAATTTGTTCGTACAAAATTGAAGGGATCGGTATTTGACGTCTTGTTTTGTTTTGGCGGATAACTGAACTGTTTTGTGGTGAGGTTATGACTTTATTCCACGAGTACTCGATCGTTCCATTATTGATACTTGGTTTGTACACGACCAGTTTTGAGTACTTGCTTCTGAAATAATTCAGGGTTAAGACGAATGATTATGAAAGTTTCCAAGCTGCGAGACGATTGATTCGAGAGGAAGGTCTTCTCGTGGGTGGTTCCAGTGGTTCATGCCTAGCCGGTCTTTTGAAGATTGCAAAAGATATTCCTCCTAACAAAAAGGTAGTTTTGATTCTTCCAGACTCCAGTCGCAATTATATGTCAAAATTTATATCTGATGACTGGATGGAACAAAATGGCTTTCTTGAGCGTCCTTCTCCCGTAAGATTTTGGGTCGAAACTTTATTTGGTATTTATTTGAGCATTGTATATGTAGTTGGAACATGAAACTTGGGCATATTTGCCTGTTACTGCATTACCTTTACAGGAACCAGTGACAATACTTGGCAATGTATCTTGTGAAGAAGCAGTATCCATACTTTCTTCGACTTCATTTGACCAACTTCCAGTATTGGATGAAAAGGGAAATATTTTGGGGATGGTAACCCAAGGTATGTGAAAATGGCAATTTTCAGAAACGAATATTGTGATTCTTGCAAAGGCAATTTAATATCACAATTGATGTCAAGGAGAGTTCGCAATCAGGATCCCGTCTGGAAAGCAGCGTATAAACAATTCCGGGAAGTTCGTCCATCAACCACGTTAGCTCAGTTATCTCGTATATTTCGATATGACCACTATGCACTTATTGTTTCGACACAAAAGTGTTATGAAAGTGCAGGAACGCTTACTGAAAAGAAAATAGTATCCGGTATTGTAACACAAATCGACTTGTTAGAATTCTTGGTTCACCAGCATAGTTCGCATCACGGTCCAGAACAAAATGGACGAGACGAACGAAAAACGAATCAATTGGACTGAAATAAAAAATTATGGCTGTATCAAATCATGCTAGAGATTTCATTTGATGACCAAACATTTTTGAGTCAATAAGAAAACGGATGAGCAAAAATCAAGTTTCAAATACTTATTTCAATTGTTTACTCGAGATACTAGCAAGTAGAAAATGGAAGTACAAGTTTGGGACGGGAGCGACAAAGGCATGGATTCTTTCCGAAATCCAGTATAAAAAATGTCGAAGTATGCACCGACGCTAGATAAGATATTTTGTCATTTCTACGCAAGTATATTCCGAATGAGAGATATACTTGTCACATGAAATGATAATCCAGAATATATATTGTATTGGTTATTTACTGTTCTAAAGTGATATATGAGACTAGAGTCATAGGTACAGGCTATTATTATCAGAGATACTTATTCATGAAAGTGTCCAAAGACTGACTGAATAAGACGAGCTTTCTCCCAAGCCAATCTTTGATGTGCAGAATTGATGAGCCGCTGTGTTTCTTCAATCTGTTTAAGAGCAACATCTTCCCAAGTATGCTGTTCAGATTTGTGCATTGATGTACTTAAATGAATGCCCAACAAATTCTCTCCAGACACATCTGGCTTCAAAGGACTTGATACCTTTGGCAAAGGATGGCGAGATTTCAAATACTTTCCAAGACTCCTTTGCTTTTCTGAAATAAAATCTATTCGCTTCGCTACAGACGAAAGAACTTGTTCAACTTGCACGTTGAAGCTTTCCATGCTTTCCATCAAATATTTCTTCGTAGCAAGAGCGTCTATAGCAACTTGAGAAATCGTCTCTATTTCGTTCCGATCCAAGAGTTTCTTGGCATCGCTAGCTTGCGGTAAAGAGTTGTGTGAAAAATGACATCCGAAATCTACGTCAGTAGTGGTTGAATTTCCAAATACAGGCTGCGAAACCTCGTACACAGAAATGTTTCCAAGAGACATTTCTGATTGCAGTGCTTGCTTGGCTGCAATAGAAATTTTCCTAAACACAGACAACAGCTGGGTGAGTTGTCGGATATACGAGCCCAACTCTTCAAATTCTACAGAATGACCGGAAAGTGTCATATCAGGTAAAAGGTTACTACATTGAACAGAGCCATTTTCACAATTAATATAGGAAGGAACATTTTCAGATAGTTGTTGCATAGCTGCTTGTAGGTTCTGCAGTTCATATGAGAAAAGAGAGAACACTTGTTGGCAGCTATCATCTAGGTCTTTGGAATCAGTCCAGTCACTTTCGTTAGCAACTCTCTTTCCAATCGAGTTGACTTGAAAAGTAGTATGTCCTAAAGAGTCCTTGCATTCTGTAGCAGAGTACGACGCCTCTATCATCAACTTTTCGAACAATCGATTGAAATATTGTTGTAGATTCTGCTTGACGGAAAGAAAGTCTGCAGAATTTGCTTCAAACAAGTCTTCCATAGCTTCCCGTAATTCTAGTGCACATTTCCTGATTTGGATTTGTTCGTCTTCCAAACTTTGTAGCATGGAACGAAGCAATTCACTTTCTTTCTCCATCTTTTTCCACTCTTCATAATATGACTCGGTCTCTTGCTGTAAAACCAGATTTTCATAGTCTCGTTGCCTTAGTAGCTGCTCTAGTTCAGTTTTATCTCGGGAAATAGGGAGATCCGTTGGAAGACCTGTTTCAGAGTGTTGGTCGTAACTTGACGCAACTATAGGTTCTGCTTCCGTATTTGATTCCTTAATAACCTGTGGTTGCTGAGAAGAATTAACTTGTTCGAATACAGCTATAGAATTATGTTCGAGAGTGGCTTCTATTTGACTAGGTGTATCGTTCTCGTTGGAACGAACCGAATGTGTAGTCTGTTGAGATGCTTGAACACCAGTTGACTCGTAGAGTCTCAGCTGAGATTTTTCACTCTCTGACGGTTTCGTCGCAAATTCTTCAGAAGCTGTTGATTTCGGCTTCGAGGCACTTTCAAGCTGCCTGGTCAAATCGGATTGATCTGATTCAAGCTTGGCAATCTTTTGTTGTAGAATCTCATGTTCTGAGCTGCTTTCCTCCAGCTCTTTACTTAGCAAGTTCAGCTGTGTTTGTTTCTGCACTAGTTCTTCTTGCAATTTCTCGATGGTATGTTGTTTTTCTGATAAGCTGATTTCCATTTCAGCCATTATCCCATTTTGGTTCTCATATTTCTTTAAAGCAGTTTCTAATTCTTCTCTAACTATATCGATTTGTTTCGATATTTGCTGTTTATCTTGCAAAGCATTTTCAAGTTCATCTTCCTTGCTTCGATACGATTGTTCAAGGGATGTCAAGTTTGTACGCAACGTCGATACTTCCAAGGTCATTGATTCAATTTGTTCTTTATAGGTATCAATGGCTCGCCTCAGTGAATCTCTTTCTTCAGTGATGCATTTCAATTCACGCTCTATAATTTCGTTTCGTTTGCGCAAGTTTTCTTCTATGATTGCTTCTTCGCTTATTTTCAAGTTCAACTTCTTTGCCTCTTCTCTACTTGTACATAATTCGTTTCGACATTTTTCCAACTCTTGTGCAATTAGCTGCGCTTGTTGTTTTAAAGAGGCGTTCTGGAATTGAAGTTCTTCTTGATTCACTTTCAACTCTTCTTTTTCTTTTTGAACCATTTCAAGTTGCTCTCTATAAATTCTGCTCTCTTCCTCAATTTCTTGATTCGATGAGCTCAAAGATGTCTTTTCCTTTACCAAACAATTGTAGTCGTGTTTTAGTTGCTCTAACTGTGATTCGTATTGAGTAAGCCTGTTATTTTGTTCATCTATTTCGGAAAGAAGAGTTCGTCGTAGAACACAGTCCACTGGCTGACCTCGCTGGAAATGATGTTCATTATCAGTCTGTAAAACACTCAACCACTCTTCGTATTCATTTAACATTTGTGAGAGTGCTGCGTGTTGTTCGGCTTTGGATAATTCTTCTTCTAGTCTCTTACTGACTTGTTGTAGCTCGTTGGAGATACGTTCATTTTCCAACCGGTAGTGACTCTCGCTTTCTTCAAGCTGTTGCTTTGTTTTTTCGAGTTGTTCTGAAAGTTGGTTGACTTCACTTTCATATCTTTGTTTCGCTTCTTCCATCTCACTCGTTTGTCTATGTAATTCCTCATTTAATCGTGCCATTTCTTCTTCATGACAACTGTGCATGTTCTTGTTCTCATTCCTTGTTTGTTGGAGCTCTACAGAAATTCTTGCAATGTCCATCTCATATTCTTCCTTTGTTCGTTCCCATTCATTTCTCTGTTTCTCATACTCTTCGAGCTTTTGAGCTCGCTCATCTTGATATTGATTCTTCAGTTCTTCTAGTTTGAGTCCCATCTGATCTAGCTCCTGAGACAGTCGGACAGTTTCTGCTTCCTTATTATCTCGTAATTCTTGCAATTCTTTTGTTCTTCGATCAAGTTCTTCAACAAGTTCCTCATTTTCAGCTTGATAGTGGCGCTCAGTTTCATCTAGTTGGTTTGTTACTTGTTCCAACTCTTCCGTGAGACGATTGACCTCCGCTTCAACTACACGTTGCTTCTCTTTTAATTCTTTCGTACGTTGGTCAAACTCTTCAGAAAGATCGGCTATTTGGTTTTCGTAATTTTCTTGCATTTCATTGAATTCATTCGTTTGTCGCTCAAGAATATCTTGATAATGCTTTTGAGACTCTTCCAGCTGACTCCTTGTTTCTTCTAGCTCTTCAGAAATACGAGCAATTTCAGCTTCATAATATTCTCGTTGTTTTTCCAACTCTTCTGTATGTCCAGTAAGCTTATCTTTATAGAAAGCTTGCGCTTCTTGAAGTTCTTCCTTGGATTTTTGTAACTCATCCAATAGTTTCTCATTCTCATTTCGGTAATAATATATCGTTTCATCTAATTGTGTCTCAACACTTCCCGCTTGTTGTAACAGCTGTTCTCGTTCTTCATGGAGAGCTAGCAGTGATTCTTCAGCTTGCCTCTTTGCTACCAAGGCATCTTCAACTCGTGCTTCCTTATACTGAATCTCATCTTGACATTTTAGTACTTTTTCTTGGAGATTGAACGTCTGCTCATATATCATCTTTAGGTATCTTATAATGTCATCGCTTTGAAGTTTTGATCGAGGAGATATTTGGGACAACCTAAGTTCAGGTATTTCTGCAAAGCATGACAATATATCTTGAAGCTTTCGGACTGGGACATACTCTGCATCCCAACTGTGTCGGGTTGGAGTGTTTTGGTTACTATGAGTTTTTTCCGGAGATCTCCGAGGTCCATGGGCATTTTTTATATCCATTTCTAGTGGAGAAGGTGGATTGCTATAAGCCCTTGGTTTCATTACTTGATTCGATTTTCTACCATCAAACTCGTAGTCGTGAGCAAATTTTGGAGATTTTTGGTTGTCATTCGATGATTTAGGAGATTGAAATTCACTATTGTCTGAATTTTTTGCCAAGTTTTGGAATAATGGCAAAGATTCTATGACATGATGAAAAATATTCTCCAAAGCAGCCCAATCATGCGAAACTATAGCTTCCTTTGGTATTTGAGACATTTCATTTGGAAAGTTTTCGGCAAGAAGATTCCATCGTTTGCGAAATACCTGAAAAGTTTCCGACAAAGAACTTGGCCAAGTATTGTCAGGCTTCAGAAAGTTGTTGTTTGTATCTCCATTTGCAATTTGTTCCTTGACTACGGAAGCATTATGTAGCGAATGTTTTCTTTCATACAACTCCTTGATTTTCTCTTGCAAAGAGAAGATTACTTTTCGAGCTTTTTTAAGTAGTTCGTCACGTTGTGCGACTTCTCGTTCCTTTTCTTCAAGTACTTGAAGCAGGTTGGCTTTGGGGCTTTGTAGTCCTGAGTCTTCCATACTCAGTGTTGACTTATTTGTCGTATCACCTTCAAAGTCGTTTGGTAGCAGTCCTAGCTTTTCCTCCAAGTGGAAGACTTGAAGCTTCAAGTTAAAGTTGGCCTTCTTCAATCTTTGTATTTCTTTTTCTTGTCTTCTCAAGGTAGCATCTGCAGAGTTTGATACAACAGGTTGTTCTTCATACTCTGGACTATTTAGAGTATCTCGAAGTGCGGAGAAAGAAACTCTTTCGGACATCTTCAGTCTCTCTCCGTCTAACAATCCCTTCACAAGGAAGGAACAAAACCCGCTAGAAATTCAAAATGATGGCCATAGTCTCCCCACCATTTTGCCATGTTAGACAGACCACGTCATCTTTCAAGAGGGTGCGGAAATTGACGTCATCCAACACTATATATTCTGTTGGGGGAATTGCTGCTGTTGAAAACGCCAATGAAAACCAGCGTGGATTTTCATAAAGAAATGCTGCTCATATATTCATATTCACTTTTTGGATTTTCAAGGTGCTTGGTACAAGGACTGATTTGTTCCTTGTTATTCAAAGAGAGTATTCCACTCTCCAAAAGCAGCATATCCCAAACCTAAGTATAAAGCATCCATCAATGGTTATTGGCTACTATAATAACCATAGCTGAGCTCATACTGATCAAGAGGAAGCATTCAAAATTTCCCAAACACGAACCATTTTAGCTCCTCGTAGCTGGTACAGGTTTCTGATTTTGCCATTTACAAAATCCAACAACTGTTGACGAAGAGCCATCAGGTTCGGATAACTTTCGTCAAATAGTTTTTGTAAATCCTTGAATTGGTAGAAGAATTCGACATTTTTCTAAAAAATATGCTAGTTATGCCTAAAATTCATGCTGTACTTTCAACACCAACCTTTGCTTCTTGTTCCGATAACCAGACGCAACGACTCGTATGATGGCAAAAATAAATTCCACAACGCTTATCACAACATATGAACTTGAGGTTTTTTACAGCAACTAGTGCTATTTTCTTGGATGACCTTGTTGCTCTTTTGATGACGCTGGGAATATTTTGAGCCTGTTCATCAAATAGTTTGACTGCTGTGACTGGGCCGTCTATTGTTTGCATTAAATAAATAAACCTAAAAAATTGCATTTGTTTTTCTATCCTTTTGAAACACAAAAAGGTGTCACTACCTTGTCCGACCATATTGGAGGTCTCCCACTAACAAAATAACAAAACAGCTATCAAACTCCTCGCCAGAAAATAATGAAGCGATTGCAGAAACTGACAACGAATAACGAGGAATCCAAAGTGTATCTAAAGGCTTCGTTGAACAAACTTGAATGGGCATTTTGCTAGGAACTGCCATGTGCAAGATTTCACTGTCAAACAAACGCTTTGAAGGAATAACACCGTAAAGACGAATAACGTAACCTTCGTTTCGTAATATCTCAAGTGCGTTGTCTGTTGGACGCCAAAAAGTGACATAAGCTCTTCTCTTGCCTCTTCTGTCAACCACCAATATTTCAGTCATACGAGACACATCTCTTTCCGATTCAACGAATGGATTGGTCATTTCAGAAGATGCCTGCTCTTCTTTTTTGAAAATCTCATCCAAACGTATGGAAATGTCTTCATTTCTTCTCAGTACAATTCTTTCTTCATCTTCTTCATTTCGGAACACCTAAATCAATTAAGCATATAAAATAAATGAAAAAATTCACACTAATCTAACAAACCTTTCGAGTCTTAGTTTCATCCCGCAAGTCACTCTCTACAAATCGAACAGGAAAGGAGCGCTCAATGACGACTTCAACACATGGGATTTGTCCACCCATTGCACGAAGACTACTCATACCGTGTAAGACAGGAGGATGCCTAATCTTTGTAATTAGAAGACATTTGAATATTCTAAGTAATAATACATCTCACCTTCTGGGTCCAAGTTTACAATTCCATCTTGCTCGACGAACACCATTAAAATGAAGCGATAAAACTGTGTTTTCTGGATTTTCTTCATCAAAGTGATGAAAGCTGGCACTGCAAACCGAAATTTTACAGCCCTTGAAAAGTTTCTTCTTAAGAATCGCGTCACATAGGAGAGAATCTATTTTTGCTCGGACGCAATACCATCTGGAAATTTTCAGTAGAAAGCAATGAAAGATAGTCGATACAATTACCCATCCGACACTTCAATAAAGTTTTCATTGAATATATCACTGATAAACAGGATATAATGCGAACCAACCAAGGCATCCCGCTCTACGATTCTTGAGCTTGTATAAGCTTCCCTAATAAGAATCATTAAAAAATACTTACTTGTGTAAAATGGAACGGTGACCAAGATTCCATTCTCTTTCCAAACGCTTCGAAAATTCAATGCCCAGATTCAAAGCATTCAACTTATTCCTTAGAAACGGATGAAAGAAAACTTCTAGGCTAGCAAGCTTCCACATTAATAAACGATACGCATTCCTTATCCAAGAATTAGTTCCGACTTTCATCAGTGGACCTTGTCATATTTAAGTTACGTATGACATAATAAGTGAATTCTCCTAAATACCATCAGCATCTGGAAAAAGAAGTCTCAAATGCTCAGTAAACTCCTCCAAGCCAACAGTTGAATGACAATCTGGTTTCAAATAACATATCTCTGGTGATATAGAAAAATTCTCATCCAAATTCATGCGACTGTCTTTGAATCTAAAACGAACAGGATCTTGGAGACAAGTCGACAATTCTGGATCATCAGAAAATATTCCACATCTATTTTCTGATAATTTTCTCTTTAGGAGTTCTTTCAGTGAAACTAAACTCTCATCATAAAAAATCAATTAAAAGGAGTGCCTTCACACTTACCTTTCTTAATATGGTAACCGGGTTGGACAGGTTGTCCAGCAAGACTGGAACAAATATAATGAAATGGAATGTGTTTCTTGACTCTTCTTTCAACTACAGACTTTGGAATGTGATTTTCAGTGACGTTTCTCGAGTTTCCAACTGGGGTTTTCCTACGCTTAAGCATGGAATCTGTGATTCCAGAAGGCGTTCTTTTCATAGGAAGATTTGAATCGGGGTAACTACGTAGCAAAGGTACTCTTGATTCACTTCCTGGAGTACAGTGCTTGTTGTCCATTGTCTTGTTCGGTGTTCGATTATCATATAATGCTTTGCGGGCTCGTTTTAAAACCGAATTGGTAAGCTTGCGCTAGAAAGAACAATTAAACAAGATTGGCGTTTTATCAGTCAACTTACTTTAAGTTCCATTTTGGGATTTGTCAATACTACTTTTTCGTCAGAAGCTTCCTTCAGAATCATGGAAGCACGTTGCAAATTGTCATTGGTTATTGAGATGTGCTTACCCTTTCCAGTTGTGAATATCACATCTTGTTTCCTTTCATAGTCAGCTACCAAATTCTTTGTTAGAAAATTAACAAATATTGACAATTTGAGCATACCATCTTGTTTCTGGAGACTTGAATTTACTTGGAGCATATGCTCTTCCTTCGCCAAGTCTGACAAACTAGAGCGAGAATTCCCGTCGCATTCAGGAACGACAACTTCAGCTAAGAAAGACTTGGCCCATTCATTGCTCACATCTTTGGTTTTCACTTCTTTTCCACCTCCTGTTACAAATAATGGGGTGGCAACGTTGTCAGTAAATCTCTTCGCTTCGTACTTATGGAAACTTGACAAAGCATTCAATCGTTCCTCTAATGATTCCATTTCAAATAACTTATTATCGGATATTTCTTTTCTCTTTGAATCCTCATTAATGTTGATAATGCGCTCCGATCTTTGCCAATCTTCCGAATCATCTTGAATATGATTTTGTAAAAGCTCAACTGTTTTGTTTTCTGCTGAAAACGTCTCTGCTTTGAACTGTTGTTGATTGAATAGTGTCATTTCTTCTAATCCATTCAGCCAATCTCTCTCTCCTCTTTTTGTTTCCACGCGTTCCAAATAGCAAGCTGATACGAGAACTGAAGACTGCAAAGCATTTCCCATTACTTGTTCCATGTCGATATTCACCACGCTTAATTCACTTTTTGTAGTACACGGTACTTGGACCTGAATAATTCCATAGTAGGGATCATAACACTGCTGAAACGTGGCGGTAATTATTTCCACTTGTTTTGAAGGACACGGAATCTTTTCTTCCATTTCATTCAAGAAAAGACTGTCTTACTTGTTTCTGTTTGTAATATTTCAACCAGTTGTGACTTTTAAATGAAACTAGAATAGTAAAATGCACGAGTCAAATTGACAACAGTGAGCCTAGTCAAGTTTCGTATGAGAAGCACGAGGTCTCTTCTGAATATCCAACAGGGTGTTTTTCAGCGAACGACTAAACAAATAGAACTTTTCAAAAATAACTGTGCTACGTAGAGTTGGAACCCAGTAAGTAAAGAGCCTTCAATAAAAAACTCCTAAAGTATGGCCAATTGGATCTCATTTCAAATCACACAAGGCGCCCAAACAAGACTCAAATAAGAAAGGAAACAGTATTTCAAGTGCGTGTGAGATTTCGTTACTGGAGAATGTTACCTAGTTGTGAACATAAAAGACAGGTTTTCTTCAGTTGGTTATCCCATTTTTGTATCAGACTATGTTCTCTGGGTCCTTCTTTGAATCATTCAAAATAAGAGTAGGCAGGGTTTCAAAGGACTGTCTTCTATGCCCTGTTATTATCTATTTCCTACTCTTAACAATCTCTATGCCTAGCGTTTGTGACCTTAATATTCTTTGTGATGATACTAGTTTCTTCAAATGTTTTCAATAGAACAAGCTTTGGATTTTCTTTACTTTACATTTGCACGATGAAAAATAATAGATGTTCATGGATACTAATGCTATCGATAGAAGTTTATAAGAATCCAATGCAATAAGAAGGGCAGCATTAACAAGCAAAGAAGAAAATCTACAAATATCCATGGAATTTATTGCAAAGGGGGGAGATAGATTACATATGAAAAGATTGTGAAAACAAGGCATAGAATTTGCACACGAAAAACATTCTTGTGGCAAAAGTGGACTCGAAATGGGAAAGCTGCAATCCTTGAATCAGCTGTGTCATTCCTGTTGAGATTTGTCATCACAAAGGAGGTTCGCATCTGTCCCGAAGCTGAAGAATGACAAGTGATAGCTTCGAGAAAAAGTATGTCTATGTTTTAAAGTTGCAACAAAATAAATGGTATATTGGGTCTACCACCAACATAAAGCAGAGAATAGCTCAACACTGTCAGGGAACTGGCTGTGCTTGGACGTCAAGATATCCATTCTTGGAATTATTTGATTGTCAACTACAGAGAGATGGTTGGCACGAAGAGAACTTGACAAAAGAATATATGCTACGTTATGGAATAGAAAACGTTCGAGGAGGTCCTTATACCAATTTGGAACTTACGGAAGAGGAAAAAGAAGTTATTCAAAGAGCTTTAGACGCCTTTAGAGGTGCTTGTTATCTTTGTGGTTCTAGAGGGCATTTAGCTGCAGAATGTCCAACTTGTGATTTCAAGTGCAGTGAATCAGCAAAAGACTTTGAGTATAGCGAAAGTCAAGCTTGTTTTCGTTGTGGAAGATGGGGACATTATGTTGCAGACTGTTATGCAACAACTCATCGCAATGGTCTGTCAATTGATTCTCGTAGAACAACTAGTTCAAACGAAACTTTCTTCGCAGACTCGAATACTTGTTTTCGTTGTGGAAGATGGGGACATTATGTTGCAGACTGTTATGCAACAACTCATCGCAATGGTCAAAGAATTGATGAATAAACCCTAATAAACCCTACAGCCAGCAAAATGGGATAGCGAGTCATCTAGTGACCATTCTAGCCTGGAAATATCATCTTATACCTGTAGCTCGGAATATAGCAGTATGGACAATGACACTGATAGCTGTTCCATGTATAGTAGTGGTGGATACAGTAGCGATTAGTCCAAAGGGAATATTATATTGTTTCCAACTTTTGTACAAGTATATGATAGCAGTGTCTTTAAATATGTCGTTTCAAGACCATTGTGTCGTCTGTTGACTTCATGATAGGTGAAATTACTTTTTTGAAAAATAATGAATGATCGAATATGCAATACAGATTATGAAGAATTTGAATAACAGTTGAGATTGTGGATGGTTATGATATTTGCCATTGGACATTCCTCCCATCAAATGAAGAAGAGCCCCAACCATTTCCCTATTTGTGGTGTGGTCATATTCATCCTCTCCAATTATTATTTTTCATAGTCATGGCACAGTGGAAATATGTGTTACTTGGAGGATCTGGAGGCATAGGAACCCAACTCTGTCATCTTTTGAAAAGTGAAAGCACATACATTGTTGTAGGTTCAAGATCAGAAGCAAAGCTGAAAGAACTATCCAAAGCCATCCCAGGAATAGAAACGTTCCCTCTCGACGCTTGTGATTCTACTCAGGTTGGTCACTGCAACACAGCTCTTGAAGAATCTGTGAAATATTGCGCTATTCTTACTGAAAATAGGTTGAAGCTTTCGTCCAGTTTGCTGATGAGAGACCAGGAACGTTGGTAGGAGCTGCAAACTTGGTAGGAAGTATATTATTGAAGCCAATCACAGCAACTTCGGAACGAGAATTCAAATCCACTATAGAAACAAATCTATTTAGCTCTTTCTATTTCTCTAAAAGTATTATCAAGAGAATGCTAAAAAATTCACAAGGGGGCTCCATTCTTCATTTTACTTCTGCAGTCGCCTTAAAAGGAGTTGCCAATCATGAAGCAATAGCTGCAGCTAAAGCTGGTATAGTAGGACTGGCCCAGTCTAGTGCTGCTACTTTTGCATCCAAAAATATTCGAGTGAATTGTATCGCTCCAGGACTAGTGGATACTCCACTTGCTCATTTTCTAACAAGTAATAGTAACGCTCTCAAGACTTCGACTGCTATGCATCCCTTGGGAAAAATAGGAAATCCTTTACAAGTAGCTCGATTAGCGGCTTTTTTATTACATCCTGATAATGATTGGATCACTGGTCAAGTATTTCCTATAGATGGTGGCCTATCTTCTGTAAAAAATTAGTCTCTCTTCTTCCTACTTTTGACTTTCACACCAGTCATTCCCGATACCACCCATTTACTACATCCGAGGTTTTGTAAGAGCTCTGTAACGCCTGCTAGGCCTAATTCTCTTTGTAGTTGTGCAAAGGATCGAAACTGTGGAGGTACATTGGGAGGTATTTGTCCCAAATAACTACGACGGACAGAAGATGGGGCTTCCAAATCCGGTTCTGTTCGCCAATAACCCTGTACGGAGGGCGTGTTACTAATAACTCCATAAGAAATCTTACTATGTTTCTGCTCTGGTTCTCCCCAAGTATTTCGCAAATATAGTAAATGGTCGTGAACTTCTATAGGCTCCAAGTTACGTAAACTTAGAGTACGCTTATAACCGTTACCTAGACGAACGCTCTTATTCTGTGTCTCAACCCAATATTGATGGACTCTTACGATATAAACCAACCGCTTCAGGGTGTCCTTCTTCTATTACAGTTTCAAATTGTATTTGTGGGTTTTCCTTTGCAAAAGACGCTAGCCTTTCTTCTACAAAACCTCGAGTACCTTGACTACTTCCACCCTGGAGACAATAGTACAAGGTTATCTTTTCGAGTTCCCACACACCTCGACGTGCCATAATTATAGTCCAATCAAATAATCATTCAATAAGAGTTGACTAGTAATAACTATTGATGGTTAGAACAACTATAGTCGCGTCTCATCATGAAAAATAACGGATCATCATCCATCTAACTATATTTTCAACAAGACAATCCATATTGCGTCAAATAATTCTTCAGTTGTTTGAAACCACATATCATTCAATTCGTGGTGGATAAGATCGTACAAAGTTTCCAAATGTTTCACAAATACCATTTTAGCTTTTTGAGTGTCGATAATCAATGGTGTTTCTTTTTTCTCATTCGCCTTGTTTTTCAGTTTCTCTTCCATCACTCAGGTCAGATAGACCGACATTATGTAGATGCCAGTTGTTTCCATTTCTCAGTGGTTGTAAAAAGGAATCTATTCCAGTAGTTAGAAAACTATCGATCATAAACGTGGTGGCCTCTCAAGTCTCAGCAAAGACAAACTCTTCTACATTGGGCTCAAGTGCTAGCTTGAAGAAAAGTCTACAACCGACTTTTATATTGCAAGGAGATACGCTGCAAGTATCTTGGTTTCAACGTATAGTAACCACAGGAACCCTTTGTATTTTGGTGATGTTGATCCTTCAAAATATTCAAGATACCATACAAATCCTGTCAAGCCATGAATTGACATCTCTACTTTTGACACTATTTTTTGCATTACAACTTGTGGCAATGGATATAGGTTGTTTATTTATGGGTTATATAGCAGCAGACTTCTTTTCCGGTTTATATCATTGGTTTTTAGATAACTATGGAAATGCAAAGACACCTATCATTGGTAAACAATGTGTGGCTTTTCAAGGACATCATGAACATCCTTGGACAATAACGTATCGACCATTTTGCAATCTTCTTGGAACAAGTTGTCTTATTTCTTGTCCATTCTTCTTATTATTATTGGTTATGCCTCTTCCTCATTTCATTCAAACAATATTGACCAGTTTTGGATTCTTTGTAGTGTTTGCTCAACAAACTCATCAATGGGCACATCAAACGAAACCTCCTTCGCCTTGGATAGAAACTCTTCAACAAATGGGAGTTTTGTTATCCATCAAGGCACATGGGAAGCATCACAAACCTCCTTTTAATAAGAATTATTGTATCGTTAGTGGTATATGTAACGAGTTTTTGGACCGTGTACAATTTTATGGGAAATTAGAATATTGGCTATATTCTCAATTTCGATGGATTCCTAATCATCTCCAATCAAAAGAACAATAAAAAACAAAAGATGTGAAAAACTTGTGTTTTATAACAATTCGGGCACACAAATCATAACATTTCCTGTGCAACTACCTAACTGCTCTATAATTTCTCGCGTACGACGTTGTTTGGAAAGCATCTTTTCCTCATGATTATCCCTTCTCGTCAATGAATAGCCTTCCATATGTCTCATAGGAGCCCACTGACTAGGAAGATATACTAATTTCACTTGTCGCCGTAATATTCCAAATAGCTTTTGTTGCACTGCAATCACAGACACTTCTTCCATTCCTGGTGGCGTTAACCAATCAGCAACCATAAGGAAACCTGTTCGTTGCAAATGCTTCATATTCCACAAACAACAAGTATTCCAAGGACAAGTAAAGGCAGATAAAGAAACTGAACAAACAGGTTCTATTGTTTTAACCTCTGGCATCGATAACCTTGCCTCCAACCAGCCCATTCTTATGCTTTGTACTTGTGCATGTTCCTGAGGAATAGCACAGCCAGCACAAAGAGTGTCTTCATCCATAACGCTCACCAAATATTTTATAAATGCACTAGGGCGTATTTCTACCGAAACCAAAAAGAACAAAGGCATCTGTTCCTGTCGATGGGTTTCATGGAACCACTTCACAGCAGTAGTCAACAAATAGTTGAGGCCTTGAGTAAGTGTATAGTCTTGGTTTGTGCTTAACAATACAAGTTGGTTTCCTAATAAGGAAAAATAGTTCTTTTCCAATAGGTTCAAACTATCTGTTTTATCTAAATCGGTTCGAATAAGTATTAGAACAAGGTCCACACAACTCAACAAGTCGGATATAAGGGAATCAAGAGCATCATATTCTTCTTTTCGAGTACCCCAAAATCGACTTGCTGCAATCATATCCTATTTCAGGAGTGACAATAAAATGTGCATTTGTTCTTAAACAGCTACCGAAATACTCGTATCTTCCTGATGAGAATTCTTTTTGAGAGATTTGTGTTCCAACTTGATGGAAGGAAATGCAACTTGAAAGACCTAACCAGAAATCAGTTTACCCCTTTCTTGGAATTTTCACTTACTTCACTATATTCTTTCACAAATATTCCTCGCATTCCATTCTTCACACAGTCATCCAACTCTTCCCAGTCACTCTTATTCCCTGCAGGTAAGATTACAGTCTTCATATTTCCTTGTCGAGCCGCCATAACTTTTTCTCGAATACCACCAACTGCCAATACCTTTCCAGTCAATGTAATTTCACCAGTCATAGCCAGTTTCTCACAAACAGGTATATTCATAGCCAAGCTTAGCAATGCTGTGACCTAGACAAATAAAATATCTCTTCTATCATAAGAAAGTTGGACTTACAATGGCACATCCGGCACTGGGGCCTTCCTTGGAAGAAGCTCCTTCAGGAAAATGCAAATGAATGGAAGCAGTTTCAAAGAAGCGGTTGGCTGCCTGTACCGTTTTCAGGTAACCTTTGGCAAAAGAATAGGCAATATCTGTGCTCTCTGTCATCACTTGACCTAATCTACCGGTAGTTTTTAAAGAACCCTTGCCACTACCAGTATCAATTGCCTCAATGTATAAAAGAGAACCTCCCAGCCGAGTATAAGACAGTCCAATAGCAACACCAGCAGGGGTCATTTCGTAAATCCGCCAATCCTTGAAACGTGGAGTTCCAATATATTCAGTCAAATCAGATTGAGAAATGGATATCTTTTGTTTGCCTAGAAAAATAACAATGTTCATACTCCCACCATTCACTTATCTCACGACGACTTACTAGAAGACGAATCATCGGCAATCTTTAATGCCGCTTTACGATAAATGGCATCAATCTTATTGCGCAAATCTCTTACTCCTGGCTCTTTGCAATATTCTTCGGCCAATGCACGAAGTGCAGAGTCTCTTATGACAACATTGGTAGCCTTTATGCCTGACTCTTTTCTAGCTTTCGGAACGAGATACTTTTTAGCTATAGCAATTTTCTCATCAAGTACATATCCCGGCAACTCAATATGTTCCATTCTATCTAATAATGGAAGTGGAATATCTTCCGTCAAATTGGCAGTACAGATGAACAAAACCTGGAAACTGTTAAATATGTACCATACCTAATAATACAAACTGTTCATACCTGCGATAAGTCATAAGGAACATCCAAATAGTGATCCAAAAAGGCCGAATTCTGTTCTCTGTCCAAGACCTCCAATAGTGCATCGGCAGGGCTTCCCTGAAAACCCGTTCCCAACTTGTCAATCTCATCGATCATAATAAGAGGGTTCGAAGATCCTGCAACTTTCAGAGCTTGTATCAATTTGCCTGGCATGGCTCCTACATATGTACGTCGATGGCCTTTGATTTCCGAAACATCGCTCATTCCTCCCACCGAAAATCTTTTTCTAATTCTCAATAACTTTTTTCCACTTCAATTATGCACATTACCTATAAAAATTTTCTTCCCAATGCTCTTGCGATGCTCTTTCCAACACTTGTCTTTCCAACTCCTGGTGGACCAGAAAACAAAATAATTTTTCCTTGAATGGAATTCTTCAACTTTCCGACAGCAATAAATTCCAAAATGCGTTGTTTCACGTCTTTCAAACCATAATGGTCTTCTTCCAATATTTTTTCAGCGTGCTTCAAGTCCAACTTATCCAACGTAGTTATACCCCAAGGTAAACTTGTCAGCCATTCCAAGTAGTTTCTCGAAACGGAATATTCAGAACTAGCTGGTTCCAGTAGACTTAGTTTAGATAGTTCTTCTTCAATAACTGCTTTAGCTTGTTTTGGAATTGCTTTCTTTTCCATTCTTTCTCGAAACTTGGCCAATAATGTCTCCTTTTCATCTTTTTCTAAACCCAATTCCTTTTTAATGTATTTCAACTGTTCTGTTAAAAAGTATCTTCGTTGAGCATTCGAAACACTCTCCTTATTAAACATTCATCATTCATTCCTTCTTTCATAACTATGCAACTTACTTCCACTTGTTTGTTAATCTTTTGTTGTACTCGAGCAGTTTCCAATTCTGTCTTTAACAAATTTAATGTTTTGACCAGTCGGTCTTCCAATTTCATTGCTATGACATAAGAAAAAGGAAATAATATTCAGTTGATTATCAATAATATATATATATATATATATATATACCTTCCAATACTTGTTGAAGAGAATGTGGGTCAGCTGAAGTAAGCGATGCTCCTAAATCAGCTAATTGATAAGGATTGTTGACATCAACACTTTCCAACAAAAGTTGCAATTGTTCCTTATATAGCGACCCGGTGTTCATGATTTCCTTCAAAGTTTCCACAATAGCCAAAGCATAGGCGCGTACCTTTTGTATTTTCATTGAGAGACTGGTTAAACTTTACTTTTATCACTTACTTGTGGGTCATGAATATCCACTGGTTCTTCTCTAATTGGTTCTGTTTGGAGATATAAAATAGGTTTTATCTTCCCAACACTCGTCCATCTAATGCGATGATGGCATAAAAAAGTCAATTCGATTCCAGTTGAACGAGGAATGACTCGAAATAATTCTGCCAACACTCCAACTCGATACAATTCGGAAGGATTAGTAAACAAAGGATGTTGATGGATAGTGCTTTGAGAGTCCTCATTTTTGACTTGTTGTTGACTCACTTCGGTTTCATTTGTTTCTTCATCCGATTCATTCTTTTGTTCCATCGAAGACTCCACAGAATCGGTTGCCTGATTGGGTACTTGTCCTGACCAAGGAGCTCCAATTTGTCCAGCATTTCTATGAAGAAACAGTCCCACGTAACGAAAACCCGATCGAAATAGGCTAATAAAAGTTTCACAGGCAGAAGGATCAGAAACCGTGATGGGTGCCACTACTCCAGGAAACAAAGGCCTTCTAAACAAAGGAATGGCTGGAAGTTCTGCGGGTCCTTGAGGACGTGAAAACTTCTATAAATATCGAATATCAGTGTTGTGGTCCGCATTGAAAATAACCCAATCACTTGCCTGTAGTAGTTGGTTACCAGAACCTCCTTCACTGTTGGCACTTTTTCCATCTGGTTGATAAGGGGTGATAGCGTTGTTACCAGAAGAGTTGTTATGACTTGCGCCAGTCAACCCTTCAGCTTTGTTGGAAGGTTTCTTGTCATTCTGGTTATTGTGTCCATTATCTTCACAATAATAACAAGCTCGTTGATATAATAAACGTTTCTATATCAATTGTCAAAGTGGTACTCAGGCCTTGGAATCTTACGTACTTGTATCAACTTGAAAGTTTCCAAAGAATCATATCCAATCACTGTTCCTAACCGTTGCATAAAGTAGTGTTGAGAATAACCATAACCAATGATCTTATGTAAAGTTTGTCGATAATAACTACTCCATAACATGGTTCTACAAAACACAATGTCCTTTGCTCACAACACTTCCTTCGGTGCAAATGAATAACAATTCATTGAGGAATTATTCTTCATGTTGAAGACAACTAATAGCAGTTCTTCCGATTCTTTTTATAAGAAACAAATAGAACAATTAACCAAAGAAAAGAAACAGTTGAAAGAACGCCTCGAGTTACTAGAAAGTGAAAACCATGACTTGAGAAGATCAGTTTTCGAACTATCGGTTTCCAAAGCTTCCAAAGAAGAAGTTTTTGACTTGGATGTTGCACTGATTCCTACCAACGAAGACAACAACGAATATCGTACTTCCACCAACACATCTTTTGAAGGTTATTTGCATAATATGGAGTGGGATTGGAAAGATCCTAGTAAAGGAGAATCTGGTAGTTTTTCTAGGTTTGGTTGGAAGTTTGACTTGGCTGGACACTTGGGAGCAGTTTACGTTGTAGAATTTTCAAAGTGTGGAAGACTCATTGGAAGTGGTTCGCAAGATAAGAGTCTTCGTATATGGCAGTTAGATAAGCCTACTGAACCTGCTTTGTTGTTGATGGACGCTCATACTTCCAGTATATCTGACCTTTGCTGGAATTCGGATAGCACAAACTTGGCAACTTGTGGATACGATAGACAAGTGAAAGAATGGAGTTTGGAAGAAGGAGCAACCATCAAATGGTTAGCTTCCTATTCCTTATCAGGTTTGGTACAGAATGTAGAATTTTGTAAGGGACAGCCTCAGTTGTTGGTCGCAAGTACCAGTCAAGGCAACATTCATATGTTAGATAGACGAACGCAAAAGTCCACGAATGTGATAACGAATGATTGTTCTGTCAATTCTATTTATGTTCACTATGATGGTATTTTGGTGACCAGTGGTGACCATCGAGGTTATATCAAAAGATGGGATATGCGTTACTTTTCCAAACCTTTGGAAGTATTTTATAATAGCAAGCGGCCTATAAGTCATCTTGAAGTGTCAAGGCCTCGAGAAGAAGAAGAAGGACAATATTTAGCTGTTAATGCGTTTGACAACACTATTCGAGTCTACGATAGAGGTGGTTATTTATTGGGTTCTAGTTGTACAGATTCTTTAAAGTTGTTGCATACTTTAAAAGGAATCAAGAGTCAGAATTGGCCTATTCGTTGTTCTTTTTATCAAGGAGCTGATTTTCTGAGATTCATCAAGTCTGGGTTAAGTTCCAAAGACCGGTTAGATACGAGAGAAGGCAATCCTTTGAGTGGAATTTCATTCAGTAATTCAGTCGCCAATCAGACGAGTAACATTCATTCACTTGTTCCGCTTAGTAACTATCGACCACAAGAAACACTTACTTTGGCAAGTGGTAGTGCCGATGGAAATATTTATATTTATGATGTTGGTCAACCAGAAGGTACTGCTTGTTTGGTTCAGTGTTGTCATGGCCATAGTGATAGAGTTTATGGAGTTTGTTTTCATCCTACGGAGCCGATCTTTGCTTCTTGTTCAGCCGATTATTTGATTAAGATTTGGGTTCCAGTCAAATCCAAATCACATGCAATTTAAGAGTTCTTAATACGACGGGATTGGGAAGAGAGAATGGTAAGTAACAATGGGAGTATAGTTGGATTGACTAGAGGAATATATATATAGGAAGTAACTTGGCTACACAATTTAGGAAAATTATGTAATCAGATTGGACAAGTATTGGAAAGACATGGCCAAGAATGTTTATGTCATGCTGATAATACTAGTGCAAAGAAAGGTGACTGGGTAGCTCAAGCTGATATCGATAAGGAACAGTCCGCGTTGGAAGCTCAAAAGAGTAACTTTTCTAATGTGGGACCTTCACAATCCGTGCCCAACTCAACTATGCACGAAAAGGAGATTTCTATGCAAAACACTGGCACTCACGGTACAGTACCACTTGCAACGAGTGTCGTACAAACAACAAGGAGTGACGTCCACGAGGGAAAGTATCTTGTGGATACAGAGTCGGAGGCTACAGACAATGAGTTATGGGTTTCATCCCAACAGAGTAAGCAATCCAACACCACTTCCACGGGAGAAAGTGTAAGAAACAGCAACACTGTAAAAAAGACGGCGACCCGTTGGAGAAAAGGTGCAGACGATGATAGATTAATAAAAATAGTCGAAAACTGTGTGAAGAACCAAACGGTAACAACAGAAAAGGCAGTCATTGACAAAGTGGTTGAGTCGTTAGGTAACGTTCACTCCTTTCAACAAGTGCGCTATCACTATCGAAGGTTACATAAAGAGAACCGATTGCCACTTGAAGCACCAGTTTAAGTGTTTACTATTGCTTAAAGTTCGTATGTAACAATTTGTTGTTTCAAATACCATCACTTGTCTTTTAAAATAAAGGCATAGGAGTCATAAACATACTCCAGGCCAACATGGACTGCATTCTTGCGTCTTGCTCCAACTGATAGTCTACTTGGAGTATGCCTTTTATCAAACTTTCCAATCCTTGTTGAACACCCTCTCCAGTATCCACAGAACAGGACTGAATGAAGTGTCCATCCACAGGTAGCCAACGCAAACTCAACAAGTGCTTGGCTTCACGAAAGCCAACTGCATTAGGTTCTTCTGTACCTTGAGCAAGGATAAGTAACATAAGGTCCTGGAAATATTCAGAATAATAGCCACATATTTGTTCCAGACTTTCTTTTGCAGTAGATAAGCTCTCTTTGTTGGTTGCATCGACTACAAACACAATTCCTCTCACTGCCTCTGTTGGTAACGGAAAAAACTCTCCATTCATATCCACCCAGTGAATAAATAGGGTTATGTTACCGCAAAATATAGTCTTTGTATTTTCTCCATAAACTCCGAAGTTTGGAGACCCTTTCAACTTGCTAAACAGTTGAGCAGCTAAAGTATGTTGACCACTTAATATAATATTCCAAGTTTTCAAAGGGGTTTGCGGTTGTACAAACCCGTCACCGTCAGCGTAGGTGGGAGCAAAACTCGTTGTTGCCACTGCTGACGAAGAACGGTATTCTTGCGGTTGACTTTGAAAACATCCCATTTGAAAACTTTTCTGCAAAAACACGAATACAAATATTTATTCCAAGCAGCAAAGATCACTGGAAGAAACTATCAAAGCTTTTGATTTGCATTGCATCGGTAGTGAAACCCAACAAAGGCAAATTCCATGCCTTAAGTATTGTCTTGAGTGTGAACAAATGATTGCTCGACTCATGATAGACAACATGATGATGAGGTTTCTTACTCCATAAGGCAACCAAAGGTACAGGACCACCACCATAAACACCACCAGCAGGTAACAATACAGTTCCCGGAAATAGAACAGGAGAATCAGGCCCCGCGGTCACATATTGCCAACCATCTGTCGATTTATTAAAGTCCACTTCAGCTTGATCCCAAGTAAGGAATATAACTGAATTCGACTCTTTCCAGACTTTGGACTGGGTGATATTGGTAATGGCTCCTTTCACAAAGTTGTCTCCATTCTTCCATAAAAAGTAGTAATCATTGAAGGGACAATATTTGTCTGAAGGTCCTCCTTCTGGAATAGAAGATTCGTATTCCACGTGCAATGAATACTGTCCATGCATATCGTGGCAAACATCAGGAGTTATAAAACTATAGCTGGGAAGTGTTCCTTGCTCGAGATCCTTTAGAATCTCTTCATAAGGTACAATATTCTTAAGCCGACTGGCATTGCTCGTAATTTGAGGATAAAAGGCAAATGGAACATGTTTCTTAACGTAAACAGCTGCATAATCATCAGGATAGGTATAGCCTAGATAACCAGTATAAGGTAAAGACTGTGCATAACTCTTCCATGTCATTCCTCTCTCTTCTAAAAGATCAGCAATATTGGTATGTGGAAAGACCTAACCAAAAGAATTCAAAAGAAATAAGCTTAAAATGGTAAAAGGAGAAAAGTACCTGATCTGGATTGTCCGAAAAGGACCAGTATTGGGAACCAGCAGTAATAGCAATATAGTTTGGCAAACTGGGATTAGTGTAGCCATGATAATGATCTGCATACATTTCGGTTTCAATCAACTCATTGATATATGGCATGTACTTTTTGTTTCCCGTTATGTTGGGTCTTCCAGTGTTTTCCATCATGATAACTATAACATGATCAAAGAATGGAAGGTTGCTGGTAACTTCTGTGCACTCCAAACTTTCAGGTGATACTTGATCACATTGGTATTCTTCACCAGTTGCCTCAATCGTCGATAGGTTTCCAAGCCATGCAAGGAAACAAAATAGACCAATCAATAAGGAAAGCTTTGTAGATGCCATAACTTCAACAAATGTTACAAAAATAATTGATTACAACGCAAGCTGCATCACTTTTAAATGACGTTTCTGGGTCTCCTTCAATGGATGAATAACGAATCGTATATGGATAGGATTCTGTTGACTGGGATCTTCTTGAGAATCTAGGATTCTTATCAGGGATCATTCGCTATTTAAGCGCCATGTTTCAAAATAACAGGCAGATAGATACAACTGGGTATACAGTGAGTTGGAATTCTTTTATGCTGATTTTTTGCAACAAGTTTACACTTTTTATTAGTATTTCAATGCAACAGTCCATAAATATACTTTAAAAAGGGAGAAAGACTGGTAACAATGTGAACAACAATTCAAAAATGACACACAGAAGATAGAGAGGTTATTGTAACGTGCAGAGCAGTCTGGTTTAACTTGAAAGCACTCAACTCCAAAGGTCTTCAACCGGAAAAAATGCTCCTTTGCTTTGCAAGGGCGGGAATAAGCTAATTTTCAGATTGCTGCGCAACCGCTCCCCCATCCAGCCTGTCGCATCCATTTGAAATCGGGATCGCCTTAGGATTTGGCTAACATTTGGCTTTAAAAAGGAAAACCCGGAAATCGAGTGAAACATTTCTGCATCTTTGATGAGTCGCTGGTACTTCATTCTCGTATGCTCATTTGTTGTACTATATGCAGCGTCAGCAATACCAGTAAAATATAATGACCTAAATACAAACAATGAGGAGCCCTATTTGACGGAGAGAGATTTTGTTGAGCTAAGAAGGATGCTTGACTACTTTAGAACAGTATTTACTCCTCAGTCTCTGTACAAAAGTGACAATTCAGACAACCATGCAATGAAAGAGTATGAAAGAGGTTCGGAGCCTTCAGGCTCATCCGAGTCGAAATCCTCTCAAGGCAAACAAGGAGTAGAGAAGAAGTGTAACTACTCAGAACAGTATGTCGTCGAGAGAGAACGTGAAGATATCAATATTGGAATTAATGTGGTTGTCAATCAACCATACATACCTTGTGAAAGCTGCGAATCACCTACTCCACTACCTATTTGCACATCTCCTCCTCCATCTCCTCCTCCATCGCAACATCCAACTCCTCCTCCATCTCCTCCTCCATCGCAACATCCAACTTCTCCATCTCCTCCTCCATCGCAACATCCAACTCCTCCTCCGTCTTCTCCTCCATCGCAACATCCAACTTCTCCATCTCCTCCTCCATCGCAACATCCAACTCCTCCTCCATCTCCTTCTCCATCGCAACATCCAACTCCTCCTCCATCTCCTTCTCAATCGCAGCATCCAACTTCTCCTCCATCTCCTTCTCAATCGCAGCATCCAACTTCTCCTCCATCTCCTTCCCAATCTTCTTCCTCATATCCTAGCCCTAGTCAGAGCTGGTGAACTGCTAAGTGAGCCTAAGGTTGTGTTGGCACTTGTTGTTTCAAATAGTTTACAGATTTGCTTGTTTTCGTTAGCATGATGCTCATATGTTGGTATTGTCATAAAGACAACATTACAATCGTTGTTTTAAAAGGTCTTAACCCACTTTGTGCAATTTCAAAACGAGAATTCCCAAAAAGAGGAAAATCCTCGCCGCTGTGTTTAGCTCGGTGAATAAAATGCTTAAACTTCAGAACAAGCGACACACCATATGAAAGCAACCACAATGCACTTTCCCCGTCCTGTCTCAGTCACTATTTTGGTATGTCTGATACAGGCCCGTTGAAAATAGTGCTAGAGAAAACTGCCCAAAAATAACGGTTTGTAGGAACTTGACTACTTTCCGTGCCGCAAGGTGCAAACAGAGCTCGTTTTGGAAATTTATTTATTTGTCTCTCCTCTTTGCCAACCTTCTTTATTCACGTCTGTTTTTCGCCACCCTCTTTTTCTTTGATTAATAAACCAGTTGGTAATCTTCCACGTTCACCTGCTTAGTTGCAAGCTTAGAAAACTTGGGTGGGTGCTTACCTGTTGCATCTGCATTCCTGTTTCTTGACAAAGCTGTTGTTTCTCACTTTCGGTTGGATAAGGATGTTGGATATGTGTATCGAACCATTCTTTTAACCGCATTACTTTTTCTTTCGAAAGGTTCTCTCGCCTTATTCGTGGCATTCCACGTACGTTCCATTGTTCCATTAGAGTACTTTTCAACCTTTCAGAAAACTGTTGCATATCAACTTGTAACGAACTATCGGAATTGGACTGTTGTTCTTGGAGTATATCTTGCAACATCTTCCAAATTGGTGACTGCTTTGCTTCATTCACAAACTCATTGGCTGCTTGATTGCTTTCTTCTAACAAATCCAAACATCTTTGTTCATACTTTTCCAATAACTCGACATAAGTTTCTAAGAAATGTTGAAAGTCTTCATTATCCTAGGAAATAATGAACGTGTGACTGTAATATTCTCAATATCTCATATGACTCGAAAATTACCGATGAGAATAACGCGACTTCATCGTTGTTGTCAGTCATTCTTCTTAAAATAGATACGCAATGTAGGCATCACAAAACAATCATCAACAAAGAGAACAAGGAAATGTTGTTCTCTTCAAAGAAAAATGATGGACTGAGAAGAGAGGAGGCACGCCCTTGGCATTTTTTCTTGTCATTTTTGGCGCCCCATTGTTCATGAGCGTTATAGTGTCCTTGTAAGGGGCGTCTTCAAGAGGTTTGATAATGTGTGATAAAAAGCGCCAAGTCGTTTATTGACCAGACAAAACTCTTTGAGCTTGTAAATCTAACTCTTGTCTCCCTTTTCGAGTGAGACGTCTACCCCTAACATAAAGGAACCATAAAAGTAGTTGCTCAGCAAACAACCACTTCACTGAAACAAAACTTACCCTTGTTCTGTCTTTTCGATGATTTCCAACTTTTCCAACTGTCTAAGAGCGTGTCGGATGACTGAACCGGAAGCTAACGCAAAATGACTAGGCTTCGAACCCCTTCTCTTTCGACCACCATACACTCTTCGAAAAGCACCAACACCTCGACCAGGCCGGGTGTAAATCTGACGCGCTAACGCGGCCATTCTTACATAAAACCAATCAGGATCATAAGGAGCCAATTCGTTCCTCGTACTCGTTTTCACATAATCTACCCACGGCGGAAGTTCCACGCTTCCCGTTCGTTTCAAGAAAGTAGCATAACTTGCAATGAAATCAGCAGCTGGAACATCTTTTACTGTAAATCCACGTTTCACTGTTTTGTTATCCATATGCTAAGTCTTATAGGCAAAGATGTGCTTTCGACGGCGTCGAACCAATAACCACCCAAGCAACCAAATATAATGAGAAATGAAGAGAATGATTATATTGCAACGATGGATGGATCGGTTGCAACAAGATGATGATAGGAGAGAGTAAAGGTGATCAGAATACCTCCTCTGTTGATATTCCTTCTGGAATAACTGGAACTAAGAGAAGATGGAAGGTTCGTAGTTTAGCAAGCACTGATTCACTAAAGCTGAGGTTCCTGCAGTGGAACATTCTTTCAGCTGATTTCATGGAAGGATTTGAAACAGTGGATATGAATACTTGGACAGTAGAGCATAGAGAGCAATTATTTGAAAACCAAGTCATCGATTCCGCTCCGGACATAATATGTTTACAAGAGGTGAAATCAAGTGGAGACTTTTTTTGCATTCAGTCTATTTGTAAAAGGTTGTCTGAACATTGGCAGCTTGCTGGATACGTTCCCAAGAAACATAAGCGAGATGGTGTTGCTATTTTTTATCGACCTCAGAAGATTCGATTGCTATCTACCGTTGCAATTCCACTATATGTAGAAGAATCCGAGTCGCAAGTGGCTTGTCTTGCAACTTTTGAACACCGGTCAGAGTCAACTCTTTTCACTTTTCATGTGATAAATACCCATCTAAAGGCTAAAAGAGACAATCGAGAGATACGTTTGAGACAAGTGGATGCTCTTTTGAATGCGTTAAGTCTCTGGAATATCGATAATGAAAAGGCGGTCGTGATACTGTGTGGTGATCTCAACGCAGAACCATACGAAGCCACCATAACTAAGCTACAGTCCTTTGGTTTCCAGTGGATATACCAGCAAATGCAGATAGACGACCCCATTTTGTACTCTTCAAATAAGAAGAGACAAGGAGAAGAATATCAGATTCGAATGCAGGATTATATTTTCATCAAGTCAAGCAGTCAATTTTCAATCGATTGTGAATCATGTTTACTTCCCCCACTGATTCATGCTGAACTTAATGCACTGTGGATACCTAATCAAGAATATCCGTCTGATCATTGGGATATTGTCACGGACTTGTCTGTTACCCCCAAATGATTCCTCCAATAAAGTTTAATGGCGTTGACGTGATTGGAGTTTATGATGGCTGCTTGGATAGTTTCATGGATTATGGTAGTGAAATCCTCTTGTCTTCACTACTCGGTCAGTAGACTATCAACTACTTTTTGGGGACCCCCAAACAAACGGTGTTATCAGCAAAAGAGTTACTGGTTACGACAAGATTTGCCTATAACAACTTGTGTCTTTTCTGCCGATGAACCACAAGATTTAGACGACCAGTTAGATCCCAAGAACGAGGACAAAGATATTCCCGTTGAAGATAAGTATGATACTTGGTCAAGCAGAAAAAGAAACGCTTTTCAGCGCAATACACCTTGGCAAGTATTGGTTGAAGAACTCAATTCGTTCTATACCCCTGACTACTTGAAACGATTATACTATCGTAACGAGCCCGTTGAAGAGTTCGGTGCTATTATGACTTTAGAGGGTTTTATGAGCAACGCTTTTGAAGTAGAGTTGGAAGCTTGGAACCAAGTGAGTCAAGAATTCCAGTTGGAGCCTGTAACTGCAGAAGATTTATCTTTCACGGAGACTATGCCAAGAGAAAAGATCATCGAACGACGCCTATTCTGGAGTAAAGATTGGGGAGATATCAACAAATATTCGTTTCGTCAAGCAGAAATATTTTTCGAGATTATAAAAACCAAGCAGCAGTTGTGTTTACGTCCAGGAGTCAAGTCGTGGTTGGAACAATTGAGCAAATATCACATACCGATTGCCATAACAACTGGCTTGGATCAAACTATTGCTGATGAAATGATACAACAATGGGAATTGACATCAGTTATTGAGACTTGTGTCAATCGAGAAGAATGTGAAAACCTACAACAGGAATTGTTACTTGCCACTTCCCGAATACAACGTGCCCCACGTTTTTGTGTCGTTTTTGACAACACACCGAGAGTAATGGTAGCAGCTCATGATGTCACAAGTAAAGCAGTTGCGTTGTTAGGAAGATACAAAGCTTATGACCTGAAAGTTGCGGACATGATTATACGTGACATCGATGAGTTGAAAGTATCCGATATGAATGCGTTATTTGGTGATGTAGCAAAAGACCCCGAAACTCTAGTGGGTGGTCCATTTGGTTGATATTAGTATAAGATATGAATTGTGTAAAGGGTATCTGACGAATGAAATTTTTGCATTCACTGACAGACAAGACTTTATTTTCCAATCTATCAAAATAGTGAGACGATTATGCAACACTATCTCTTGCTTCCGACATTAAAGTGAAATTGATCGAATCTGCCATCGGACCGAAATGCTGAATAGGTCCCGGACAACGATAATCTTCTGCCAGACGCCACGAGTCACGCTGTTCGGAAAATATACGAAATGCCTCGCCCTTCAAATCAACCAAAGCCTTCTTTATGACAGGAACATTCTTTCCTTTTCTCCTCTCGATGTCCATCATGACAGTAAGAGGATAACCTCCTACTTCCCACTGTTCAGGTGGTTTCGTCAAATGACGTACCGTTGCAACAAGACCGGTACGACCACCTTCGATCAAAGCTCCAGCTGTATGTCCCAAAGTATAACAATAATTACAATCAAAGTTTGAAGGAAGAGAACATCGTCCTTCATAACCAAAGAAATGAGGAATCGGAGAAAATGAACAGCCTGCAAGACCAGCCTTCTTCCTTTCCTTTAGTTCGTCTGAGACCATTTGTATCAAAAGACGTTCCGACTCAATCTTGCTAACTTGAACATTTCCGTGAGGATCCCTGTCGAGCGTCAATTGCTTCGCTATCAAGGGCGGCAGTGAACGAAACAAATATCTAGACTGCTCGGTTAATTTTGGAATGATCTGGTCTTCCTCCAAATGACCTCCTGCGAGAATTTCGTTGAGTTCGAGAATTAACTTGTCCACGTCAGGCATAAATTCAACCAAGCCTTCTGGTAAAAGAACTACACCAAAGCTTTTACCCATTTCCGCACGTTCGACTATAAGGTCAGCAATAGACTTGGTCACTTGTGTTAAAGTCTGTTTCTTTTCCATCACCTCTTCCCCAATCAGTGCCATATTAGGATGAGTTTGTAATGCTACTTCCAAAGTAATGTGTGATGCCGACCTTCCCATCAAACGGCAAAAATGCCATGACTTTTTAGCCGATATGGCATCGTATCCCAGATTGGAAACCAACTGAAACATATATTTCGATTATCATTTGTCTCTATAACATATCTCGATCGACATACCTCTGAATACACTTTGACGGCAGTATCAAAACCAAAAGAAGTTTCCACAAAAGCATTCCTCAAGTCTCCATCTATGGTCTTTGGAACACCAATAACTCTGGTCTTCATTTTCTGAGCTACAAAATGTTCTGCTAGAATAGCTGCATTCGTATTGGAATCATCTCCACCGATGACAACCAAACCATCCAAATCCAAACTTCTTACAGTTTCGTCCACCTTCTGGAACTGCTCTGGGGTCTCAATCTTTGTTCTGTCCGAACCAATGATATGAAATCCTCCTTGATTTCTATATGGATAAATCCTCTCTTCGTCCAGTTGAACATAATTGTTCTTAATAATACCGCTTGGACCGTTCAAAAAACCAAATAGAACGGAGTCTCTATTTCGGTTATACAGGTAGTCGAATAGTCCGGATATAACGTTATGTCCACCAGGTGCTGGACCTCCGGATAATACAACTCCTACTCTTAAAGTTTTCCCAGTGGTTACCGGACCTCCACGATTCGGTACTATAAACACTGAAGGTTGTCCATATAGGTTAGGAAAATATCTCTTAATTTCTTCGGCGTCATCAGCAAAATCAGTAGGTTCTCCCTCTCTCCATCCAAAAGCACCTTTCAATATCTACGCAACATATATATATATATATATGGCTCTTATTCCAAAAAATCGAATTAGGTAGACACCTACCGGCGGCAAGCGTGGGAAATATTCAAGTCTAGCACGGTGAAGAGGAGACAAGTCTGCAACTGTAACACTTACTGCTGAACTCAAAGTTCGACCTGCTTTTCTATGTTTAGCATCACCATTAAGTTGCATATTCTCCATTCTAGTATCAACGGACAAACAACGGCAGTCACAACGAGATAGCAAATTCAATCACCCGATGATTATTGCACCTCTTGAGTTGTGTCCCGACAACGGGGCAAATTGTAACAATTTCTGGAGATTCACAACGGAAGAACGAATCGATGGAATCATGCCATTGCATTGGAGACCAAAGACTTCAAGCCATCGGCGAGTATATTCAAATCACTCTCCAACTGATAGGAAACTTGAAGCAAAAGATCCAATCCTTCTTGTTGTTTACTTATCACTCTATATATACGCTCTAATGACTCTTTTCTCAGTGACGTCTGTTTATGTAGCTCCTAGAACACATTGAGAAAAATTCTTGTTTCGGGAAAAAACTGTCTTACGTTAAACTTTTGAAGAGAAATATTGGTTCTGAAGAGCTCAATCAAATCCGCCAATTTATCGTGAAGCTCACCTGGAGAACTTACGCGTCTCTGCAGCGCTTCCAAAGCATCCTTCATCTGATTTTCTTCGATTCTAAGAGCCCGCCCCCGGGATAATAAACACCAAACTCGTCCGATGAATTGTACCAACCTACGAAATAACGTGTAATATCGATTACGGAATTCTGCCAATTTTAGTGCACATTGTGTCCTTTCTATATCCGAACATTCGGACAAAATATTTTCAATTCCCGTCAAGGCTTGCAGGTGTTCTTGCACCCTTGTACTCTGTTGTTGTATACGGGTTTGCAATTCATCAAAACCGGAAAGCTGAACAGGTACCAGGCGACTAGGATCTGGGTTATTCCTTTGAATCTGTTCCCATAAAGTGGAGTCCATTCCTTGAGGTACTTGTTGGGCCACTGTGGCAGCCATGGTGGAAGCGTTATAAAATATATATCGAAAGCGACAAGAAGAACTTTGTAGGTTGAAAGCTTCTTTCATTTGTTGTATATCTGGTAACTGATTCAATGAGTTGATTGGGTAGCTGGTTGCATAGTTTTGTCCACCAGAAACTGAGGGAAAGTTGCTAGTTCCAAGAGTGGGTGGGTTTGGCTGTATGTTTTGTGTCATACCGAAACTATTATTGTAAGTTGGTTGTGACCATCCTGTACTGGGTAGATTGGCAGTACTATTAGGGCTTGTAAATAAACTACTAGTCGAAAAGGGTCCCATACTGGTTGTTTGTGTAGCAGCAACGGATCCAAACATTGTCGACAGAAAAAAAAATGAATCGTATTAATTAATTGGCGCTTGAAATATGTCTCAATCACGTTATGACCGCGCCATTACTGTATTTTCACCAGATGGACACTTGTTTCAAGTAGAATATGCACTGGAAGCAGTAAGAAAAGGAACCACAGCTGTAAGTTCTTTCCTTTGAAAAATGTAACTATCTATATACCATTGCACAGGTCGGAATTCGAGGGAAGAACGTCATCGTTTTGGCAGTGGAAAAGAAAAGTGTTGCAAAGCTCCAGGAAGCAAGAACGGTTCGTAAAATGTGTCTTTTAGATAAGCATGTATGTCTTGCTTTCGCAGGATTGACAGCAGATGCTCGAGTTTTGGTCAATCGTGCTCGCGTGGAGTGCCAGAGTTATAGACTAACTGTGGAGGATGCACCATCAGTAGACTATATCACTCGATACATTGCCAATCTACAACAAAGATACACACAAAGTGGAGGTGTAAGACCTTTTGGAATATCAACTCTTATAATAGGTTTTGACACAGATGGGACTCCCCGACTATTTCAAACGGATCCTTCGGGGACCTTTTCTGAGTGGAAAGCCAATGCGATCGGTAGGAACTCCAAGACAATTGTAGAGTTTTTGGAGAAGAATTATTTCAAAATAATGGACGAGTCACCCGAGGAAGAAGATGAAAAGACCAGTGTGAAGTTGGCCATCCGTGCTCTCCTTGAAGTGGTGGAAGGAAGTCATAATAATATTGAAGTTGCGGTAATGGTGCCGGAGAAAGGCCTCAAGATGTTAGAAAGTACCACAATTCAACAATATATTGATCAAATTGAAGAAGAAAAGGCAGCTGCGGAAGAAGCACGAAGAACATCGGGTCCCACCGTAACGACGAGTTCACGTGGGTGAAAGAAGTTTTAGGAAAATGTTGTGTGATTTTATTCTCTGAAGAAATAAACAACGGCTTGCTCACTCATCGTTTACTTGTGTTATGAGCATATTAGGAATACCATCTTTTATGGGATAGATAGTTCCATCTTGACTTTTCAGCACTCCTTCCTTGATATGAGTCTTTTATGGTTGAATAATTGAAACTTGGATAGTAGCTGAGAATAGAAACGTACCTCCAATAACATTTTATGAAGTAATCGGAAAGTTTCTTCATCTTCTGTGCTTTCTTTGGGAGCTACTTGTGGTAGTTCACCAAACGCAAACTGTCTACTAACTTGTCGAACCAGGTTCCAATCCAATCTAGGTATCATGCGTAGGATGAATTCCTTATTATATTCAGTTTCTATAGTTTCTACTTGTGTAGGTTCCAATATTAACGGAAAAGTTTTGGTCTTTGGACACTGTAAAAAGTTGTAAGTTAGCAATCTCATTTCTCTACCACCCACAAAAACTATGCAAAAAGAATATTCTCCATTTACTTATAGCAACTTTATAAAGTATCCAATGCATCATATAAAATATCCATTTGTTGTGGAGTTCCCATAGAAATGCGAATACAGTTAGAAAGTGCCTTCGTATCATAATATCGAATCAATATTCCTCTTTTCATCAACTTGTTATAAATGTCCCGAGCATTTCTTCCACCTTTAACTTGACATAGAACAAAGTTGGCTTCTGATGGATAAGGAATGAGCCAAGATTGATAAGAAGAAATACGTTGATAAAATCTTTCACGTTCCAACTTTATCTTTTCCACTCGTTGAAGCATCAAATCCTTCTCCTCCAACGTTGCTATTCCCGCTAATTGAGCAGCTACATTAACATTATAAGGCTGCTTTATCTTCCATACTTGACTCACAATACTTTCAGGGAAAATACCATAACCGAGTCGAAGTCCAGCTAAACCTGCCCATTTAGAAAAGGTACGTAAGATTATCAAATTGTCGTAGTCTTTCAACCAATCCACGTGAGTCTTTCCTGAAAACTCAAAATAAGCTTCATCCAAAACAACTGTCATAGGCAAGTCTAACAATTCTTTCAAATCATCATCCGAAACAACAGAACCGTCAGGATTATTGGGAGACGCAATAAAAGCAATCTTTGGAAAAGGTCCCAAAGTCTCTGGTTCAAACAAACCCTTTACTCTATCTATTGGCAATTTCTGAATAGTTGAATCTTCACGCCAAGCATAAAAGACATGTGCCTCATAAAGATCAGCATCAAATTTATACATTCCAAAAGTTGGCGGAAATATAACTATCGAATCTCCCACTCCAGGACATATAAACAGACGGAAAATCATATCAATCAAATCATCAGCACCTGCGCCTGTAATAATCTGTTCTTCATGAACTCCAACATATTCTGCAATCTTCTTCCTCAGGAAGCGTGACTCAGGATCTGGATACAAATGAAGATATGAAGCGTTCGATAAGACTTTGAATACTGAAGGTGCAGGTCCATAAGGATTCTCATTAGCATCCAACTTGACTATGTCGTCTACTCGCTTTCCAATCTTTTCAGCAATCACTTCCGTTGGATATATCGGAACATAGGGCTCCATTCTTAAAACTTCTTCCCGAACTTCATCATAAGAGGAATATCTAGCAGCTTTACCAAAAGGATGGCGGGCAGGTCGCCTAATGCCTCCTAAAGCTGAATAGTGGAGAGGCAAAGACTCCTCAGGATCCTTATATTTCGCATTCATTCTAATTTCCAAATCATCTTCAGGATCAGAGGGCATCACGTAACCATATCTCTTCGCCTGTTCTTCATCAAGAAAAGGCGGAAGTTCAGGTTCATCTGGAATTCTATTCTGTTCTTCCATTCGAAGCGAATAACTCGACTTTGACAACTTATGACGGCGTATGACTGTTTCGAAGCATCCAACAAACCTACCTAAATAACAACGTTATCCTAACGACACAAAATAACAAAAAATACTAACAAGTTGATTTCAACTGTCGGGATTGTCCACGATACCCAATAAACTGATGACTGTATAAGAACGACAGCTCTCGACAATCTAACCAAGCCATGTAAAAATTCGTCAACAATGATTCAACTGCAAGTCTGAAGACTTGAACAGGAAGACTCGTTCAGGAATGAATAAAAATACTATAAATATAAATATTGGTGTTTTGGGACACGTGGATAGTGGAAAAACTAGTTTGGTTCGTTCCATTAGCACTATACTATCGACAGCTGCTTTAGACAAGCATCCTCAGAGTTCTGAAAGAGGAATCACCTTGGACTTGGGATTTTCTGCTTTTATGTTACAAAAAGATAAAGAAGAAACCTCTGAACAAGTACAGATAACTTTGGTTGACTGTCCTGGTCACGCTTCCCTCTTGAAGACAGTATTAGGAGGTTCGAAGATTATAGATGCTTTACTATTAGTGATTGATGTCACAAAGGGTATACAAATGCAAACTTCTGAATGTATAGTAGTTGGAGAATTGGTGACTGACAAAGCAATCATTGTATTCAGCAAGATAGATTTGATTCCTCCCGATGAACGCACTCAAAAGATGGCTCTAATGAAGAAGAGAACTTTCAAGGCACTTCAACAAACAAAGTTTAAGGATGCCCCTTATGTGTTCGTTGCTGCTAATCCCAGTCAAAGAGAGAAACTGGAACCTCATATATCAGAAAATGTGCAGCCTTGGGGAATGGAAGAGCTTCTAAGTACTATTGCGAAGTATATACCGATTCCCGAGAGAAGCCATGAAGGAAAGTTTCTATTTGCTTTTGATCATTGTTTTGGAGTAAAGGGACATGGAACTGTTTTCACAGGAACTGTATTACAAGGTGCCATTCATGTGGGTGATCTGATACACATACCAAATATTGGAATATCAAGGAAGGTAAAGAGTATGCAGATATATCGTAAACCAGTTACACAATGTGGACAAGGAGAACGAGTAGCCATTTGTATATCGCGATGTCCTTCCGACAAAGTCGAACGAGGATTCTTGGCTATTCCAGGATATTTGTCTTTATCCACTTGTTTTATAACCTCGGCACACAAAGTACGTTTCTATCGAGAAGAGTGTTTGTCCAAGTCAAAATTTCATGTGACTGTTGGACATTCCACAGCAGTTGCTACAGTAACTTTCTTCTCCATGTATTCTCATTGCCAAATGAAGGATTGTTTTTCATTCGATGAAAGGTACTTCTATGAAAAGCAACTGGAAAATGATGATAGAGATTCCAATCCTAACAAGATTTTTTTTGCTTTGATAAAAACTGACATTCCTCTATGTATTTATCCGAAAGTTGGATTCATAGCTTCGCGTTTAGACTGGGACACTGAGGTGAGTCGATGTAGAATTGCATTCCATGGAGATGTCTTGGCGCAAATGCATGATACGGCATCAGCAGTCGTAACAGATAAAAAGAATGATATGTTGCATCTTACCAAGATAAAGAAACGTCAAGGAACTGTTGAAAGAATACAAGATAATCAAATTCTCATAGTGAAGGGATTTTTTCAAAAAGACGCCAATGTCGAAATTTTCGAAAAAATGAGAGTCAGTTTTGAGAATGGTGTTCGTGGATACATCGAGGGCAAATTCGGGAAATCCGGCAAGTTACGAGTCAGACTCTTATCACAATCTGAGAAAATACCAGAGACAGGATCAAAAGTAGAATTCGTGTTTCATAAAGTTTTCTCTGTTGACCACGAAACCAAGAAAAAAAATGTGTATATCACCCAAGAAGACTTGTAGAATGTTTCCGATAATTAAATTACGAAAAGTTAAACTAATAATGCAGTCCAGAATTCAAGTTCAGCTCAAAGTGCATTTTCCATCAAGTGAAAATTTTCACTTTTTTATAATTTACATAAAGAACTATCGATAATTGCAATTTTAGTCATTTTTATACAAATTTATTATCAAAGAATGTTCTTCTTTAGAAAAACGGCATCAACAATATTAATCGTAATGGTGATGTCAATTTCAATAAATTCAATTTAATTTAATTCGCTTTAAGCCAACATAAAATTGTAATCAAGGTTCAGAATTTTTTGTAAATCAAAGCTTAACGAGTGGCAAATTAATTTTTTTTAATTCAGGATTGTCATGATTATAACAAATCTAGATGGTAAACTTTAATAATAAGATTTATTTTGGGGAAGAAAGTTCGTAAAACGAATCATCCAAATTTCGGCGTATCCTTTGAGTAATAATTAGAAGCTTTGCGTTCCTTTATGACTAGAGAGTGAACCGAAAGAAACCCAAATTTACCTATAAATTTCAATGAGGCTTCATTTTCTAAACAGATACTGAGAAATTGGCATTTAAAGATCTCATTTCTTTCTATTCTTTGAAAATTGGAAACTTTCCTTTAGGTTTTCTAGCTGTTGCTGTTCAAATAATTCAAGATTCTGACAAAAATATTTGGTCCAAGTTTCGTCCCAACGTGATTCTACAAAAAATTTGAAGTAACCTAGTTTCTTCTCTACTTTTAGTGTTGTCTGAAACCAATCTCTATTATAATTATTTTTTTTGAGTTCCTGACGAGCAGCCTTGGCTAGTTCTTGAGCTTCCTCAATTGCTCGCAGGATCCATTTACATCCTTTACCTACAACGATACGTGTATCCCGAATAAGAAGGATCGAAAAATCTTTTGAGTTGGAATAGTGAATATCTTCTTGTGAATGGCGTAAGACAGAATATAAAACTTCCGAAATTGATGAATATCGGCGATCTTCCGAGAGAACTTTTGATATAGATAAAAGGCACTGAAAACTGTCGAGACAGTCTATATGCAAGTCTCCATTAAACAATCGCATACAATAGCAATAGGCGTAACATATTTCTACTACATGTAGGTTCAAAGTTACTGACGGCTCTTGTTTAAAGTGGGGTTTCTCTTGGTTGCAGTCTTCAAATTTGACTTTTCTGTGACCAACAGTGTCAGAGTTATTCTTTGAGATCTCCACAATCGTAGGCTCTTCTTCCTCCCACCAAGGCTTCCAGACTTGTACAAGATCCTCAATTTCACCGTTTGCTAAAAGCCTTTGAAATTTTTGCTGAAATCTCTCAGGTAAACTAGAAAAAACCGCTTCCGGTTCATCCACGTCTAGCCTGTGAAGTGCCTCTTCCAGTATTTCGGTTTCATCTTCCACGCTCAAAGCATTATCTTCTGAATATTCATCCCAGTGTCGCTGAAGCAGTTGTTTCATTTGCGTTTTCTCTGATTCCGACGCAAAAACGTTGCGAAGGGATTCCGTAAAGGAGCTACTGAACTGTTCAAGACAGGATATATTGTGACTTTCATAACAATCCTTTGAACAATATGCCATATGACATTTTGGACAACGATAGGGAGCCTCTTTCTTTGAACAGACACCGCATATTCTTCTTGTACGCGTTCCAATATCCGCAGACTCGAGCTGATTCATGCTGAACTTCCAAAGACTGAAATCAATTCCGAATTGCTTCCATAATTTTTACAAGAACGGTGGTAATCAACCCAGTCGGTTCTTCACACTTCCTTGGAACAACAGTAGAGATATTAGAGTCGTTTCAACACTCATCAATGTTGCCTTGTGTATAATTTTAAAAACTTTAATTTCTCCATAGCTGTTGTATGCCACTGGAACACATGTTCTTCTATTTTCAAGATTCTATCTTAATAGAAATTTAACTATACAAACTAGCAAATTTCACTTCTAGAAAAGTTTTGCATGCATCTAAAAATGAATTCATGAAAGATGTTTTGAATTGGGAGTGATCAACATTGTCTACAATATGAGGTTCATTTCTCTATTCTCACGTTTATATTACCGCAGTTTTCGTTCTCTTTCAGTTCCTTTGTTTTTTAAGAAAAATCTGAATAGTGCAACAAAGAAAAGTAGCTTAGGCGTGTTGTTTTTGGGGAGTTCAGGAACCTTTGCTTATAATAGCAACAAAGTGGACTGGTATCCTTTTAGTATTTCGGAGCAAATTAAAGAAACACTTTCTATGTTCAATGAACTTTCAGATATGGCATACAGAAGGGTTAAGGTTAGCGTTTAGCTACGGACTCTGTTGATTTTTAGTTTTATCTTTTTTGTAGAGAGACCTTAAAACACCTGAAGGCTCTTTATTGCTGGCCCTGGTTGGTATGAATGCGGTTGTTTACTTGGCGTGGAAGATTCCTAGCTTTGTTCCCTTTTTATCTCGTCATTTTACCTGCTCGTTGTCTACAGTGAAGGGAGGTCGTGTTCATACTCTTTTGACTTGCAATTTCAGTCATGCTGGGTAGGTTTCTTTTTTATCCAAAAGTCTCATCTAATCTTGTACCGTTTCATAGTTTTTTTCACCTTTTCTCTAATATGTTTCTTTTGATGCATTTTGGATCCGATGTTTGTCGAATAATAACTCCAGAGCGCTTTTTCGTCTTATATTTAGCAGGTGGTCTTTCTTCGAGTCTTACTAGTCTATTATCCAAGTACCTTTTGCGGGGTGATGCAGTAAGCGTTGTTATTATAAAATCCTGAATCTCTAGTGTGAATGTTTTGATGTAGCTGAGTCTTGGCGCATCTGGTTCAGTAATGGCAATAATGTTTATGTATGCAATGTTATTTCCCAATCGAGATATTTACTTTTTTGGATATCCTTTAAAGGCTAAGGATGCGTACGTTTTGGTTTTTGAACTTGTCATCATTCGGTTAACTGTTAGTAGATGTGTGATTTGGGCCTTACTGGATGCCACTGGTTTACTTGGTAACTTTGGAAGAATCGACTTTGCTGCTCATTTAGGAGGTGCAGCTTTTGGGTAAGGAGTAAGGCAGTTGTAATATTTATGACGTAAACTTTGGGTTCGATAGATTGGCATATTATGAATACAAGAAAAGAGATATTGCAAAAGATTATCAACAGAGAAAGACGACAAGACTTTGGTATACAAATGATATCCATGGCTTGGAATTGGAAACTCGTAAACGCCCGAGGTTCGATATATCATTGTGAATTACTTATTTACTAATATTTTATAGGACTTCAGTTGATAGGGAGTCTTCAAATATTTGGAGTCAAGTCCGGAGTACATTCCACCGGTGGTATGAATTGGATGGATTACAATTAGCTCAATTGTGCTTATCATTTTCAGGTTTCGAATGAGTCAAAATCGCCGAGATGACTCTGATAATTGAAATGACTGTGTTGTACAAATAGGATGTTCTACGTTGATAAACGCAGGAGAGAGATGAATAGGACATAGTAGAAGAAGGAAACAGATTATTTTGATCGAGACTTGATATGATATCATTGTTTTCTTTTCATTTGTCTTGACTGTTGAAATAAATATAAGTTGTTGATTTGAAACGGCACAATTTGTATGGGAGTTGGGTTTTAGGCGCATTCAGACTGCATTTTTCTTTTGAGTTCATCATTAGGTTTTCGTTTTGTTCGGTGAGAGTGAGTGACATGGATATGTCGTTCAACCAACGACAACGCTATCTTGAACAACAAAAGCCACCACCGTGGTTGGTATTTGGAACGTGGGATAAGCTTATACGTCATCGAATTGGTTTTTCGTATCCAACCGAAAAACAAGCTTTTTCACAAAATTCAAGTGCTTATTTGAGAAGAACAACATATGAGGAAAAGAGTAGAAGTAGCTCAACGAAGAGATATCCTTGTTCAGATGATGGTAGCAGTTATAATGTATCTTCGGTAGTCGCCTATTCAGATATCACTGAAGAAAACTACAACTGTGCTGTCGATGAAGAGGAACATATACAAAATATTATCTCTAAATATATTCAAGGGGAGGGAAACAAAAAAGCGTCAACGAAGACAACTAAAAAGTATACTGAAGTAATTGATGAAAACGACGCTGAGTCAGTGGTTTCACAAATGAGTGAAAGAAGAAAAGAGTGTGATGACTCCCTTGCAGAGTATGGCAAGAAACAGCGTTCCACTATACTCTGTAGTAGAAGAGTCAGTTTAAATGAGGAACAGAGTGAAGAATCTTTAACCCAATCTTTCAAAAAGATGGTGGAAGGAGAGTCTTTCCAGCAAAAAGAGTCAAAGAATAGTCCTCGAAAGGAGAGCAAGTCTTCTTCCAAAGCTCCGCCCTTTCGAAAGATGGAACATCGTCACAGCGTGGACACGAAACTGCGAGATCAACTGCTGATAGAAATACAATATGGCAGAGACCGTCTTCGTTCCACACCATTGCAACAGAAACAAGTCCACTTAGAACCTCTTACTCCAAGAGAACAACTGTTGCAGGAAATTCGTATAGGAAAACAGTTGAAGAATATTACTCCTATACATTTTGAGTGTTGAACATTTCTTTTTATTGAATATGAGTATATTGGTTTCTATTCATTATGACTATTGAAACAGTTAATAAAAAAGCGACGAATAACCATATGAACAAAGGAATCAAGAAAAACGCAGCCAAACGAGAGATATGTAGAAATGCAAAAATAGTCATGATGGTAAAGAGCATCAAAATAGCAATCATTACTAGTCCACCCACCAAATCGTGTTGAACGAAGAATACTTGATTGAAGAGGTCAGCAAGTACCAAGTAAGATATTGACATGGAGACCGGAATCGTAAAGGGACTTTGATGACAGCATTCAAATATCAATGCGAGCGCATAGCTTTGAAGTAACTTTAAAACGAACCAAACCAATGCGAACACCATAGGAGAAGGAGTCCACCACGGTTTCTGGAGCTGTGCATACCAAGAATGGTCAAGAGGTACTGTTGGGTGTGCTAGTTGCACTCTTCTTTGCCACATAGATGGAAGATGTAGAAAGAACGAAGCAAATATGACTACAGTAGCACTTATCAATAGAGAACTGAAACCACCGATATCTAATATATGAAAATAAACATAAGTACAGTCGTTTCTACAGCCAAATGTAGTTTTAGAAGAAACAATATCCGAGTTTAAAAGATATTGTGTAGAACGAATGGGAATCAACTTTGCAGCTGGAAGCAGCAGTCTTCGAAGAAAACTAAAACATGCAAAGTAACTTGTCAATAATAGAGTTTCAGCTAAAAAGTGAAAAGTAACAAAATGCCAATCGAACATGAATTCAACTAATTAGTAGCATCAATCGCTTTCAAGGTATGTGGTGCAAACTTCATTTTTCATGGTGGCGCTGTGGGTCATCGGCTCTGTGGTTTGGTTGGCTGTTTACTTAGTGTTTCAGACATTAGATAGTTTCGTCCAAGGCAGATGGTCCTTGTGGTTGAGAACACACTCTATTCAAGTAACAAAAGGTTGCGTTATATGGAGCTTGAAGTTAGCTGTTCCCACTTTGAAGACTTGGTGTAAAATACATAGACGGGTTTTGCGCCTTTTCTTTCAGTTGGGAAGTATAGTTGGTGTCATGGCTTGTTGTATTCTTATGTTGGGACTTGTTATAACTGGAATAACTATGTATTTGATTTTTGTTTCTTGTGTAGTAACGCAAAGTATCTTTTGGAGATTGGACCCTTGGCAACTAGCCAATAAGTTTCCTTTGATTTCATCTTTTAAAAAATTGCTGATGGAAGTAACAAACGCTTTACTATTCCACTTGATGAAATGGTTAAAATTAGACCCTGAATTGCCCCTAACAGTTTCTTGGCTGTTATGTTGGGTTGGGTTATTGGTGATACTTCCTTTTCACGAACTAGGCCACGCAATAACTGCTTATGTGGAAGGTATTGGAGTAGAAAAAGTTGGGCTCTTTTTAGCTTTCTATATTCCTGGAATGTTCGTGACCATTGAAGAGAGTTTACTTGATCTCAACACAAAGAGTCGACTGCGCATAGTTTGTGCTGGATTTTGGTTTAACTTGTTGCTATGTCTACTTTCTTTGGTTGTTGTATTTCTGCTTCCGTTACTTGTTGCACCTTTCTTCAGGCAACAGATGACTGTTTCGGGGTTCATTTCAACGGGACAAGAAAGTAGTCGCTTGTTAAACTGCTTTTCTATCGGAGATGGATTGGTGAGCGTAAACAATAGAGAAATAAGAAAGTTGGACGATATCAAGGAAGTAATACGGGAACTTACATCTGAGACTTTTGTGGGTATCTGTTTGAACAAGAACAACATTACAAGCAGTAAGTGGTTTCGTCCATTTCATATGTGTTGTCCGGGTCTCTCCAGTGACAGTTGGCAAGTTGAAGAATCTGTTTGGAAGTGTTTTGTTCAGTCTTCTTTTTTTAATACTGGTTATCCAAATGCCGTTTGTATTTCAGAGGAATGGTTAGAAACCCAAGAAGTTGCTTTAGGATTCTGTGAAGACAAACTAGTGGATGATCAATATTTTGTTCCTTATACTGGAACCGGTGGCCGATTAGTTTCTTTGAAGAGATGGATTCCTAGTGAACAAAACTACCATCAAACTGTACTGGTGACCAGTCCTGATGCGTTGCTGCATTCTGTAAAGTGGACGGAATATGTGCCACGTATAAGTCCTTGGTGGTTGTATAAATTCCTAATTGTATGGAATCCCATCGGTAAATTTGAACAGTTCTTTCGAATTTTGTTCATACTGTCAGCCTTCATTGGAATATCTAATATGGCTCCTGTATGGAGAATGGATGGAGAAGATGTCTTTTCTTGGCTGCTTACTTACTTTCCATTGCCGATGACCCATCTCGAATACTTGCAAAAGAGGAAACGATGGCTTGGATATTTTAGTTTCCTTTTCATTTTAAGTTTTGTGTTATTTTTCATACTAATGGATTTGAATAACTGACTAGCATCCCTTTAAGAATGGACCTAGTATTTATTTATTATACGGTTGTGACAATAGAAAGGTTTAGGGCTTGCATCTATCCTTGTATCTTGGATATAAGCAAACATCACGAACATGATAGAGTCCTAACAAGTAACAGCAAAATCGTTCTAGTCCTAAACCGTAGCCTCCATGTGGTGCGGAACCATACTTCCTCTAATTCACACGAGTAGGCTGGTCAGTCCAGCAGCAACAACAACAACAACTATAATAATAAACAATTGGAATAACATACCTGGTCAGTGAACCAATAGTAGGGACTGGGATCCATCTTTTCTCTTCTATATGCCTCCAGAAGTTCCTCCAATTCGTGGATCCTCATACTTCCCCCAACAATCTCCCCTACACCCGGAAGAAGTAAATCAACGCTTTCAGTCAGTCGCGAATTATCTTCACATTTTTTCATATAAAATGACTTTAATGACACCGGGAATCGGGTGAGAAAAATAGGCTCGTTGATTTGGTCCGTCATCTTTCTTTCAGGAAGTTCAGGAATATCATCGCCGAATTCAAAATGCATTTTGGTGACTTCATCTTTATAAATGTTGTTTTCTTGACAATATCGAATAGCATCTTCATAAGTCATTCTTCGAAAGGGACGCTTAGGAACTTGGATATTTGGATTCAGTGAAAGGACCAAATGACTTGCCTATCCCATCTTAAATTTTCGATATACAAAAAGTAGGAACCATACCTTTTCCATCACTCGTCTCATCACGTCGCTTACTAAGTCTTCTATTTTGAATAACAAGTCTTCAAAGTTAATGAATGGACATTCCGCTTCAATGTGATGAAACTCCGCCAAATGTCTTCTAGTTGAACTCTTCTCCGCTCGATAACTCGGAAGAATACAGAAGCAATCACCCACGGAAGCTATTGCAGTTTCCAAATACATTTGACTACTTTGTGTAAGATATGCTGGTTCGCCAAAATAGTCTAACTGAAACAATGTGGAACCTCCTTCACACTGTGTTTGAACAATGGTGGGTGGAAATACTTCCACATAGCCTCGATCGAAGAAATGCTCTCGAAAACATTGCGTAATAATTGACCGAAGTTTAAGTACCGTGGAAGTCCTAGTCCCACGAATAACTAAGTGTCTGTTATTCAGCAAAATATCAGGATTGCTCTCATAAGTTAAAATATTCTCAATCTCCGAAGGACTTGGTCCAATAAGTTGCCAATAGTCGACACGTAACTCGATCCCAGGAAAACTTCCTTTTGCTCTTTCATCTGAAGTAAGAGTTCCTTTCAAAAGGACGGTAGCTTCACGATGCAAAGTAAGAGCTTCATATGTTTGACATAGCAAATCCGACAAGACGCACTGCAGAAATCCGGTTCCGTCACGCAATTCGATGAACAGAAGTTTCTTGCCGTCTTCTCGTATGTGATGAACCCAACCTTGTACCTAAAAATCTCAATAATCAGAACAAGACAAAAAGCAAAAGACGCCACTCACTGTAACTCTTTTATCCACATATGATGGGACATCTCGAATCTTGATGGGTGTGGCAAACGGCAAAGAAGGATCTTCTTCTATTTTGATCTTCTTGCTCTCTTCTAGTTTCAACAATCTTTCAGCTTCCAGTGTTTGTGCTCTTTCCTTTGCTTTCTGTTCCTTTCGTTCCTGCTCTTTCAGCAACCTTTCCAACTTTTTCCGACGGGCCTTGGGAAGCAAGTTCTTTTGTTGCTCGTCAAGTTTTATGAAATCGTCAAGGGTAACTTCCTTCAACTGATTTCTCAGTTGTTCTTCTTCCGACTCTTTTTCTTCAGTAGGTAGACAATGATCTGACGACATTATTCTTAAAGTGATGAATGTAGGGAGTCAAAAGGCCACAATTCTCAACAATCCGTTTCGTCGCGATGATCACGCCACAACGAATGTCCAAGTTGTCGCAGTCTTGTAACGCTCTGGAAACTAGTCTCTTATTTGGTGACTTTGAAGGAGCCATTCAGTTGGCGAGAAATCTTAAAACGTCGACTACCAGTCGTCAAGAGTATGCTATTTGTTTGTGTGCAGAAATACAAGCGCTATTTGAGTTGGGAAGAGAAATAGAAGCACGAGATATTGCTATTCGTTGTGTAGTAGAAGATGGCGTTGCTTTTGAAAACTTTTCATTATTGAACACTTGGTAAGTCTTCATGTAACATTTTGCTATATTATGTTGAGTACATTATTTGGAGTTAGTGTGAGTCTCTTTCTAGTTGTATCGGATGACAACGGCTTGGATTGGGCAGAAACAACTTTCCAACGCTGGTTTCGGTTGGAAAGAAAAAGTTACCTTTCTAATGGAGAAAGGGGAAGGTTTTCAGTAAAACAAAAGAAGCATTTGTGGGAAGTTTTATTGTTTCATATTCTTCCACAGCGAGGTTTGGAAGGTATTCAAAAAGGACTTGATAAAGTACACAATGAACTACCGGAGTGGGGGTTTGATGAAGAGTGGCTTAGTTGTATGGAACGAGAATTAATCAATAGGAAGGAAGCTTTGAACAATGATAGTGGACCCGCTTGTATGGAGAAAACGGAAGAATCTTTGGACTATATACCACAAGAACACTCCAGGTCGACTGTGGTGAGGATAGGACAAGATGAGTCTATGGATAGTGTAACAGAGATGAACGATTCTGTGTGGTCAAAGACGTGGACGATAGTTCAACAAGTAGACAGTCCTCTGTTTCGCATTTCTATTGTTACAACATTTTGTTTGCTCTTCTATTTATGCAAACAAAAGTTTCGAGTCAAGCGACATACAAGTGGAACGGTTCATCATCGTTCTTGGTCGCAAGGTTGGATGGATATATTTCGAATGGCATTTGGTTTAAGTTATGGACGTCCTGGTATATAACTGATGTGTATTGATATTTTATTTTGAAACCATAGAAATGTTGCAAGTTGTGTAAATATTTTTTGCAATAGGAAAATAGTATTGATAAAAAGCTTCCATTTCATAGAAAAGAGTATTGGTTAGATCCATGGAAAAGGACAACTGGGTGGTGGATGATCATATCCACTCGGAACAAGCACTAGAGGAAGACTCCGAGTTAGACGACGTCAATAATGAAACTTTTGCTGATGCAGTGGACGTGGACTATGCTTGGGAAGAAGAACATCGGTTGGTAGCTTCCCAGTTGGAAGAGGAAAAGAGGAAACAGCGACAATGGTACATCGGTTCTCAAGTAGAAGATAAGCTTCGCCTCCTGTCTTTACAACCACAGACTTCTCAAGAAATGAACCGTGATACTATGCACACTCCAGTTGGAAACAAGGACCCACTCTATGCCAACGATATTTGGGGTACAAATCTTTTTCAAGGCAACAGAAATGATGCAAGGGAACTACAGCGAAAAACAGCTTGGAATGTCGTTGATTCCCGTAGGAGACCAAACAAAGTATTGTTTGCTCAAGACTTGGAACGGTCTCTACTAGAGAGTAGCCAAAGAAGAACCACACAAGTTCCAATTTCAAGAGGCTTCCTAGAACCAACAGTCAGTGGTGAAAGAAGAGACCCAGTAATTGGTAAAGTTTTTGCACGACAAGAATCAACCTCTTTTGAAAAGGACTCGGCTCTCACAAAAAAGAAACCTTGGGAAACTTTTTCTGAGAGTAAAAAGTTTGAAGACGAATATCCTTCTTTAAAAGAATCCTTCAAAACACTTGATAGTAGTAGGAAGAAGGGAGCATCATTCTTTCAATCTTCTCAGTCGAACAACCAGTTTCGTCAACCTAGGGATATCTCGAGTGGGCATCGACAAAAAAGAACGGGTTATCAGAAGAGGAGTGATTCCCGTCATTTTGTTAGAAGGTTATATTCCAAGTGGATGACTTGTTCTGAAATTGAGCTCATAGCCAAAATGCATATTCGTCAGTTGGAAACTTCGAGTTGGCCTGTAGAAGACTTTTACTGTCAAGCATATCGCCAGAAAGAGCAAAGGAGAAGTGAAGAGCAGTTGAAAGAATATCCCTATTCTCGAGATACAAAGAAGAAAACTTTGAGGAGTGGATATTTTCCTCATCATTCAGAGAACAATCTTAAAATATTGGAACGTGCACTTGGTAGTATTCAAGGATATAATCCGAATGCACCCCGAAGAATGGTTCAGGTGATTTGTAAATGTAGTTGAGTTGGATGGTTTTATTGAGAAAGATGGATTGTTAGGTTGCACTTGAGTCTGTTTCGGATAGTTCATTGGAAAGAGACGAAGCCCATGTGACAGATACACCTTTTCATGAAGACTCCAGAATAGCAGCACAAAGTGTCATATCTTTAGCATTTGACATATTGTTTGATTTGGAAGATGAACTGAGCGTCTATTCATCAGTTGCAGAATTAGAAGAACATAAAACAAAAATGTCCAGAAAACTGCTTAATACATTTGGTATTACTGTTGATGAAAATTTACGTGACGAAACGAGAAATATTTTTAGCAGAATTTGTGCTTTGCCAAAGGTATGCTATAGATAGGAATATGAAGCTTGTTCTTTTATATCTTCTTATGTAGGGTCGAAAACTATTGATTCGATGTTTTTCGGTTCTTCCTCGTACTTATCTGACACCATTGTTAAACATGATTCTCTTTAGTTTGGGTATGATTTTGAAACGAACAAGCAAAGCACAGTTGGAAGAGCCCAGTTGGCAGCAATTTGTAGAGAGCGTCATGCACTTTATCGAGGAGACGGATGATATTTCTGTCCTCACTGAATGGACGCACTCTTTTGCTGTAGGACATCAAGAAAACAAAAACTTTCTTTTTGTGATAACTACAGGCTCAAGTCTCTCATTGGTTGTGACTTTGTTATTTAGTGCATGTAGTTTAGACTCCTCACGTCAACCACCTTTGAAAATGCTTTTGAACAGATTATGTGAACGATTGATATTATCAGTGGAAGAAATGTTTAAGCATGTGGAACATTCCATCGTATGGCAGTTGGTTGCGTTACTGGATGGCTTTGTGGACACAATGCTTCGAGAAAAGTTGCGAATGATCATTAAGAAACTCATTGAAGAGCAACGTATTACTTTATCTACATGATTGTATCCCACAACATTTATACATCTACATATGACAAAATAGAACGTTGTTTGTACAGCTCTGTTGTCAACTTCATTGTCTTATTTCGACTTTTTGACTTGAGAAACCATGACAAGCGATAAATCTCTGGCTACAACCTTTTGTCCACCATGAATAGTCATTCCACGTAAAAGATCCCCGCGTCCAGCTCTTAACAATTCAGCTCTTGTCGGCATCACACCCGGTTGTCCATATTCATATATAAAAGCTAATAGTTCTTTACGTACATTTTCCAGTCGACACCAGTAATGTGATTCTCTTCGAGTATTTGTTTTCTTAGATGAATTGACTTGACTTTCTTCTTCTTCTTCCAAACCACTCCAATCTGTTAAAAAGAAACTCTCATCAAAGATGGTCTTGTCTCCTTTTACCATTCCAAACTGCTTAGCAACGGTTTCCCTACCACCGTGAAATTGAATAGCTCGAACCAAATCAGGTCTCCCATCTTCCAATAACTGCCTCGTTGTAGGTACTATACAAAGTTCAGTCAATCCTTGTTTCTTTATCCACCTTTCCAACTCTATCTTTAGCCAATTCAAGTCTTTTATCTTGAGCTGGGTAGACCTCGAGCCTTTACAAAGCTTCCAATTCATTTTACTGGCTACTTTGTGCATTCCTCCATGTATACGAATAGCGGCTATCAAATCAATTCGTCCTAATTGTCTAAGGTCATGAAGGGTTGGCATCTCATTCGATTGGTAGATATCTCCCAGTTCTTCAGATATCAAACGCTTGAGTTCCTTTTCTAGACAACTAAAATGTTGAATATATTCATTGCATGTTGCCTGATAATGCATCTGCAAACCAAGTTTTCTGGCAACTGCATGTTGTCCTCCATGATATTGAATGGCATCCAATAGATCTGTTCTACCTGCTTCACGAAAGTCCACCATTCTTGGCATGATTCTTTGTATCCACTCTGCTCTTTCACTATCTATCTTTTGTGCACGTTGATGCAAAAAAGTCCGCAATTCTTTCTCAAAATGAGTAAACTCTTGCATTGATTTCGAGATTGGCTTGGATGAACGACGATATCTTTGCAAACCTAAGATTTTAGCTGCCTTCCTATAACCTCCCAATTGAAGAATGGATTGATGCAAATGTCGATTTTCTGCCAAAACATCTGAAGAAAGTGGCATAAGGTGCTTTCCTTTATGAATCTTTTCACTCAATTGTAACAGTTCCTTTTCCAACTCAACAGGATAGCGCAAAGTGAATTTCTGGTGTAATTGTTGCGCAAATCGGTTCCACTCGCGTTGGCAGGATATCGAATATTTGAATTGGCACAAAATGGAAATATCCTTTAGTTGGCAATGATATTGATGCATGTAAATGGCAATGAGACGAGCCAGTTCATGATGACCACTACTTTGTAGCTTCTTCGGGGAAGGTAAGGAACGAATAGTAACTGTGGAAGATGTGCTTTCACAATAGGCTTGCCACAACTGCTTTATCTTTGTTTTCATAGTTTGCGCATCTTCTTCCTGCTTTGTCATCCATACATCTTCCTCTTTGTTCTCCTTTTCCATATTCATTAGACTTCTTTCGATGATAAAAGAAAGACACAATTTCACATCTTCTGGACTCGAAGCAACCCAATGACGATAAGAAAGCATATATGTGCATATATCTTCCCTCTTTTCCTCTCCAATGTAATTCAATAGCTTTGGTAATATTCGGAACGATTCCAACAGTTTCAACTCCAGTTGGTTTGTCTCTTCTTGTGTCTTTGGACTATCTGAGCATGTCTCTTTGGAAAAACACAAATGAGATAATATATTCTGTGTTTCTGTCCATCGACAGAGTTCAAATTGCCCCAACTTGTTATATGGAATGAGAATTGGAGAAGAAGGAAACACAATGCAGGCTAACAATTGTTGATGAACAGGTTTCAATATTTCTGCTACTCTAATTGCCAATTGCTGATTGAAAATCCAACCTGTTACTATTACATCTGCACTTTGAACAGCTTGTTGTAACAATAAATAACTATTATGGTTGCCTTGGTCTTGTAACCATTGTTCTATTAGGAAAACCTTCAACACAGGTTGTAAAGCAGGTAGCAAATGGGATAGTGTTGTAGAACGATAGAAAGATGAATGACTGACTTCTCTGGAAACAAATTCTCCTTTAGAGTTGAGTAAAGGAATATTGTTCCAATATTCCATCGACTCATTATTTTCGGTGGGGTTCACTTGGGTTGCTTCTTTACGAGACATTTGCTGTTGAAAAATATCCGCCAAGGTAAGAAAACTGTAAAATAGTTTTTCATTGGGAGCCAAAACAACTACTTGAATGTATTCGAGATGAGGTTTTGGGTTGTTGGCTTTGCGTGGTGTTGTCGTCATATGGGTGGCCGAGTTATGTTGGATGCCTAACGAGCGTTTGTGATAACCTTTAGTTTTTGCAAGTGCTTCATAACTTGGTCTTGGGTCGAACTTTTTTCTTTCACCAAGTGTAAAGTTTCCATAACGTTGTGGAATACAATGATGAAACAATCGACCACAAAGTATGAACATTTGCAATCCAAACCCAATGCATATACATCACAATATCCCTTTCCCTCTCTCTCTCTTTTATTTCTTTGTGAGAACAACAACAACAACTTAGCCATCCTCTTCATCGTCTCCTTGTTTTAAAGCTTTCTTAAAGTTTTGTCGAAAACGATCATTGACAATAAACATAACAGGCCATAAAATACTTAGCACTAATCTACTATTCTACTGACAATTATCAACTTGTGATAAATAAAAAAGCTCAGTTACCTTGTTGTAAGTTGTCTGTTCAAATCCACTAAAAAATCGAAACCCCAAGTAACCATACAAGGCCAATAATACCCAGTTTGGAATGAGAGGAACGATTCCCAACAGTTGCACATCTTTCAACAATAAGTATTTCTTGGAAGGAAAAGTCAAGTCGCCGTTGAGTGATTGTTGGGAGACACACTTGGCCAAGTAACACTTCCTAAACTTGTGTGACCTTCTCCATGACAGTAAACGATATCCAGATGAAACCAGTAGAGTTGTTTGAGAACTCGTAAACAAAAAGGTAACTTTGGAACTCTTGTACAAAGATGAGAATGGAGACGTGGTCTCCCTATCATCCATCAACTAGAAAACTTATCTCTTAAGGGTTTATCAAAAATTTATGGACACAACCCAAAAACAATGGCAATACGAAGCCACATGAATAGGAGATTTTTAGCTTTATTAGATATATTACAAACAAGTTTCACAACAATAAGAGCCATATATCTCCATGAACGTGGTCCATTCTATACACAATAAAATGTACTACATGACCAACGAGAAACTCCAAAAAATACCTATGAAATATTTTGCTTGACATGATTTTCATTGAAGAAATGAAGAAACACTAAAACGGGTTACTTGAGGCAACGGGGTTTTAAATGAAGAGTTTTCAACATCTCGTTTACGAGAATAATCTGTCCAGGGTGTGGCAAAACTACTCTTTTCATCCATCTTTCCCAAACTTGTCGGAGACCCTTTCATCGGTAACGGTGGCTTATATCTTGATATTGGTGTTGTAAGAAAACTATGATTGGGTTGTTGTGCAGAAACACTTATGTTCTTCATCGGGGTGTGATAACGTTCATTCCAATAACTAGGCTTCCCAGAAGAGGTGCTAACTTCAAATGGACTTGTAGCATCCGGATTGCGAAGCTGCAACAGTTTCAGATATTTCTCTTTCAACTGACGAAACTTCTCTCTAAGATATGCTAGTCTACTTGCAACAAAAATAAAATATTCATATTCTTGTTTCAATACATCTTCTACTGCTTGACCTTTCCATCCCATACTTTTGGATACATTCTGTAGTACGGACATTGCTGTTTGCGTTTGTTGTTCATATTCATTCATGTTCTCCTCCATTTCTTTTAAATAAGAAAAAAATTTATCAAAAAGTTTCTTGACAGCTTCCTCACTTCTGCGAGGAATCGGTGTCATGTCATCCCTTGTTGCTGATTCCATAACAGCATAGACAGTTTCCACGCTATTCATTTCGTTCTTGATAACGTTCTTACAGGCTTGCACTTTCACAACTAGCGACTCCCAAGTGTTCTTGGCTATTTGGAAATGTTGAACTGTTTTGTTGATTCTCGCTTCCGTCTCTTCCAACTGCTGCAAGTTGTTTTGGGTTTCTAGTTTCAAACACTTCTGTCTTTCGTTTCTGATGAACTTTTCTATTTCTAAAATTTCAGTCTTTACAGCGTCCGGGAGTTGCCAAAAGGGAATCGATTTTATAGTTTGAGTATTTTGTGTCGTATTGATAGTCGGTGTAGGACTTGCGTTCGTGGAAGAAGAGAAAATACCTAAAGGTTGCGAAAATAAGCTTGATTGTGTTGTTGTCATACCAGAAGAACCAAAGGTCGGGGGCTTCAAGTTTCCTTGAAGACTAGGTTGATTTTGCGTTCCCGTCCACGGTGATTGAATGGGAGAAGAAAACAAACTACTTGGTTGCAAGTTTTGGCTTGTTGTACCCTGAGGAGCTGGATTGTTTTGAGTAGCAGAGAAAGCCATATTTTGTGTCACTCCAAGAGCTGGGGAAGAAGCGGGGTTTGAAGTATTCCAAGAAAAGGACATGGCTATAACTCCACAAGAATACCAAAATGAAACCAACGGAAATCTCTGAGACTTGTACCGATTGCTTTCCATTCTTTTCATTGATGGAAGGAAGAATGGGCTTCCATGTACAGGTTCCACTTTTGTATATATGCAAAGACTACAATTTGTAGTAGAATATGACATATAATGGTCACTGAATAATCACATGATGTTTTCAAGCTCTGTTTACTCGGTGTCAACAAATTAAGCTGCTTCGATGTCAACATATGCTTTTTTTGTATTCGACTGCTTATTCTATCTGTGCAAACAAAAGATATAGATAGAAGGTGTATATATATAAGTTCGATGTTTTCTTGTTTTTGTCGAGTTGAAAGTACCAATGAAGCTCGTCCAATGTTCTTTACAAAGTTCATGAGTCCTATCTAGACTACAACCAATGTAGCTATAACAGACACTGAACTCTATACCATGAACACTAGTATTGCTTTACAGTTGCTGTTGATAGATGCCATTAATATGAATGAAAGTTGCTATAGTTGCAATAAAAATGATATCCAAGTCGCCAACTGTGGTGAGAAGGAGGGAGGCGGAATAAAACCCGTGATGAATCACAATTCTGTCGGGATTTTTATGTGGGGAAATGACCTTGTGGGGTTTTGAGCAGAAACTTTGAGTCGAACCGTTTGATTACGGCGAGGCTTACGACTAAGAGAGTATTGAACTGCATGTTAAAGGAGCGTCTCAAATCACATGAATTGTAGTTGATTTATATTTGTCTTTTCGAAGTATGTGGTTGAGCTCCGAGAGGAAAGTTACCAAAAAGAAGAGATATAAAAATGCAACATATACGACGCAACTTGTAGAGCACATTGAAGGAACGTTAACCATGGAAGTGAATAATAACTTGAATAGCATTATGTCGTCGGAGGAAGAAGAATGTAACTCGCCTGCCAAAAAAAGCCACGGCAACAGAGTTAGCAAATCCAAGCAAGAAAGTTGCAAAGACCCTGAAATGATCTCATACGGTGATTCACACAAACTCGATATCCAATCCAGTGTTAAAGCTCAAGTACAAATTGAAAGTGCAGGTACTGGTCAACGTGAAAGTTCTCTGGTTTGGTTTCGAGGTCACGACCTCCGTTTAGATGACAACCCAGCATTATTAGCAGCCTTAGAAAGAAAAACAAAATGTTATGCTATTTTTCTCTGGAGTCCAAACTCCTTTGGAAGATGGTATCCTAGTAAACCTTGGTTGTGGTGGCTCCGGTCCTCTCTGCTGGTTCTAGAAAGGGAACTGATAAAATTGGGTGTCAAGTTGCTGTGTAGAAATGGATTAGCAGAAGAAGAGTTGCCATCAGTAGTTCGTGAAATTGGTGCAACAGTCATTTTTTGGAATAGAGCTTATGAACCAATCTATCTGAAGGCGGAAGAACGAGTCATTTCGATGTTTTCTGGAAGTACCGTTAAATTGGTCTCATTCAAGTCAGAACTTTTTGTTGAACCTTGGGAACTGCAGAATGATCATTCTCCCTTCTTTCCTGATTTTCATTCTTATATGAGAGCATGGATGCTTCAGTTGCCTCCACCCGAGCCATTGAGTATCAGCAAACAGTATTGCACATCGTTACCATACACTGAACTTGAGAATCAAGTGGGTCAGTTGGATCTTCTTTCAAAAGAAGATATAGAAGCGTTTGAATCGAAGAATAATTGGAAACCTGGTTGTCGTCAGGCTCAACGAACCTTGAAGGCATTTTTGAGCGACTCTTTTGATAAGTTTGGTGCAGCAAGATATCGAAGAAGTCTAACAGGAACGTCTAAACTGAGTCCACATCTCAAATTTGGAGAATTGAGTGTGAAGAGAATTTTTTATATGGTTAGAAAACGAGTTGCAAACAACCGTGAAAATTGGTATCTCTATTCACAAGCTGCTAAGGCATTTTTGAAAAACTTGTGCCTCCGAGAATATGCCTATCATATACTTTATTATTATCCAAATGCTATAGATACTCCATTGCAAAGCGTTTTCAATCTTTTCCCCTGGGAGCGTGATTATTCTCTCTTAGATCGTTGGTCTGTAGGTCACACAGGTTATCCTATGGTGGATGCAGCCATTCGTGAGTTACGGTCCACTGGATGGATTCATAACATTCTTCGTTTTCTTCTCGCGTCCTTTTTAACGCGTTATTTATTGCTTCCATGGCAACTGGGAGCGCATTTCCTTTATTCACACTTGATAGATGGAGACTTGGCAGCAAATACTTTAGGATGGCAATGGACTGCGGGATGTAATACGGACTCCTTTCCGTTGAGTTGTTTGGTGAATCCTATAGGAATGGGTCGTAAATACGACTCTAGTGGAACATACGTTAGGCAGTGGATACCAGAATTGGCTTCTTTACAGGACAAATACATACATTGTCCTTGGCAGGCACCCGAAGATGTATTAGCGAATGCAAATATTACGTTGGGAAAGACCTATCCGTTTCCTATTGTTGATGTATCTTTTGCAAGAAGTAGAGCAAAGGAAGCATTGAGAATTATGAGGCAGGTAGTAGACGGACAGCATTTACCAAAGAGTCTTTCATCGCCAACTGTGAACGATGTGATTGAAGAATGGCCTGATGAAGAAATAGGAGAGGAGTCCAACCGAATGCTAGAAGAGACATCCATGACAGAACAAGGCTCATCAGCTTTAAGTCTATTACCATCTTTGTGGCAACTTTTACAATATGATTCACCACCGTCCCTTCCAGTGAGTTCTTTGGAACATTTGTTATTTAATTCCGAAAATGAGGATGATGAATTGATGTTGAATGATCTATCCTTTCAGAAAGAAGATGAAACTGCCTATTTTCATTTAGAGAGTCGCGATGATTCCTCTTCCTATATGACTAACAAACTCGATCAACTGACTGCGGCACAGTCAAATATCTCCAATTTTGTAGGTTCTTATAGTCCTTCTATGGGCCAACAGCATGTTTCACAAGTGTTTCTTCCAACATGGATGTCGACTCCTTATTCTGCACAAGAAAGAAGAAGTTATTCGGAAGATGTGCATTTGGAAACCGCTGTTTACGCCCAAAACAATTTTCATCGAAGAATTCCTTCGGCAGAAACGAATCTCAATTACCTCTATCAACCATTTTTAGATAACAGTACGCAAGAGACTGTTCATATGGGTCCATTTTATGGAAATCCTGTTTCTCATAAGCTTGAAAGTTATCCAAGTGAACATAGAATGACGGACGTTTCTCCTTCTTCTTCAATGCTAACTTTTCCTTCAACAAAACGCAAAGTAAAAGCTACTGCCCATTCTTCTGCTCCGATGGAAGAATCAACTCAGAAATGGAACGATATATCTAGTCATCCGGATGATTCCCCTGAAATCATTACAATAAACATGGAAGGTATGCAAGAAAGTCGTAGAGAAACAACAGGAACCACAAAGAGAGTGAGGCAAACTCAGTTGAAGCGAAAACAACTTATGACAGCGCATTCCAGTCACAATAGAACTTCTTTATCGCAGAAAACAAGTAGTAGCGATTGGAGACAGCCACCACAAACGAGCGAAGAAAGACGTGCAATGCTGGAGATAGTTGCAAAGGATAACCAACATGAAGGTCAATTGTTTGCGCAATTCCTTCTCCAATACTATGAGTTGACGGATAATGTAGATCGTCGTATTTCTCGTGATTTTGTACGAGTTCGAAATATGAAAGATCTTTTCCATCAGTGGTGTCCAGATAAGAAGAAACTTTTAAAGATATATAAGATCAAATCTTTTCTAAGTGATATATTGAATCTTGAAGTGACTGGAGAATGGGATAGGCACCTGCATGGTGGAGTTCGAGGTCCTTATGTATATGGTATATGTCCCGTGGAACAAAAAGAACAAACCATGGAAGCTCCCTGAGAAGGATAATGATTATTATATATATATATATATATATGAATGCTGAGCAAACCATCACGATGAGGGAGAGAGAGATCGAGATATGAGGTGATTGTTTAGGTTTCGTGGATCAATAAAAAAGGGGTTATCATTTTTGGATAAGTTTGTTATGGCGCTGCGTTTGAAAGAGACAACAATAGGTTTTGGCTGTTTCTTATGCAACTTAGGTTACAACAATAAAGAGCTTTTTGGAAGAAACTGTTTTGGTTGTAGGGAAACCTGTCAAACCGTCAATAAAAGGGAGTTTCGCAGGTTGCCTCGAAACCAACTTTCTCATATGCTTGTTGCTCAAAGGAAGGAATATGCAGATGAAGCTAACAGTTCTTTCCCGGAAGATAACCATCCTACAAATACAGGTCACTCAATCACAACTTGTCGCTCAGTTAGACTCAAGTTGTTGTGGAGAGACCCAGAGTTTCGTGCAAAGAATTTGGCTGGTAGGAGAGCGAGTCACGTGTTGTTGAAACAATCAACGGTTGTTCGAGAGCGTTGGAAGAACCCACAATTTCGGAAGAAAGTTTGTGAAGCACTAAAGGGAAGAAGTGCTTGGAATAAAGGAAAGCGCTTGTCAAGAGAAACCAGAATACGGATGAGTATCGCTGCCAAGAAAAGACACGAGCTTAAAAAAGATAAACTTATGAGTTCCTCTTCCAACATATTGTTTGTTGAAAATCAACAGCATTGTGAACTTTCTCAAGTGCTTCTACAGAGACTACAATATTTGTACAAGGATCTCAAATTGTGGAGTGATGGTTTCCGTTCCACTTACACTCGACTGCCTAGAATGAGTGATGTAGAAAAGTCATGTGCTCCGATACTGCTGTTAAAGATAAACAGATACTTAGAACTGAGGAATATACTGAGAAGTAAGCCATACTGCATGAATTTTGGAAATATGGTTATCTTGAAAGAAGATACGGAAAAGGAGTATAAGCAGATTTTTTTGGATGGCAAGGAAATTCGATAGTCTTTCGACATGATCTTTTTGTAGGATGATGTGCCCGTCAAACTGACGTAAATAGCAGCGACGTATTGGGAAGATGTACTGCATTTTTGTACGTATTTCTGTTATCGACACTGTATAAAATTTGTGTATCAGACAACTATGAATATGCCTTGTACTACAAGTCTAGAAAAGAAACACAACCTTTCATTCTCCTTGCTGTTCAGAAAGTTTGCAGACATTTGATGAAATGTATTGTGAATGTATTCTTGTTTTGAAAGGATAGGATTTCTTCATATGGACTAGATAATGAGTTGACTCTGAACGGAATGGAGGGATTCTGCAAGGTAAACTACATTCTTGTGGATGAAGGTATTTAGAGAAGTTATCAAGGGATACAGGTGACCATTGTTTTAAAGTGATTCTGTAACAACATCACTTGTAATTTTCTTATTTTGTATAAAATACTCATTTTTTTCTCTTGTCCACTGAAAACCAACATTACAACATTCAGTAGGTTTTACAACCTTGCGTACATGGATCTAATCTGTTGGGGGCTCAAGAGGCTTCCAGAAGATGAGGCAGTTTCAACGTTGAGATGCTATGTCTGATACTACTAGTCGAAATAATATGAAAAACTGGAATGAAACCATTCAGTTGGAAATATCCACGTTGGAGAGAAACATCTTGTCTCACCGCACAAAAGAGAGTGTACAGCAACTCTGTGTTTTTGATTTTGATGGGACTCTGGTAGGAAGACAATATATTTGGGTCACAGTTGCTCAGTAAATGCGCTAGGTAAAGACTCCTTGTCCTGAGGAGGGAAAAGAGAAATATCATCAATACTACTTTCAACCTTGGCCTTTTCGGAGTTGGTGGTCTAGACCAGAGTCGCTTTTGCCGCCAGTTATATCTCACCCACTGCCTCCTGAACTAGTCATATCTTCAGTCGTATCTCAGTTCCGTTATTTAGACCAAGAGTTGACCAATTTGTGCATCGTATTGACAGGTCGCTTATCGACTGTTCGTCCTCAGGTATTGCGTATAACACAACAACTCGACGTGGGAATTCTACCTTGGCGGGTATTTTGTAAACCAGAAAGTTTGCATTGGACGACTGACACGTTCACTTATAAACAACAAGTGCTTCAGGAGTTGGCTCGAAGATTTGGAGATATTCGTCGATTTATTATTTATGAGGATCGCTTGTCACAGGTGAACCTCTTCAAAAATGTTCTTGCACCCAACATGCAGAAACAGTTTTCAATAGATACGTCTCTTTACCATGTGAAAGGTGAAGAGATTATAAATTATGGAACTTGTTAATATTAGTATACTTGTTGAGAAGAAGTAGCTAGTTACTTGAAGAGAACTTGAAGCATAGTAAAAGAAAATTTTGGCGCCATTTGGAAATTTCTAAATTGCTTAGGATGAACCAAGACAATGTAGTGACGATGGTAGACGTAGTTAGACAACAAGAAGAAGAAAGTGAGTCTTTGTTGTACCTTTCATTATCTTTCGAGTACTTAACTCAGTAGATTGGCATGATTCTTCTTGTACCTTTCCTTTGAATTGTGCGTCACAAGACGTCTTCGGTTGCAAACAGTGCACCAGGGATGGACAGACGGCTGGCTTTTGTCGTGGTTGTAGAGCTATTTGTCATGGTGAACACTTTGAGAAGACGTTTGAAATAGATGGTAAAAGAGACTTTATCTGTGACTGTGGAAACAGCAAGATGCACAACACCTGCAAACTTTTTCCTGATAAACCAGCCACAAACGAAACGAACAAGTACAACCACAACTTTTGGAATCGTTTCTGTTACTGTGAAAAAGAGTACAGTGAGGACGCTGAAGATATGATCCAGTGTTTTGTTTGTGAAGACTGGTATCATGTTTCGTGTTTGAACCTGAAGGCACCTTGGTGTGCTGGGAATATATTTGAAGAGGAGTTTGACCTTGTTTGTTCACTTTGTATTCAAAAATATCCTTTTTTACAACACATTCTAAACGTATACCCGACTAAACCGAATGGACAAGAGTTAAAGTTCTGCGTGACTCAGAGTTTGCCGAGTGAGCCAGAACAACTAGCAAATGGAGACTATGGCTTGTTTCGTGGTTGGCAGAATTATCTTTGTCGATGTGAAGAGTGCAGTTATACCGTGTCCGAGCAAGGACTTTTGTTTCTGTTTGAGGACGATGCAGAGGGAGAAGGAGAGGATCCCGATAACCATGTTTCGCGTTTACTACACGATCCTATCGTGGAAAGAATGTTTGTAGAGCGTTATGCACTAGCTAGGGAGCTTTTATACGAAGAATTGAGACCCTTTGCAGAAAGCAAGTCCATTGTGACGGAGCAGGATATGAACGCAATATTGAACCGACTCAAAGAAAGGATTTTTAGCGAGACGACCGCGTCCTAAAACATGTATCCATTATAATAGGACATTTCAAGTCATGGATATAAAATGAATATGTTCTCATGCGTTTGTTGTCTCTTGATGCTTTACTGGATAGTCGCAGCCCATAAGTTCTTAAGAGTTACATATCTTAGAATCAACAGATGATTGGAACTTAAATAAAAGAGTTTTTTACTGTGAACATGAGAGATATTGTATTTTTTTACCTTTCCACGTTTATTCTTAGCATCTGTGATTGTTCGACATCATCTTTCTCTTTCTCTTTCTCTTTCCGTCACAATGTGTTAAAATTTTCCCGCCATGCGAGTTCCTGTTTGCTATTCAAAAGAAAACGCAAAGGACTGGATACTTTTAGAGTTGCAAGGGTCGTTTCACTTGAATGAACAAAGCACACATCAAAGCTTACACAGAATAGAAGAAACGACACAATTGGGAGGTTTGAACATAGGCGACTTGTGGGTGAACTGGGAACAAGTAGGCTCTGGTCACATATCACATAGCAAAACTGAATATCTTTTTCTCTAGGCAACTGCCAAACTTCGAGTGGGAAATTCTCTACTACAGGGAAAGGTGGAAAGTTTGAAAAAGCCATTCGCAGTCCTAAAGAAGGAAGCAAACGGGAAAGAGAACCAAGCTTCCATACAAGTATTGGGAGTAGCCAAAACGAGGATTCTTTTCAATACCAGGTGAGTTGAAGGGTTTTCTTTTTTACTGTATTCCAATACTTTTCAGACCACTACTGCTGACAAAATAGTGTACTATCTTATGGACATGTAAAATCTAAAAGCCGGATTTTACAAAGGAAAGCTAAAGTTCTCAAAGAAACAGGAAACCGGCTTAAACACCCAATTCTGACCCACTTTCAAACGATGTAAATTCGTTGGCATACGAAAAAGATAAGCTAATCGACGAGTGAACTGTGCAGATGTCCCACTTAAAGGTATTCCGAAAACTTCAGCAGTCCCATTATACTTTCCTAGCGTCATCAATTCTCCCAAATGTTCATATCGAAATGGAACCGGTTTCTTATTGCAAAGCGATGCCCAAATATTCCAAGCAGCACATTCTGCTTGTTGGATGGCTACTTGAGCAGTGGCTTTACATCTTTGTCCGTTGACATCTGTCACTGCTGCAGCATCTCCTAGAACAAATATATTATCATGCCTTGTAGCTTGTAAAGTACTCGACGTAAGAATACGTCCTGTTGGATCCTTTTCTAATGCAACAAATTGCAACCATGAAGAAGGTTTAAAACCTGCAGTCCATAATACTAAATCGGCATCGAACTTCTTCTCCGACTCTTGGGTTGATTCTTGGATCGACTTTAGCGACACAGCATTCTCAGTGACGCAACTCACTTCCATATCCAACAATGATTCCACATTCAAAGAACGAAGAGTTTGCAACGCAACATTTCTGTTGTGTTCACTTGCAGCATCAAGTAAACGGTTTCCTCGATCCACGATGCATACTCTTGCCTCTCCTCGAAAGTATTCTGCAACATTGGAAGCTAGTTCAACACCGGAGTAGGAACCACCGATTACAAAAATAACAGGTTTCCTGTTCTGTTGACGTCTCATCTTGGTTAAGTTGACTAATTTCTGTTTCAGTTGTTCGGCGTGTTCCAATGTACGAAATGGTAATGCATACTTGTCGGCACCAGGAACTGATGACAAACTTGGTTCCGTACCGATGGCAATAACCAATCTATCATGATAAAATTCCTTTTGCCCATATTTGGTGGAAAATATCTCACAAGTTGACTTTTGTACATCAACTTTTTCAACTTGTCCCAACACAAACTCAACATCTGTTCCTTGCAATAACTGAGAAAACGTTGGCGCCACTTGCCACTTGTCCAACTGTCCAAAAGCTACTTCGTACAACATGGGTAAAAACACAAAACGGTCTGACCGATCAACGAGAGTAATCTTGGGTTTGGTTAGCCTCGTCCAAGGATAACGCGATAGTGTCAATGCGGTGTAAAGACCACCAAAGCCTCCACCTAAAATGGTTATTTTCGGATGCAGTATTGGCTTCGAACTATTGACAGACTTCTCTCTGGTTGTATATAAACAGGAGAGATGGAGAGAAGGAGCTCGTACTTGGCGTCGTTTGGAGGGAAATAAGAAACGGGTAGAACTCAAAAAATGGGTTCTTCTAAAGCAGTTAAACGAGGACTTCCGACTACATATGCCATGGACATAAGCCAATAGCATGTTGTTTCAATAAATTCTAAATGATTGGTAAATGAATAATGGCCTTGAAGAATCCACAAATATTTAGTAATTTATTGATCAACGGTATCGAAATTATGCCTTTCGTGATGCTGTACGAAGTTTCTCTATCCAGTATTGTCTGCTTTTAGAATCTGCTGCTGCGAAGAAAATCTCACTAGTAGACGTCTGTACTCGGAACACATATCGAGGCTTACCAGAAATAACTACCGTATTTGGTTCACTCTTCACTTGAGTCTGCTTCAGTGCAAGCATTTTTGACTTGGTTGGTTGCAGAGTCTGGTTTTTCTCCATTTCAAAAATACACAAAACATTTCCGAACACCGAATGCGGTAGTATGGCGACAAAACGCCGCCGCCAAAATTTCATCAAGTGTCCTTTTCGTTGCCAAAGTTCACCTTCGGCTCGAATGTCTGAACCAGCTTCTTGAGTCGCTGTCTGAGGCGAATATTTCGGTCCATGAACAGCAATGGGTCTTGATACGGAAGGAGTACTGGTTACGAGCTGTTCCGACGGTCTCCAATCTCGAAAAGATATCCTTCTTGTGTTTTCTTGCGAGTCTTGTAAAACGGGCAAGTCTGGATGATTCTGAGAATTTCGAATGGGATACTGATCAGAAAGTTCAGCTCCTGCGCCTCCACTGTTTCTCGAAAGGTGATCCGAAACAAAGCTGGAATAAGAAGGAATACGAGAGTAGTCATCAGGAAAATGATTAGAGAAACTACCTCTCGAAACGTTGAGCAAATTGGCATCACTTGAACGACCAGGTAGGTTAGAAGAATCAAAGTATTTCTCACGTCGAAGATATATATCACTTGGCCTTGTATTTTGCAAGTGAGAGTTTGCAAAATAAAAATCTGAGCTTCTTCCTTGCATTCCAAAATGGGCCTGCCTTTTTGGATCGGCAAAAAATTCTGTCGCATTGACCCACTGATTTTCACAACTTGTGGAACTTTGTTGTTCAGAAGTTGTTGAACGTTCAGTATCATTCGTGTGAAGACGGTGACGTCTATGTCTACGAGGAGGCTCTTTCAAGGCATTCACTCGACTCCTAATATCTTCAAGCGAAGAAAGAAGATTGTTAGCTCCTTCCTTTTCGGTGTTTGAAGAAACCTGAGAAACTCTTAGACTAGAAATACTAGGATGAGAAGAAGAAGTCTCCTTGGACGTATCTAAAGATGATGAAATGGATTCGTTGGTTGTCATACTGGAGAGTCTTTCTCTTAAACAACGAATTTCTTTACGAATATCCGATAATGCATCGTCTCCAATGTATGCGACTTGCATTCTTGCATTTACACTGGATTGACTAGCTTTATTACTCACTTCTCGCATCATATTACCACGAAGCCGAAGCTGTTGATTCATCAGACTCTCAAGTTCTGAGATACGCTCTCGAATATCGTCTTCATTGTATCTCCTTTCATCCAACAGCTCGTTACCTGGAGATGTTTGTGAAATTTCTTGTCTTTCTTGAACTGGTAGTACTTGGGCAGAACTCTTCATAGTGATAGGACTCTTTGAGTTCTCTGCAATTGTTTGAAGCTGTTGATCAGTATCCAAAGGATTGGATTCATCTGTGGTGTTCTGTCTCTTTGAATTCCACACATTTTCCATTTTCTTGAATATTTGATGTTTTTCTATTTGTGAAAGAGGCAAATCACATTCCGACTCACGATCCGACTCAGAATAGGTTGCAACATCGAAAACTTCCTCCTGTGCTTCCTCACGCACATTTTGACTGCAAAAATTTTCTTTTTCTGTTGAGTCTCCACAAGAAACAAGCTCTTCTAAAGTATTCATTTTTGGGTCAGTTGGTGAATTGGACGAAATGAAATGGTTAGTTTCTTGTAAAATTCTTAGCGTTTTCTGAAAATCCTTCAATACACTGAACGTTTCTGTACCCATTCCATCCAATTCCAAAACTATAAATTTGAAAACCTGTCTCTCAGCCAAATTGTGAACTTCCATTTGTAGACGAGAACCAACGTATAAAAGCAAGTTCTTCTCCACTATTTGTTCCGTAAATAGGACGTATGAAACCAATTTGTTACTAAAATGGATAGTGACGAGAAGACTCTCGAAGATGCTGAAAAACGAAGGCTCGGTGGAAACATTGTGGGATTGAGAGTCATCAATTTTCCTCAAGAAAATATTTCCTCTTTCCTTCAACTCTTCAAGTGCATGTGCATCACAATCTTGTATCTCCTCATATTCCTCATCTGCATTTAGTCCATAAACACGCAATCTCTCCAGTGAGTTGCCAACTTCCTGTGATAGAAAGAATTGAAGGAAGTTGTTACACGATTCAAAGACATTGCCTTGCGAGTTATTCTTAATATGTGACCAAACCACAATATTACCGTCTTCTAGCTGGTTGATGACTGTGAAATATACAAATTCTTGAGCTTTATAGAATTCCTCAGGCTGTGTGTACACGTTGTCAAAGGCTAACTGTATTTTTTCTCCGTCGGGTGAGTCTGCATAGAGACGACAATCTTTTACCTTCAACTTGTTTCTCCATTCTTTGACACAGTTTTTAGAGTTTTGTATAACAAGAAATGCTTTCAAGTAGTTCATAGAAAACGAAGCCTTTCAAGGCGGGAAATTTTCCCACAAAACGGACAATTTTTTTTTTGAAAAAAGGAAATCCGGAATTTGGGAAAAGTGGGAATTTCTCATCCAGTGGCAAAATGGGCATCCTCCTTTGCCAATAATACCTTTTCAACCATATGGGCAGATAAATTCTTCTCAGACTGCAGAATCTCTCTCATACTTTCAACACCACTATCTTCCAATTGACATTCTACCAAACATCTTTGTCCACTTTTGATAGCCGTTGTTTCCAGTTCAGGATAATTCACAGCCAAACGATAAACCGCAATGACAATCAAACATGCGATATAGTATCTATCTTCAGAAGATAAAGAGTCTGAGAAACGTCTTAATAACTCAAAAAAGTAACCGAAGATCATCCATGAACTTTGATCTGCTATACATTTGGGATGCTGCACACATACTAAGAGAACTTCAGCAACTTCCAAACAAAATCGACCAGTATGAAATAGCAACGATAACGCAACCCGTTTCATTTCGATATCTAGAAAAACAGCAGGTCCGGGAACAAACAAATATTTACCATTTTCTTTCTTTCTCTTTCCAAAAAAATTTTTCACCAAATAACAAGACTCCTCGTAAACCGATTTGTATTGTACAGGTAAGTGAGAAACAGAAGCCAACCAAAAGTAAAACATACGCCTGCAGCTCTCCATAGACTGACTTCTTAAAGTATTCCATGAAACTTTTAAAAAGGTGCGAAACATTTTGTCCACCCATTTGCATCTACATAGCAAATCGTGATTCATCACAACTTCCCATAGCAAATATAAACATGAGATATCACATTGTGAACGAATATCCGCTTCCATCCAATGAGCTATAAATGCATCCATAAGAGGAACTATTTCATTCAAAGATAGCTGCTTTATCAAATGGCAAAGGATATTTGCTACAATGACCAAATAACATTGTGATTGTCCATTGTCATGATCTGAAGAGACACTCAAGTACTCGTTGCATATATCTACACATTCATTGATTACCAGTTTCACATGATTGGAGTGGTAATAATAAAACACAGAAAGGTTCAGAAAATGGCACAGAAAACATGAGAATGCTGCAAACCGAAGGAAACTCTCTTCCCAAAATCTATCCAACAATGTTTCTCCTAAACGAAACGATTTCAAAGTATCAACTAAAATAGGCAAATAATCCTTCCATTGCTCGAAGGAATTCTTGGAAAGTTCAAAGCGAGAAATCACTTTACCAACCATGAGAAGAAGACGGCTGAAAACAACGAATAGCTTCTTCTGACTTGGACCATCTCCTATAGCAACTACAGGATACTTGCCAAAAGATCGGATCGTAAGAAAAATAAAATTGACAAGTTTGAGCAACTCAGATGAAATATGCTCGTTTTTTTGCTTGACAGAGTCACGCAACGCCAATCCATAGACTGCATCAATATCGTTCACAACAACAGGAATATCTTCAGAAACACCATTGTTCTTCAACAAATCCTCAAATTCAGCCTTGTTTCCATCAGATTCAAAAAAAGTACACAATAATGCTTCGAAACTTTCCATCAATTGTATTGCGAGACAGAACTGTTGCTCCGAACTTTCAACGGAAAATGGCATATTGTGGTCCAAAAGGCTTGCGAAAAGGCTTAAAAGCTCATACAGATTATCTCTGAGATACGAATTCCTATGTTCCCTTAAGAGGCAGATCAACTGTGAGCCTGTTTCAAAAGCGGAGACGCCGTTATGACGAAGGTGAATCTTCAGGTGAGCCATAAAACTGGTTGGTAAGAATTCCGGCTTTGAACAAGTCGAAAGAAAACTTTCAAGGAATCTTACAGCATCTTTTCTTGTTTCTTCATCTGCACAATAATTGAGAGAAAGAAAAATTAGCCAAGTCTACATAACAAACCTGGATCAATAATACAAGGAATCACTGCGTTAACAATACTGCCGCCGTGTTCTTCTAAATCTTTCACAGGAATGTTCTTCAAATCCTTAATAAACCCTCTAAGAGCTGACCTCGACACTACAAAGTTCTTTTTCCGTAGCTGTAAAAGCCAAGTAGACACTGTTTCGCCTCCTTTGACAGAATCAATATTATTTGTTGAAGTTTCAGGTACTCTAACATTTATCCTTTTTCTACGTATTTCGGTATTTGTCAGCGCTGCAGACTTGTGCTTTCCTTCTAGAGCACGAAGCTTTCTCTTTTGTTTGCCCATATCACCACCCGTGCTGTGCAATATTAGGAATGTTATACAACTTGAGATTCCGGTTTCAAGTCTTGTTCCAAAATAGAAAGGTAACTTTTCTTTTATTTCTAGAATAGTTTTCTATAAATAAAATTGCTGAAGTTGGTTGAAAAAGAAGCTCCTTCAAAAGGCCAAATGATTTAAGGCATCGGTATTTTTGAACGAAAAGAGAATCTAACTTGAAGAAAGCTTGAGTTAAAACGACTTCTTCACGCAGTTCAGTGATGGAACCGAGAGTGAGCATTCCTGGCTACAATTTTAATAAAACGAATATTCCTACTTTTCAAAACTCGTGCTTGCACCTTAGACTCTTCTTTATTCTTTTATCAGCTACTTTCTAGGGACCCCTCGTAACAACTGTCTTTTGTACGACCCGTTTCTAAGAAAGTATGTAAAATTTCTACATTGTCTTCAAGTTCTGGAAAGACTAAAACAGTGCATACATGTGAAACCACAAGCGTCTTGTCGGGTTCTCGTAGTCGTTCCCCGCGACTTGAAATGTCTAATTAACTTTCTCAGAGTATTCGTATGGGACGACAATGGATTCCTACGATCTGACTTCATATTTGGCAATGAACCGCACGTGCCCAACTGATTGCGGCCACTCACCCAATTTTGTCCAGAATCGTTCTACTGGACCTCCATTGGAGAGTTCGAATCCTTTTTCTATAAAAGCAGCAGCTCTTCTCGAGTTTCTTAATACCGTTTGCAAAATGAATGGGCTAGGTGCGAGAGTTGATGTTGTTGGAGAGGAAATGTTCAGAAGCTCTATGGAGATACTCCGAGCTTCTCAAGAACAACAAGCAGGTGCTAACAAAAGTGGTGACGATGAGAACGGAGGTTTTGAAGCCAACAAGCTTGCTCCGTTGTCAGACGAAGACAAAAGTACCATCCGCTTCAACGCTTTTGGTACAGCGGCTGGGTTCTTTGTCAACGGCTATATGTACGACATCAACTCAGTTTTGCTGACGATGTTCACGGACATATTTCCGAGTGTTGGTAACGACACAACTGTTCAGGCAGCAGTTGGAGTTTCTATGTTATATGGTGTTATGTTTGGTCTACTTGCCTTTGGCTTTATAGCAGATTACTTTGGAAGGAAGAAAGGTCTGATTATGTGTTCTTGTCTTGTGCTTCTTGGAAACATATTGGGAGTTGCTATGAATGGTACCTCTCATGTCGGTATGATATGGATGATGTGTATTGCCCTTGGAGTTGCTGGTCTAGGAATGGGTGGAGAGTATACCTGTAATGTTCCAAATGTAATGGAAGATAGTGAGCAAGTCAACACAGCAACACGTGGGCGAAGAGTTGCTATGCTGGTCATGTGTCTTGAAGTTATCGGAAATTTTGCACCTTTCGTTGTTCAACTCATCTTAGTAGCAATCGCATGTCGCAATGCCCATTTGGGTGCTGCCTCTCATTGTAACTGGAATGTAGTTGCAAGACTCTCATTTGGTATAGCTACTATCCCAGTTATTACAGTTCTTATTTTCCGAACAAGAATGAAGGATTCACTGATGTTTAAGAAGGATCAAGAAAGGAGGCACCGGAGATATGATGGTTTAGATTTGTTTGTTATTTTACGTCATTTTTTGCCTCGAACTGTTGGAACTGTTATCATGTGGTTCCTTATCGACTGGATAAACTATAGTCAAGGAACTTTTGGTGGCCTCATTCTTCAACACGTTATCGGAGTTTCTCTGTTCAAGAGCATTTGGCTATCTCTTGCTGAAGGTGCTGCGTGGCTGATCTGGTTACCTTTTGTCGCTGCCTTTGTTGTCGACAAACTGGGTAGACGTAAGACGGAGTTATTGGGTTGGCTTTGGTTAGCTTGCACTCAAATTATTAATACCGGCTTCTTTTATCAGCTGAAGGCTCAACCTATTGCCTGGATTATCTGGAGTACTTTTGTTGCAGGGTGAGTTTTGCTTAAAATATTATCGAGTATCATTGTATTTATGGTTTGTATCTAGTTTTCAATATTTTGTATTTATTCCGGTATACTTGGTACCAGCAGAGGCCTTTCCTACCAGGATTCGTGCTACTATGTACGGTGTTTCTTCATCTCTGGAAAGATGGGGG